TAAAAACTATATAAAATACTTACCTTCTTTCTTATAAGCCCTGTTATCCTATCTTTTCTGTTTTATCTTATTCAGCTCTTACTTTGCCTTTATATCGAGTGATAAGGGGGTGTATTAATATATAAATATACAATACCCTGCACTAGGCGCGTTAATAAGTAATATATATCGGACTAATCGGATTAATATCCTAGAGCACGACTACACAATACGATAATAAGTTGTTAACATGTGGATGTGCGATACCCCGCACTGAGCGTGTAGATAAGCGATACACATCGGACCAATCGGATAATCACCACTATATAATACGATGATATGATATCAACTATCTTATCAAATGGAAAGAACAACGAGTTTCCTAATACTCTCGTATGCCCCCATGTTCTGAAATTTTCATCAATCTTTTTGACATACTGCCATGTACCTAAAGTTATAAATACTGCCTGTTTCCCTAGTTAAATAGAACGAGTTTGACACCATTTTCACTCACGAATAGAGCTCAAGGCAATTCTGATTGAACTGTGTCGACCTTCCACTGTTCAACCTGTTCGCTGCCGACCCACCTCTATTGCACTTTCGTCTCTCTTCTATAATCGTGGTATTCGATCGACCTGTGTGCACCTCTAAGCACACACCCCAGGGTTTATGCACACGGCGTAAATCCAATAGTATCCCCTAGATATCTACCTAGTATCTAAATCCTTTTTAGGATTTACTAATTTCCTTTAGGAGTATAACCCTAATAGCCGGAGTAGTAAGTATCTAATACGTTAAATAGCTCTCTTCTACAATATTCACTTTTTCCGCAGCATTAATAGGGCTCTAAGAAAAGTAGGTAGTAGTAACCCTAGGATTCGTATTCGGATAACAGAACTATTATGCGTATAAGATAGGCAAGACTACGAAGCAGTGATATAGTATATAATTAGTAAGTTAACAGATATCCTAAGGATATCTAGTAGATATCCGGCTAACGATTTTAGATACGGAACCTCTTCTTACCGCCTAGACTAGGTATAAACAATAGGAGTAGGTAATATTTAGCCTAAATCCGGCCTATAATCCCTTTACTACCGCCTAGATATTAGTTAATTCGGAAGAATACAAATACAGTAGAGTGGACACACTATAAATCCAATACGTATAGGACGAAGATAACCCTCCTTAGGGTGATTATAAGGTAAGTTAGTAGATATCTAACAGCTTTAGTTCTATAAAACTCGATCGTTAAGACCTTCAAGAATACAAGATTCACTAAGAATAGGCAATAACTCTAAGGTAGGTGAATTCCTTATAGGAGGCGAAACTCCTACGTTATATACAGACTTCGCAGAAGCGTCTTTATAATATTAGAGAGCCTAACCTAGAGCGAATTAGTAATAGCGGAGTGCCTATTCGTAGTAGATCTTCTAGTTTATTAAGTCGCTCTAGGTTAAGGTCTCGTCGTGTAATACCTTATATACGCCAACAATCTACGCCTACGCCTACGCCTACCCCTAGGAGTCTTGCTATATTACAAAAGCGGCAGCGAGCTAAAGAGGAAAGACCTAATCTCGAACTATAGGATAATACACTTAAGAGGATTAGGCGATAGGCAGAGGGGGGAAGAATATAGGTAAAGCTACTAGAAGCAAGGCCTCGCAATATAAAAGTGTAGAAGGAAATAGATAAATTAGAAAAGTAGGTAGGATAATTAACGGATATCTGCTAGATATCTAACAATTTCGTATTGATTATTAAGATATATATTTACCTTATTAATATATATATTTATTAAAGCCCTTGCCCTAACTCTATTTAACTTTAATTTACTTAATTCGAGAATCTAAGGATAAGAAGGTAATTTTATTATTTCTATATTAAAATTTAAAGATTTATACCTGTCTATCTTTATAGGCTCCCTCCGGAATATCGAAGGTAGTAAAGGTAATCGCAAATCGCGGTATTATAGATATATTCTATGTCGGATTTACGGGGTCGGCATAAATCCTTCTGCGTGCACAAGCAAGCAAATGTGCACGATCGGTCAAATCAGTATACGATCCGGCAAAGAATCGTATAGGTCAGGTCGTCGTACGATTCGGCTTAGAATCGGAAGTTAACTTATGATAGAAGAATGCTCTAACTTCATCACAATCATTAAACTTAGTTCAACTAGCTATGGAAAACAGGCAGTATTTATAACTTCATGAAATCGAGGCAATACGTCAGAATAGAATCTTATAGAAATCAAGAGAAATAGAGTGTTGAGGCTCTTTCGTTATGTGTGCAATCTGTTGATGTCAATCGTTGAAGATCGTCGTCACGTGTACGTTCCGTCGCATTCTGTCAAGTTCGATAGCTCTTGGGGGCTTATGCACCCACTCATGTTGACAACATTCGAGTTTCGTAAGTATCATCTGGTTGTTGTTGAGGTATCCGGATGTGATAGACATATATATATGCGAACTGGTTAACCAGATTGGCTAATATTCATTATGACCACGCTACCAGAGATGCCGGCTTATATTTAAGACGGTTTTATTTTGTCTCGGGTTTCAAAAATCCCAATCCCAATTGATGCTGCGTCAGTTGAATCTTATATTGAGCAGCTTGTGCAGGAGATAGCCGGAATCACAAATCTGTGTTTGTAAAGAACAATACGCATTTCCATCATTCGGATTTAGTCAAGTAGTTACAGCCTCACAGACGAGTGGAAAATCTGCATTCTGCTTCCAAAAATCGGTATCACCAATTACATTATCTGATAGCGTCTTAAACACTAATCCATGCCAAGGGAAGCTATTTTCTCGAGAAGGAACATAAGCCCCACAGTTTCGAAAGCTTTTTTTCGGTAATCAAGAGAGATTCCATAACCAGACGGCGTATAATACCAATGGAAAGCTGTGCTTTGAAATTCAACCTTCTCGAGGGGCACGATCATCCTGTCGCTTCTTGATTGAGGGTTCTGTATGTTCAATATTGGTTCGCTGGAGGAGAGGACTCTCTTCGGGACTCGCACTTTTCCTATGCAAATCTTCGATGGCATCCTTGTCAACGTTGCTACCGGCTGGGATAGGGGCATATGGATGCGAAATGCTGTCCCGATGTGGATGCGCTTTTCCTGTTTGAATAGTACCGTTGTCGGTCACGCGATCAGCGGCTGAAAGAGCATAATCGCCAGAGTCAAAGTAAGTACGTTCCTTATGGTGTTTAGTTAGTACGTGTCGTGATAGAGAATATGCAAAGTAACTTTCTTTACCTTAGATTTTTGGCCGAGTAAACCTCCACGCGACAGCTTCCCGTACTTACTGAAGTGAGGTTTCTCACTTCCAGACAGCAGCTAAGGAAATGGCGTCAGCACCTTTTCTTCTAGGCAGTGTAGGGGAGATCCCACCTCTTGATGTGGTCCGTTGCCTCCTGGCTGCATTCTGTGAGATTAGCCCTATGTTTTCCGGAGATTATTTCCAAGCATGCGTTGAGAACTGCATCTCAACAGGAATATTCTTTGTTTTCTGAACCGGTTTCTATGACGTCTTTTTGCATCGCGTGATGCATCCGCGTTAGTCAGCTATGTGGACATCGGAGTAGGTAAAAATCCGTAAGGGTGACGATACAGGAACATTAATTTTCCGGAACAATTCCTGATACAGATTCGTGGATCTTGATGTTCAGTTTTGAGAATCCAAAAAGGGTGTAGGTAGTGATACCGACTTTAAGGATATTGTACTGGATATTGTACTTGTATGCAGCCGGCCAATGTTGATGATGAGTCTCTGTGGCGGGGCACAGAAAACGGCAACTTATGATGTCTTGGACAGTCCAAGACTAAGAGAACTCTGATCTCTAAGGAGACCTGCGGCGGGGGTGGGAGATGCGTTTATTAGCATGTCAAACTTAGCGGATCTGAAAGCGATGGTAAGGTAAGCTCCGTAAGGATTTCAGTGGGGAACTGGTTCACTTTGTCCTAGTCAAGAAGCTAAACCCAAAAGGGAAGAGAGAATCGTTGGGGAACGTCTGGATCACGTCACTACTCTCTTAAATATATCCCGAAGAGAATTCCGACTTTAGAATTCCGACTTTAGAATAGGGGACAGAGATCTACCGCAGGAGAAAGATCAGAGCCCAGAAACGAAATCTGTGAATTTTCAATCGATCTGAAGTGCAGTCGAAGATGATTAGTCAACAAAGCTGTCATTTCCCAAGCCCGTCGGACACCTAGCAAGGTCAACGCTTGGATACTAGGGAGCAGTCTTGCGTCATTAGCATCGGCTGTTCATTTGGTTTCGGATGCCAATGTGCCTGCCTCTCAGATCCATATTCTTGAGTCTCAAGACGCCCCTGGAGACGGGATTGCCAGTACTGTCGATTCGCTAATCGGATACGACCATCGACCTGGATGCCTGCCAACCTTCATTGACGTTTGCATGAAAAAGCTGCTTGCCTTGGTACCTTCTGCAGGCGGTTCTGGGACAATCTTGACGGACATCGAAAAGTTTTATGAGAATGAAGTTTGTCAAAAAGTTCCTGTTTCACACATCTTGGCCCAAGGGGATCAAAGACCAAGGAGAATAAACGTTAAGAACCTCGACCTAGCCCTAAAAGACTGAATAAAGTTCACTATCCTCCTATTGAGGTCTGAGGAAAGCCTTTCCAGAAAACGAATCAATCAGATTTTCCACAGCTCTTTTTTGACACCACATTCTGGATTATGTTCTCTACTATGTGGGCAACTCGATCTACAGATATCAGGTCATCGCATAATGCTAAGATGAAATAACAGATTTACCTTTCAGCCTTGGTACAGTGCAGCCGAATTCCGGCGATGCCTTAGAAGATACTTCGACGAATTTCGGAACTTAGACACTAAGAAACCTCTGGATTCCACGCAGTTCAATCAGTTTGAATCAATCATCATGCCGATCGTTCAGTTTCTTCGCAGGCAAGGAGTTGATTTCAGACTATGCACTAAGGTTACAGTCATTGCGACAATTTCAGACTGTGGTACAGAAACAGTTTCAGCTATTCATGTATTGCGCGATAGCTTCCGGGAAGAAATCACTGTCTGTGCCGATGACATAGTTATCGTGTCCCTCGGGCCCAACACGTCTGAATAGCAGCAATCGCGGGTCAGCAACGAGACTTTCAGGGAGAACATCAACAAAGTACGCGATGTAACCCTCGGAAATTGTCTGGACCTCATGCAGATTTATGAGGATCAAGACCCAGGTTTCTTTGTCAAGCATAGCGTGAAAGTAGGTGCCGCCCGGCGGTTCGTTCGTGACATCGGCCTTTAGGTGAAACAACCCAAAGAAGCGACTTGCAACGAAATAATTCCTTTAGTCTAGATATTTTACAGTAGTTTTCGAATTCAGTTTGACCTCACTCTTTTGACTTGATTCCCGGAAAATAAATCCCACTTATACGAGTTCTGATTGGATACTATATTTGGTGCTCCAGAGCCAGACCGCTTTCTATAATAGTCTACAGATATTACAGTACATGTTTAGGACCATAAGTAACGTATTTTTACCCGTAAATATCAGACACACGCGACCATCGAACCCCTCTTTCTTCCTTTCGTGACAGTCAGCACCTTCCTGCACGAACGCGTCCTGCTAACCCAGTATTAGTGTAGGCGAAACGGCTCCAAGATCATCACCTTCAAAGCTATACGGCTGTTGAAGTGTGAGGTTTTCATTTCTCGCATTCAATACATTATTTTGTGACTAGTAGCTCAGGGGAGCGTTGGCAGCATTACCTCCCGTGCCCAGCTTGATTTATAATCCAGATCTCCTTTTCCTTCATCATTGGCCGAGACACTACCCCCTGTCGAATCATACTCATGTTAAATCCCTCTACGAATTGTTCACTCTTTACTACCGTAACAGACTTGATTCTTGATAATGAGCTCAACGTCAGAAGTGACATTGATTCCTTGGGATCCGCTGTCCGAGCCTCATCGAATACTGCTCTTCAAACAGCGAGTGGAGTGCTCTTGGGACATGGAGATGGTCCAAGAGATATGGAGAGATGAACAGATTAGAGGCGAGAAGTGCATCTATTGGATTGTGAGTTGTGCCTACACAGACACCCCTATTTGATGTTCAGTTAGCTTGTGAACACAAAAAGGTTTAACAGGCAATTATAGGCCCTCCCAGCCGACGACTTCGTGGGAGGGGAAAGCGAGAAGCTGGCGGACACGGCCGTATCCATTAATGCAGCAACACGCCAACCAACACAAGCAGACTTCATCCCAATTGGACATATTTCCCTAGACTTGAGGAACAAGAAGGCCGAGAAAATGGACCTCGAAATTCCGTCCGAGAGAGTCTTTTGGATTAAAACCTTCTTTATCCTACATAACCTCCAGAGCAAAGGAGTTGGACGAGCAGCCATGGATGAAATTGAAAAAATCGCTGTCCGAGAGCCTCTACGCGCTAAGACTTTGATGCTGGATACCGTCGAGAGAGAAGATCAACTGAGAGAGGAGTTTGCTAGGGCTACCTATGGAAGCGTTCCGAAGGTAAACTTGATCATTCACAGTAGGGTTGATATTGAATGACTAACAAATCTGCAGATTACTAATCAGGATTGGTATAGTAGACGGGGCTATAGATCTCTTAAGATTGTGCAGAACTACTACGATATCAAGGATAAGAATGGAAAGAAGTGGGATACCAAGACCATATTCATGCGGAAGGACCTTCCGTGACGAACTGCACGCAGTAGAACAGGGTGAAGGATAGCTACATATCTAAATATCTGCAGTATGTGAAAGATTGCCGCCACGGATTGATTCTCAATTTTTTGTTGCTATATCGCTCTCTCCTTCCGACAAACATAAATCCACGAACTCTAATTTATCATCAGACGCGCTTAACGTGGTTGCCCAAGGTACCCCTGAGGCTCCTATCTTCTCCGCAGCCAATCAAAACTTCCTTTCCAATGATAGCTATCAGAGGGCACTATGGGTCAATACGACATTTTCCTTAGTGTCCGTTGATACCTCCCAATTGTTGAATGTCGCTCCTCTCCGCGAGAATGGATACAGTTGGATCATAGGTTTTCCCTTCTTCCCACTCACAAGGCGGAAGGAATCGAGAGAATATAGAATATGAGACAGGTTTATAGTAGTAGAATTCATTTACACTGGCCCCTCGCCGAAGCGATATGCAGCACAGGTTTATAGTAACACCCGATATCGCCTTCCATGTCGGAGACATAAAAATGCTCTTTCAAACCCTAATCAGACGATGCGTGGAAATATGTCGAGACATGGAGCGGTAACGTACCGCGTAGACAGGGGTTATACTGAGTGACCCGCTTTTTGTTTTGTATAGTAATTTGGTACCTTGGCATTACGGTTGTCATGACACCGTGTACCTTAGCATCCATGGGGTATTTCAACCTGCCCTATGATATTCTCTCTTTTCTTCAATCAATCAACCTTTGCATCCAAGATTGGTTCCGCTTGGTCCTATCCTCAATCTCAATCGCCTACTAGGATTACTAGCCATTACTGACTCAAATTGCTCCGACAAAATAACACGTACTATACATGCCCGTAATAATACCAGCTCCTTTCTATAGACTATAAAACAGATACAAGATCTAAAATTAGAGACGGAGAACCCCGATTCTAGGCCGTATTTCGTAAAATACTGGATAAATATAGAAAGAAGTTCACTACTATGACAAAAGGGGGTCTTCCGGGATACAGAGATTTTACCCACTTATAATCAAGCACAACGCGAGTCTTTGCTTCTAAACATCATCAGTTTCAACGCAACCTATATATCGAAGTCGCTCCTTTCTTCTCTTTGAACTAGAGCTCCATTCCTTGTATTGGTCAATCGCTACCACGAACAACTATTCATCAGAATGGCTCAGGTCCAAGGCCACTGCGACGCCCGGTTTTCCAAGCTACGCGACTTAATGCAAGAGTTTATCGCGTCCGGACAAGACATCGGTGCTAGTCTGTGCATTAATATCGACGGGGGAGATAACGTGGTGGACATATGGGGGGGCTACGCCGACGCATCTACCAAGCAACCATGGGAAAAGGATACGGTAGTAAATGTCTTCTCGACCACGAAACTAGTCACCAACCTGGCGGCTCTAATGCTAATATCGCGTGGCGTGCTCGCCCCCGAGGATAAGGTGGCCCAGCACTGGCCTGAGTTTGCAGTAAACGGGAAGTCGGAGGTCACGGTCGGCCAAGTACTAGCCCACACGGCGGGTCTCAGCGCATGGCAGGACAATATGACGCTAGAGGACCTATACGACGTCGAGGCGGCAACCGACAAGCTAGCGTGCCAGGCACCGCTGTGGGCTCCTGGGACCGCAATGGGATACCACGGCATGACGCAGGGATTCCTCGTCGGGGAGCTAGTGCGAAGGAAAACGGGCATGTCAATCGACAAGTTTGTAAAGGAGGATATTTGCAGGCCGCTAGGCGATGGGACGGACTTTCAGCTCGGGTGTCGCAAGGAGGACTGGAACCGGGTGGCCCCCGTCGTGCCTCCACCAGGACCTTCGATCCAGGAGATGCTTAGCCAACAGGCGGGATATAAGGAGGACTCAATCGTCGCGCGCACGTTTTGTAACCCCTGTCCCACGGCCGAGGACGCTAACACTGAGCTCTGGCGGTCCAGCACGTTGGGTTCAGTCAACGGCCACACAAACGCTAGGGCGTTAGTCAAGATCCTCTCCTGCTTCTCGCTCGGCGGGACATGTGCGGATGGAGGCCATCGCCTACTGTCGGCCGAGACAGTGAAACTGGCGCTTACAGAGCATGCGACTGGAATAGATGTGGCAACTGGGCGGAGCGGCAGGCGTGGACTTGGGATTTACCTCACCGGGCCTGGGTCGGGGATCGTTGAGGGCAAGCTGCCGGACGGCGTTGTTGGATGGGGTAGCGGATGGGGTGGTTCGATCGTGGTTATGGATAGCGACAGGAGGCTCACAATCGCGTATGCTATGAACAGGATGCTGAACGCGGAACATCCTTCCCCAGCAGCCTATATCAAGGCGGTTTATGAGATACTTGGAGCTACCTAAGCTGCCTAGGATTATAGGGCAGGCTTTTCAACCAGATGGTCGCACAAAGCCTCGAGCATGACTGGAGTGATATTACGGGGTCGTCCGCCTTTAATTGGCGGTGCTTTAACGCTGCCAAACATTCTTATATTGGACGAGATTCTCGAGATGGTGCTCTGGTTGCAACCAGCGGCCTGTGACATCTCATTTATAGATAGTTCGCCACTGTGGATCATGCCATAGATAAGCTCACGTTTGGAAGGAGCTAGGTTTGGAGCCATCGTTGGTTGGGGACCACTCGTGATTGATTGTGGAATGGTGCATAGAATTTACAAGTGAATACATGACTGAAATTATTATGTAACCTGCGTACGAAGCAATACATACGCAACTCCCGGAAATTTTCTAAATACAGACTAGTGCGTCTTGGCGCAAGGGGCAGGAAAGTTAATCGGAGAGTGGAGCTGTTGCACCGGTTTCGCAGCCTAGTCGACGTATTCTCAGCCGCTATTAAAACCTGTGGTGTCTGTATTGATTCCCGACCTTAAGGAGCTTATTAAGTAACTTTAAGGTAAATATTTAGAGACTTAGCGCTAAAAGACTATTATATTGTTATTAACTTTAAGGTTTAAGGGTTAGAGTATTAGACTTAAGGGTTTTATATAGTTTAAAGAATATATTTATATCCCTATAAGGATTAACTTAAGGAGAATACTAATAAGTATTGTTATGCGATAACAATGAGTGTGCGCTAGTATATATATTGGCTCCTGGGTCATATCCGCTGATCGCGGATATAGTGGTCTTTTTGGCCTAAGTGTATGATCATGTGACCCAGGCATGTATCGTAACAAGTATATGTCGGATTTACGGGGTCGGCATAAATCCTTCGGCGTGCACAAGCAAGCAAATGTGCACGATCGGTCGAGTATAAGATCCGGCAAAGAACCGTATAGGTCAGGTCGAAAGGGTGGTACGATTCGGCTCAGAATCGGAAGTTAACTTATGATAGAAGAATGCTCCAACTTCATCACAATGCTTAAACTTGATTTAATTAGCTATGGGAAAACAGGCAGTATTTATAACTTCATAAAATCAAGGCAATACGTCAGAATAGAATCTTGTAGAAATCAGGAGAAATATAGAATGTTGAAGCTCTTGATCGTGTGTGCAATCTGTTGATGTCAATCGTTGAAGATAGTCGTCACGTGTACGTTCCGTTGCATTCTGTCAAGTTCGATAGCTCTCTGGGGCTTACGCACCCACTCATGTTGATAGTATATATTATAATAACCCCCTTACTAGCTACTTTAGCTATATAAGAACCCTTAAGCTAATAAAAAGGAAATACTATTAGCTAAATATCTATATAAACACTAAATACGTTTAGGCTTATTAGACCTACTAGGGTATTATAGGCCAAGAAAATGCACGGACCTACGCTTGAGGTGCAGAAGGGGGGATTAGCGCAATATTTTTAATCCTACGGAGGTCCATTTCAAAAGAAATGAGCAGCGCATTGACCACTATTATTTTACCACTAGTCTTTTACCAGGCGAATACACACACATATATGCACACATATCTCCCCTACCCTTCTATTTCTGCTTCTTCTACTACTCCTACTACATGAGCACGGTAACATAGCAAAGCAGTCTACAATTGCTAGGCGCGCAACGGTAGTTGCTTTGAAGGCCTATACGCCTAAATCTGCTGCTAAGATCGCTGCTCTTACCAATCTATCTGTTCCTTCTGTGAATCGAATCTATGCAGAAGCAATTAAGCGAGGATTCGATCCGCATCGTACGATGGTTGATAACCAGTATATCGAAGATAAGCCTCGTTCTGGTAGGCCTACCAAGCAAGATCCTTCTATAGTCGATATTATCCTATCAAAGGTGCGCCTAGATCGATACGGCCGGGAAAAGACCTGCGCTGATATCGCTAGTGATCTTAGCAAGCTAGGAATCAATATCTCCGGTACAACGATCTATCGTGTGCTAAAGAACGCTAGCTTTCGGAAGACGAAGCTAACGAGGAAGCCTGGATTGACGAAGATACGTGCTGAGCGTCTTGCTTAGTGTCTTGCGCACGAATCCTAGACTTTAGAAGATTGGAAAAACGTTATTTTCTCTGACGAAACGTTAGTGATTCTTCTACACTAACGTAGAGGTTATCGAATCTAGCGAACTAAAGATAAGCGTTTCTTACGATCTTGTATTCGCGAACATAGAAAGGCGCTTCTGAATTTATGTTTTAGGGATGCTTTTCTTATAATAAGAAAGGGCCCTATCACTGCTAGCTTCCAGAGACTGCGCAAGAAAAACGTGATACTGAGAAGGAAATTGAACGTTTAAACAACGAGATTGAACCTACTCTATGTACTACGTAGGAGATTAAGACTGGCGTACGCCGTCTAAATCTTCGTCAAAACCCTAGTGGCAGGAAGCCTACATAGAAGTTTACTACAAAGAATAGTAAATTAGGCCGTGGAAAGAGAGGTAGAATCGATTGGTATCGATATCAACGACTTATCTTACTACCGAAATTGCTTCTATTCGCGCAAGAATGTGCAATTGAAAGACCCGGAACGCTTGTTCAAGAAGATAAAGCACCAGCGCATAATCATTATATTCAACAGCGTGTTTTTGATGCAGCACAGGTACAACGATTACTCTGGTGCCCTAATTCGCCTGATCTTAATGTAATTGAGCCTGCGTGGCCTTGGATGAAGCGAAGAACAACACGTAAGGGAGCACCGAAGACCCGGCAGGAAGCGTTTAGTGCATAGAAGGCAGCTTGGCAAGAACTACCGCAGGAGAGGATTCAGCAGTGGATTGAGCGTATTCCTTGGCATATAAAGCAGATTATAGAGCTAGAAGGAGGAAACGAATATAAAGAGGGCAGGGAGAAGAAGCAGCAGCGTGATTGGGAAGATGTTTAGGGTATAGTAGGAAACGATGTTCATACAGTATTTTAAACAAGTGGTGGTCAATGCGCTGCTTATTTCTTTTGAAATGGACCTCCGTACCGTATGCCATTTTTGCATACATACCTTCTTTTTAAACGTAGTTTCTCGAAGGAAAGCCGCATTTGCCATGGCTTTTATTGACGCTGAACTGTAAGTTGACTTTGATCGTGAACTAATTGTACCATTTTATTGATGCGATTCCGGCCATTCTACTACCATTTCCATTTGAACCGGTCATGAACTTGACCGGAGCACTGCTCTGCATGGAGCACTGATTTCGGGGTTCGAACAGATAATTTCAATAATGCGCACGGCCCAGGTTGGGCCGTAGGGTAATGGCCATTGAACACTGGCCCAAAAATTTTTCATGTTGGAGTATGGGATACATTTTTCTAAATTGTTTCAACCTTGAATTTATGTGGTGCTCGGAATATTGGCTGTACTAATTGATTTAAAATTCTTCTGATATTTTCCTTATTGACGTGTTCGAAATCATTTTTAAATAGAAATAAAATAATTCCCGATTAAATTTTTACAAGTTGATTTGTATCCTTCAGGAAGGCGTCCTATTATACTACCGGAATTGTTTAGGAAAACACGCCCCAAATACTGTGCAATAGCCTCATTGGCTTATTCTGGTACTACTCCCCTTTCAAGCGTAGAAAAACAAATATCACATGTGACCTTAGCACGGCCTTGCATTTAATAACGAGGTTAGAAAAGACTTTTTATTTTATCCCCGCATCTTTCCCTCCTCCCGGCCATCAGTACGGATCTACTATTTCCGCCGTTTTCATCGCCAATATGATGCCTCTTCGGGAGGTCTGGGATGTGTTCACAGGCCTCAACGCTGTGAGAAGAGATAGTCCTTCAGATATCTCAGAAGCGTGCTATAATGGCTGCAGTACGCTGATGCATCCCCTTTTATCCGCGATCAAATCCCTAAAGATTTCCTTCAGACGATGCTTCGCTTGAAGCCCAAAGCTCTGGAAAATCTCCGTCGTTGTGCGCTTCTAACTCTACATTTTCAACGGACCTGGAATCATGCAAAGATTGCATCGCCAAATCTTCCGCCTCTACCTCTAGCTCCGCCTCCCTCAATTGGCTGTCCTCGTTCAAACAGTTCCTCAACTTCTGTCAGGAGCAAGATACTGGGGGTAAAAACAATACGGTGATCGCAGATGTGTCGAAGATCGTATCTCTACTAGAGGAGAAATCATTGGTGGATGCACAACTCTCATCGTTCGGATTCATGGATAGCACTACGATCTCCTCCGTCACCGCCACCTCCATGAAAACGACATCAACAACTCAATCGCCGCCTCGCACAATCACTTCGTCAAGCACGAGTTCACCGATCAAGAACGGCAGTGGACCATCGGCACAAGTCCTCGCTCCTGCGATAACGGTGCCGACGGTCGCGGCGATTATCGGGTTTATTAGCTGCATCTTTTTCTATCTCCGATGGCGTCGCTCCAAGCAACAGCCGGTTTCTCCGCCAGAATACGAAGAGGGAAAGGCACAATTACATGCAGATGAATTCCGACCGGAGCTTGACGGTAGGGCTATCAATCCCGAGCTAGCCGATAGCCAGAGGGTGATGGCGGAGTTGCCAGCTCGTGAGTTAGTAGGGAGTGAAATGGCTGGACATACAGGGACGAAACGAAGTTTTATCTCGGAATATCGCTGACTGACGGCATGAAGCACCTAATTCTAACTGTTTTACTGCTCGATCGAAATGTTAGGCGGTGCCCGCTAGTCATTATGAGTAGAGCTGCCTTCGACGTGCAATCAATCACACGATCTCTCATCGTCGTATTCGGGTGATAGAAAGATTGTTGAGAAGTCGCCTTGTCTAACACAAAAGGTAGAGCAATCCGGATAGAGCAAATAACCAAGAGGTCTTGATCTATGAATTTCTTAATCGTGATAGCTTGGTGTCTATAAAAGTACGAGACAGACCCGCAGAAGCATTAGTTCCAAGTAAAAGATGATCTAAGGACTCCCTAGACACGAGTCAAAAAATACAGGTAGGCAGTTTTCTTCATGTCCTCAATCTTCTCACACTCGACAACCTTCTCGTCATTGAATAATATCCACGAGGGAGAGTCCTCGCCTGCCAAAGACTTACGGATGAAGGCCACGTAATGACTACAAAGGGTTAGAAAGTCAACTCTCTTTTGAGGGACACGTGAGAAAACTTACCCCGCATGCACAGATGTGCCTTTATGACAGACAATAGACTTCAGTTGATACCGAGCTGGCAAAGTATCATACCCGAAAGGGCCTTGATTAGTTCGAGCGGCACCATCGTCGTGACTCTCCATCTCATCATCGTCATCAGGATGTGTGAACACCCAATCCACAGCTCGGTTGACATCACCATCAGTCGCAGCAAGAGCTCGTCGAGCACGAGAGGGATCAATCCCCATTTCACCAAGCTGGGCAATTTTTGACTCATCTTGCTCCGCAGCCTTTGCTCCGCCGGCAGCTTGATCCAGTACTAGCGGCTCATCGATATCCGGGTCTTCCATGTGGGCGAAGAGCCAGTTCATAGCAGCCTCTGGGTCAGAATTGCCAGTTGCATGGAGAGCCTTTTCGCATCGAGGCGCAGGGAAACCCATACCCAAAAGTTGATCAAGAACCTCCGGGTTGGGTGAGAAAGTTGCTTTCTCCTTAACCTCCGGAAGCAGCTCTTCATTGGGGTCATGCGGTCCAGCCAGATATGGACCAAAGTCAATTGGCTCATCGCTGACAAGGACGGGGATGTCAAGCTTTGTTGGTACCCACTTAACCAGCTCGAAGCGACGAGCATTAACAGCAAGCTCTTGAGGCAGAGTCTTGAATGTGGTCCGCTTGGAAAACCCGGCTTGACTCTCGCACGCTGGACAAGTAAGTTCAACGGTTTCCTCTGCGGTGAAGATGTCCAAGCACTCGGTTAATGTCACTGGTTCAAACTGGTCTGTTTCACCTGAGATACGACGCGCGGGCACTGCGACAGAAACATTGTCCTGTTCATCCACTTTGTAACGGACCTTCTTACATTCAAGGCATTGAAGACGCTGTTCGACCTCAAATCGGAAGTTTTCCACAGGGTTAATCTGCCCATCATTGTGCTTCGAGAGGCTGACGGATTTGAATAGATGCAACAAAAATTCAAAAGCATCCTGTTGTCTCATTGTCGCAAACTCCGGATGGCCTTGGCCAGTGAGATATTTAAACATAGCTGGCAACAGCCCTTTTTGGTGAGGAGAGGTCGAGGGAGCTTCTGACACGGCACCGGATACAATGACACGGGGATCTGGGCGAGAATACCGGCCAGAGAGGAGACCATCCGCAAGTTTCCTCAACTGCGTTTCTAGGTCCTGCGCTGGGACCTGGCAGACGGGCGGTTCTTCGGACGGGCGGTAGTATCGGCTTTGGAAGCCCTCGGTGGAGAAAATGCACTGCATCACACTAGAAAGATAGCAGCTGTTTCCGAGGTTGGCCAACCCGGTAAATCCAGGACCATAAACTGGCACGAGTTCACGGCCATCCTCGGTGGTCATGGAGAACTCCCATTGCAAGTTGTGTTCAACCTGCATTTCCATCAAACTTTTCTCTGTCTTCTCGCGCCCGGCCAAATAGATTCCCCAATGAGCAAGGTGATTGGCAAGTTCTGGATCTGTCCGTTCCTCGTTACATTTGTAACAGTAGACGTCAGCCGACCCTTCAGCCGTGATAGATCCAAGTTTGACAGCAACAGCGTGGGATGTGGCATCAGCGTGGGCAAGTGCATGGGAGTTTCCCTGTGCTCCTCCAAACTGGCTGCGCCCACAAGCGGTATTACCGCATTCTAAGCAAAGCCAAAGGTTTTCTCTCAAGTCGCACGCCGTGCACTGACTAGAATCTGCAGAGTTCGATAAGTATGCTTCCATGTTTCAAGGTCAAGATGGGGCGGTACCTTTAGATTCCGCGCCTGCAACATTTTCCTGGGCCAGACACAAAGTATGCTCGCAGGGTACAAATTCTTGCTCCCAAGCCTTGACCTCCTCTCGCTTTGAGAAAGTCATTGCAGTCATGATGCCCCCAATCACAGCAGGTAGGTTCCCGGTTGTCTTGTCCACGTTCTCCTGACGGCATGCGTAACACACTACCGAGGTCACAATATCATAACGGTCTTCCTCGGTCTCGGCAGCAATTGCAAGTTTCGAAATCTTGAGAGGAGGTTCATCGCGCTGCAGGCGTAAAGTGAAAAGTTAGCAAAAGCCGGTTGTGGTGGGAGGCCCAGGTAGAAAGCGGAGATTTAACATTACCTGCACTCGCTTCGGGGTTCGTCGAATGTTCAAAGCTAGCGCATGCCCATATCGCTTGAAGTGGAGCAAAGCGTGATCTCTGTCCCCTGCACAGCCTCCATTGAAACAATAAAGGCAGACATTGAGACCGGCGTCATCGTCCTTGGAACCGTTAGTACCAAACTAAATGCTCAGGAACGGGACCGGATTGTGGAGAGTAAAGACACATACAATAGAATCGAAGCACTGGGTGCAATCCTCTCGATACACAGCCTGGGTAGGACCTGGGGGGCTGAGATCTAGCGCTCATCATTAGCAAATTGCTCCCATGAGGGTTTGCACTCCGCCCGATTTCACCAACCTGAAGCGCCTGAATGGACACAGGCCATGTTGATGGTACGACGACCAAGACCTGGCAAGACACAAATATGGAAGAGGGCCAAAATCAGGAGGGCAGAAATGGGGAAATAGAAAGACTGAAGGCGTACGTCCGACCAAAAAAGTAAAGCAAGACAGAGAGCGAGAGAGGCAGGCAGGCAGGAGCTGCTGGCGTGGGGCAGACACTTACATAATGACGTGGGGTAGGTCCAACTGGACTTCTGGTGGCGGGAAGCTAAGAAAGATGGAACCACGTGACTGGCCACTTTACGCGTTATTTTCTGGTTCATTCGGAACGCGTCGTGGATCACCCAACCTTCGACCAGGTACCTAACCTGCTGCACATCCCTTTCCACACACACCCTGTGGCGCTCCCATCTGGCCATTTATCACACATCCTGTGCCAGAAGAGCTTATACAGACCTTCAATACTAACCATGGCGTCGGATGCGGCTTCTCAGGTCACCGTTGGGGCTCTCGGGTAAGTCCTCCAATTCAGCAAAAGATTACGGGCCTGCGCGGGTGGACTCCGTCCTATTCAGCAAGATCTAATCTTGTACAGGGCTATCTTTGATGAAACCAAGCCCCAAGTGCGCGAGCCGATTGTTCAGTGTGTACAAGTCAAGCCTCTACCAGGCCAACCAGGCCACCCAGAGCGCTATCGGGCTGTCTTCAGCGACATTGCCAACTATGTTCAAACCATGCTCGCCACCCGTAAGTCAATTCTCTGAAGGGATAGTGGCTTCTTATTAACCCGTCGTGTCTCTGCAGAAGCTAACCACGTGGTGACCGATGGATCTCTGCGAAAGGGATGTTTTGTTCGCCTCAAGTCCTTCCAAGCTAATTCGGTGAAGGGTAAAAAGTGAGCATGGCCCCGGCGATACTCGGATACTCGAGGAAATTTTTTAGTCCGCTGACCATTTGCAACCAGAATCCTGATCATTCTGGACTTGGAGGTCTTGAAGGAACTCGGCGAGGCAGAGAAGATTGGAGAGCCCAAGCCGCTGGAAATAAAGGCCGAGGAGGATGAGAAGCCTCAGCCAACGACAATCTCCAGCAATGGGTTCTATGGATCCAAGCCTCCCAGCGCACCCGCACAGCAATCCAGTCGAGCCCAATCAACCCGCGGTCCCTCTTCCTCTGCCCACGCCACCATTTACCCAATCGAAGCCATTTCTCCCTACTCCAACAAGTGGACCATTAAAGCTCGATGCACGAGCAAGTCAAACATCAAGACTTGGCACAACAAGAACGGCGAGGGCAAATTGTTCAGTGTGAACTTGCTCGATGATAGTGGTGAAATTCGTGCGACTGGATTTAACGACCAGTGCGACATGTTGTACGAGTTGTTTCAGGAAGGTGGTGTATACTACATCTCCAGCCCTTGCCGAGTCCAGATTGCCAAGAAGCAGTTCACGAACCTCAACAACGACTATGAACTTACGTTTGAGAGGGACACCATGGTAGAGAAGGTAAGAACATAATGCAGCCGAGCGCTCCAAGCAAAGCGAGATGGTACATCCGCTAACCCGTGTTTTGAACAGGCCGAGGACCAAAACGACGTGCCCCAAATTCGCTTCAATTTTACTACCATAGGTGATCTGCAATCGGTGGAGAAGGATACCACCACCGATGTTATTGGGATTTTGAAGGATATTGGCGAGACATCTCAGATCGTGTCCAAGGGAACTGGCAAACCTTATGATAAGCGTGAGCTCAACTTGGTTGACAACACTGGATATTCTGTTCGCTTGACCATCTGGGGTGCGAGTGCAGTGAATTTCAATGTCGCTCCAGAGTCCGTCGTTGCCTTCAAAGGAGTCAAGGTCTCCGACTTCGGTGGGCGGAGTTTGAGCTTGCTGAGTTCCGGTTCAATGGCCGTTGATCCTGACATTGGAGAAGCCCATCGACTGAAGGGCTGGTACGATGCACAGGGAAGAACCGAGGCTTTCACTTCCCACGCATCACTCTCTGGTGCCACCAACTCCAACATGAAGTCGGATCCCTTCAAGACTATTGCCCAAGTCCGTGAGGAACAGTTGGGCATGTCTGACCAGGTGGATTACTTCTCTCTCAAAGCAACGGTCGTCTTCATTCGCCAGGAATCTACCTGGTGCTACCCTGCCTGTCTCTCCGAAGGGTGCAATAAGAAGGTGACAGAGTTGGATGCTGGCCAGTGGCGATGTGAAATGTGCGACAAGACTCACCCTCGACCGGAGTATCGGTACATCATGCCGATCAGTGTGAGTGATCATACGGGCCAGCTCTGGCTCAGCTGTTTCGATGACACTGGACGTCTGATTATGGGCACTTCTGCGGATAACCTAATGCAACTCCACGAGAGTGATAATGAGGCGTTCCAGGCAGTGTTCCACGAGGCTAACTGCCGGACATGGAGCTTCCGATGCCGAGCTAAGATTGATACATTTGGTGAACAGCAACGGTAAGCAGAAACACTAACCTACCATGACCAACCAAGCTGACAGTGAATTAGTGTTCGATACCAGGTTTCGTCCGCCAAGGCCATCAACTACTCCGAAGAAGCTTCTCGTTTGGCGGAGATTATCAATTCTTACAGCCTGGACTAGCAAGTCCATGTGATCCGCATCCGTTGACTTGACATGATTATCTGGCTGAGTATTATTCCCCAACCTAAATGTTATCAGTGTGTGACTGAATGAGGCCGTGTTCTATTGTTATTGTTATGCGAATCATGAAAATCTACTATTAGAGGTCATCATACTGTCTAGTAAATGCAGCTTTTGTGGCTGAACTCCGAGCGTGAACCTTTGATTACACATGTGAGTCTGTAGGTAGATATTTGATACATTGCCTTCATTTGTCATGATAGTGAGCTTGATTTTTATAGAACACTGGAATTTGGTACGGTTCTTTAAAAGTTGACATTATGTTCAAAGGTATTGTCTTCTATCAATGACTAGGCCGAAAAATTGCCTCCGTTTCCACATCATCTCTTCTGAAGGTCGGGTAATCCTGATGAATGTCCCAGCAAATCTAGTGATCTAGTAGTTACAGGGCATCAAAAGCCTTGACTGCATTTTCGGCGGTCACATGGGCACTGGCTGGATTAGCTCCAGTCACAATCTGTCCATCCGAGATAGAGAAGGCGTCCCATGGGCCAGCAGGAGAGACATCTGGGTAGGTTAGTGTCCAGTCATGAACCCGGAATTGCAAAGTTGGGAGGACTTACAGGTTGCTCCACAAGATGCCGCCGAAGCCTCAATGGTCTGTCTATTCCATCCCTTGATAACATCCAGGATGCCGTGCTCCTCCTCACCACGGTTGGTAAATCCAGTCACTCGGCGGCCCGAAATGATGGACTTTCCAGTGGCGGGGTCAATGATTCCCGGGAAGATAGCACCACCATGACATCTGTAATAGTCAACCAGGTTAGTGCATGTGCGTGATTCATAACTTGGGTTATTCATATCCATACACGGCAGACACAATACCGCCATCGGTGAAGATCTTGGATGCAATGTTCTGCAATCCTTTGGCTTCCGGGTAGTCAATCAGAGATGCGTGTCCTGCCGAGGCAAAGAACAGTCCATACTAGTTCCAAAATGTCAGCAAGACTTCCTCATAAGAAATGCCGGTTTTGACTAACGTTATCGGGCTTAATATCACTGGGCTTCAACAGGTTGTCCAACTTGGAACGGAATTCACTGGAGTGATCCTCCCAGACGGCTCGATCCGCATCGTTCAGCCAGTCCTTCTGCTCGGAAAGCCAATCCGGCTGATAGGTTCCAGTCTCAGAGACGAGATCGACCTCAAAGCCGGCCTTGCGGAAGACCTGGAAAGGGTGCAGTGCCTCAGTAATGAAAAGGCCTGTGGTGATTGTTAGCGATGAAGTAGAAGCTCGCTAGAAGATCCAATCTACCTGTCTCTTTCCCATCCGGGTAGAGGGGGGCATGGGCCGAGGTGATTGCAATAAGAGCCTTGCGAGTAGGAGCCATGATGAATGGATTTTGTAGAAGTGAGTATGAAACACTTGACGTAGGTTGATGTTTATGTTTGAGATCGATGATATTCTACAGCCATGTTTTGACGGGAGATGATTGTCCTTATATACTTGAGCCTCTGATACCATGAATCTAAAATATCAAGGACACTTAATCCGCCGAAGGACCCAGTAACGTAAGCTCCGTCAATGAGTCGAAAGATCTAGAAGGACAAGCGGAGGAGGAGTATGAGCGAGTGCGAGACCGACTCCGACGGAGTTTCGCCCCACTTTGCTGAAAACGGACTGGTTCTTGGTATCTACATAGCAAGTGTCGTCAAGATGAGGGTTAAGTGTGAAATAATTAGTGCTCACCTATTGAAGGGTAGGAAATAGGTCGGAAATTCCTATGTTAAAACTTCATCCACTGGTACGTTACAATACATGATTAGAATAATGTGCATCTTTACAGATAAGCCCACTTCCAACGCCCTACCGATACGCGGGGAATGATGAATCATTTCCAAACGAGATAGAAAACTGTACCATAACATGAGCCGCAGACAGTGAATCAACGCTGCACGTGGCAATATTGAAATCAGATTGAGAACAGTAGAGTGACAGTGGTCCGATATCCTGACAAATCGTGCGCCATTGAAAGTGTCCGAGGCGATCATTCACGTAGGGTTAAGGATGATGTTTATCTCTAATATTCTAATGTTTAGTTGCGCCGAGCTTCACTTGTTGCTATGTTAAGTTCTCAAAAAGTCTCCGGGGGGGGGGGCGATTGAACTATGCTAAATGCTTGACTCTTTCGGTGGAATTAAGGTTCGATTACCAAGTCCGACGGAGTTTCCGCTCCGCCGTCTAGTCAAGATAGGTCCACTTGTTCGGAAAGGATTCTGACAGACTCCTATCACCGCGCTACCATAGACTTAAAAAAAAAATACTTAGTAAGGTGTATTTACTTGTACGGAGAGCGATCTGGTGTTTGTATCCAATGAGGTCGATGAACAAGTAATGGGCATAATTAGTGCCTAGGAAGGAACAGATGGTAAGAGCACAATTCCGTATGCCGAAGAACTCCCCCATAAAGGACTGAACTTGAAGCGGTAGCAGTAGCACGGGTGGTAATGTAGTAAAGATTGAGCACAAGCATCTCGTATACCATTTATTCCTCGATAACCTCCCCCAAAGATACCAAGGAAATGGTAGTATATACAGTGACTATGCAAAAGTATTTGGAACACCAGCCCCACACCCGTAAAACTTCCGCCAAAACTCCATGAAATTGATAAATTACCTATCCTAAGAAACTTAGATATTGTGAATGTAAATAATGAACATAAATTATGGATACAAATCCCTATTTATTATCTGCTTCAATGTTTGGAGCAATCAAACTCAATTCGATCATACTTGAATGTATAGCATGGCACCGATTAAATCGAAATCAGATAGGGCAACAAGGAGACTGAGATGACGATGTAAAATAATAGATGAAACATCAAGCGCCTCGCCATCTCTCAAATGGACGTCAATCCGAAGAACTTCTGCCCTAACATATTCTGGTTTATGAACTTCTGCCTCCAACCATGGTGGGTAATAGCCATAGCCTTCCAACCTGTGTCTGATTGCCGAACGTCCTGCATACAAGAGATTTGGGGCAATCCAAATATGATCATTTCCAACCCGGTTCTTATTCCAGTACACTTCACAGCCTATGTGAGGTTGCTGGGTTGAATCAGACGACGGAATGTCAACATCAAGCCTTACGAGAACAACTTTGGGGCGAAGGCGAGCGTCAAAAGTGACGGTGGTTATAGATTATACAACGGGGCCCCACCTCAGGTTTTGAAGATCGAAAAGTTCGGTGTTAACCTCTATTCGGGAAAGGAGGTCCTTGAGATACCTCTTCTGCTGGGTATTCAAGTCGATTCTTTGATCACCGATTATCGCGTTGACTGATTCGAGCGCTTTCTGATTTGCTTCTCGTAAGTTGTTCATCCTGAGTGGTGAGGATTACACGTTACTATAGTAAACTTTAAAGGGACTGGATAGTTTCCATACTTGTGTTTGAGAAGTAATATGTAACATAACAAGCTGCGTGATTCAAAGTTCTGGACTTCGAGACACAGCTTTGTCGAGTACTTTATTACGTTGCTGTATTACTGCATTTAAACAGTTCGAATGGAACAAAGGATAAATAATGTAGCGGCATGTGTGTTTGGAAATGGAAACGGCCACCAATTGTGCGCTGACCGAGCAGGACATTCGGGTGAATGGCCTAAAAGGTTCGGAAATGAGGCAACAAATGAGATGATATTACAGATCAACAAGTGACAGGCAACAGAAACTAAAAAAGAAGTTACAGGCCAGTGAGGTTTTTAAGCAAAATGTACTGAGAGTTAATTTGGCTACTTGGATCAGCGCGTATAGCCCCCGAGCGCATCACTGCCACCACTGGAAACATTATGGAGACTAGGCTGTACACATATTGACCAGTAAAAGGCTTTTTTTAGGGCCAATCATAAATTTTAGTGATTATTTCATCTCCAGAAACACAGAGGTGTATTTTATTATCTTGGCACGGGCTAAGCATAAATGAGGTAGGTATTCATACCAGAGTTAGATATAGCTTTAAGATTGTAACTCTAGTCTAAGAATGGTTGCACATCTGGGTTACTAGACCATAACCACAGCTGACTAGCATCAGCAAAACTAGGATCGACAAAGTATGGGTTGCCTCCGGTCCACATTAATCCAGCCGTCGAATCCATCGAAAGCAAATCTAGTTCGGGGCCGACTGAAAAGTTCGTTCCATCAAATGTCCCGTCTCTGGTTTCCCTTGGAATAGTTGCAGAGGGCTCTATATCAACAGAAAGGAGAATTAGTAAAGAGGAACAATAAATAGAGTATTCAAAGACCTCGTTACCTTGGAAATCGGGGAATCCTTCCGGTACAATCATGGAGTTTGCATGATCGAGCCGACTGTCTGCAGACACACTTGATTCGTGTGTATTCGTGTTCAGTCCGCGGGTCTGAATCTCTTCTTCATTTGTAGTTTGCGCGATGGGTTGAGAGATGATCGGATCATCACCCCGAATCACACGGTGTTCAGAGCGCAATAAGACAGTCACCAGATCCTCGAGTATCTTCACACTCTGTGCCGAAAGAAGGTGTTCATTCAAGATGGGATCATGTTGAAAACGTAAAATGTTCATCACGCCATTCTTCGCCGCTTCACTGGTGGCTGACAGAGGTTCCGAAATCGCAAAAGCGCACAGAACTACACCGGCAGTAAAAAGGCATATTCCGACATGCATGGCGGCATGAGTTTTCCCACATGCGTGTAGCGCATGACTATACTCATTCAATTGAGATGTTCGAAGCGCGGATTCGAAAAGTTGCTTTCGGGACAGAGCAGACCTTGGTAGATCATCAGGTGAGCGGTCCGTATTGGAGATTTGAGAACCTGACCCAAAGGCAAGGCTGCGGTGGAGAATGATTTGAATGTTGTCATATGTCAACTGGAGAGCGAGTGCTTGCATTTGCAGTAGGGACGGGGCCTGCAGTGTACTTTTGTTCTTATACCTTTCTAGTCGTAGGTTTTCGGGCAATTGTCTTTTCCACGACGTGAGTTGTGCGTGAATGCTCTGGACCGATTCAGGTCGACTTTTTTGGTGCCTTCGCGCTAGAAAAGGGCCCACGATGCGATACAGTCGAAATTTCCATCGATGGTAATCTAGTTGCGCTGCCTGCCGAGGTTGCTCCTCGATGTTGGTCTTGACATTTGATACCGTATCGACATCGCAGTCAGAATCGTCAACAGTGCAAGGTCGTCCAAATGCAATTGCTGCATATCTAGCAGAAGGCTTCAAAGTGAGAAAGGGCACCTAGTTGTTAGGGGAATCGGTCAAAAACAGACTTATCAAAAACCTCTAGCGCCAACCACGAACGCCTACGAGTTTCTAAACGAGTCATCGAGATGCCCGTAAGCGAGCCTTCTCGGTGTAATCGAAGAACCTGGGCAATCTTAATGCCGCTTCCAAGGATTCCAAGTCCGGCGGTGGGACGACCATTGAAAAGGTAGAAGCTCCCCAGTAGAACGCATATTTGGACGGCCTCTTCATCTGCCGAGCTCATGATTCTCAAAAATCGTTGTTCAACCTGCTTGATGATATCTCCAGAAAGCTGTTGCATGTGGGATTTCTCGCGAGACTCTCGTTTCGCGAGTGACGAATAATGAGCCCCGAGACCTAGGACTAGTAACGTAATCCAAAGATTATTGTTATCTTCCAGCGATGACACATAGGTCGAGATCATCAATTCTTCATATCGTCGTCGGAAATCCTCTTCGTGAAAGACCTAGCCAAAGATGCATCAACTTTGTGTACCTTCTGACATAACATAGAGATAGATCAATGTACCATCATAAACCAATCAACGGTCGAGAAAAAGGTGTCAACTAGAGAGTCTAGAGACTGCTTCGGGGGCAATGATATCCCAATAGCATCTCGCCACGGAACATTTTGGGGTGAAAATGCGCTTGGCACTTTCCTGCCTCCTGGTAAAGCCGAAGTATCATATTCCACGCCGACAACTAGTTTTTGCCCCAAGCATAACTAGAAACATGTTAAATGACTGTTTAAATTCACGGTTTATAGAGCTAGAGAAGGAACTCCCAGACTTACTCTCGTGCTCACATCCATAATACTGCTTTCAGGGAGAATGACCGGCTCGTCCTCTTGGTTTGGAATTTTCGGTGGATTTGGATTGTCCGTCTGGTTATTAGTGTGACGCGGGAATGCTGTACCTGGTCCATGTCGAGAGATACAAGGCACACCCGCGCGATGGCATAAATGACAGGGTCGGATGGGATCACACTAATGACCCCAGATATGACGGAATTAGTACTGTATTCAGCTTATTCTTGGGCTTCTTCCCGGCCGATCGGAGAGAGGACGCACCCCGAGTTTCCGCTTATGACATCTTTCACAAGCCGAGGAGACTTTTTGTCGTTTTCGAGGGGCATGCATCTTTTCGGTGGTGAGAATTGGGGAAATGCAAGTCCGTCGGAGTGGAGGAGAGGGCAAATAAGAATGTCTTTGCGCCAAAAGGCGATCAGTGGGCCACTTGGGCCGTCAGAACTCGGGATTATATAATGCGAGTTGCCTTGCTGGAGTTAAATGTATGAATACATAGTCACGGGAATTACAAGATGACATGTTAAGATTTAATACACCGCAGTAATATTTGTACAAGCGTGTTACAGTAGTAGTGCGGTATTATATTGTCTTAGCGCACGGACTGTTCCTTACAAAGTGGAGTCGAGAAGGCGGAGCTGACGGTGAGAAGTGGCATTACTTTTTTTTTTCCCTTTGAATTTTCCACTCCGCCCGGGGGTTTCGCGGTTTGGCTATTGGCACTCGAGAGAACTTTCTTCTCTTTATCGCCCCAGGAATTCTCTGGAAATTATCTTTTTTTTGAGAATTGAGTTCTCCTACTGAGAATTTCCCTCATCATGGCCAAGAGAGGCAACCTTGCCGAGCCAACTGAGCTGCGGCCTGCGAAGAAATCCAAGTCCGACGATAAGAAGGAAAAGAAAGAGAAGAAGGATAAGAAGGATAAGAAGGACAAGAACAATGGAGAGAAAACTGTGGAAGCCAGTTCATCTGATGAGCAGACCGGGTACACACAGGCTTCGGCGCTCACTGATCTGCCACAGTCTCAGATTGATCAGTTCCTCGAGGAAAACGTTATCAAGATCACCGATTCCTCCACAGAGGCTGCGCCGTCCTTCCGCCCCATCATTTCGTTTGACTACCTCCCCCCTGCAACGAGGATCTTTATGCTCCATTGAAGGCTTTCCCGGCCCCATCGCCCATTCAGGCCGCCACCTGGCCCCTTCTTTTCGCCGGTCGTGATGTGATCGGTATTGCGGAGACTGGTAGTGGCAAGACCCTTGGCTTTGGTCTGCCCTGCCTCAAGAAGCTGTTGGATTCCAAGCGCACCAGGAAGCCCTATCACCCCACTGCTGTGATTATCTCGCCCACCCGCGAGCTTGCGATGCAAATCTATGACCAGCTCGTCAAGTTTTCTCATGTGGCCAAGGCTGATGTAACATGTATCTTCGGTGGTGTGGGCAAGGATGAGCAACGAGTGGCACTCAAGACGGCCGCGATCGTGGTCGCAACCCCCGGTCGTCTGAAGGATCTCCAGAATGACGAGTCTGTCAACCTCAGCAAGGTCAAATATCTCGTCTTGGACGAGGCTGACCGTATGCTGGACAAGGGTTTCGAGCAGGATATCAAGGATATTATCGCCCCTATGCCAGTCTCCAGGAGACAAACGGTCATGTTCACGGCCACATGGCCTAAATCAGTTCAGGCCCTTGCTGCCACTTTCATGAACTCTCCGGTCACTGTGACCATTGGTGGTGACCCTTCTGCGGATCCCCGCGCCAACACACGGATCAAGCAAGATGTTGAGGTTTTGGACGGCCGGGAGAAAGAGAACCGACTGATCCAATTACTCAACCGCTCCCAAAGAGGCCAGAACCCGGAGAAGGTCTTGGTCTTCTGTCTCTACAAGAAGGAGGCGATGCGCATCGAGCGATTGATAAAGATGAAGGGTTTCAAGGTGGCTGGAATTCACGGTGATCTGAACCAGTCGGATCGTTTCCGCAACCTTGAGGCGTTCAAGAGCGGTGCTGCTACCGTGCTTGTTGCAACTGATGTGGCGGCCCGTGGTTTGGATATTCCTGCCGTAATGTTGGTTATCAACGTTACCTTCCCTCTGACGGTAGAGGACTACGTGCACCGTATTGGACGAACCGGGCGAGCCGGAGCGACTGGTCATGCCATAACATTGTTCACCGAACAAGATAAAGCACTTTCTGGCGGGTAAGTTACACATACCTATGACATCTATGCATTATTGTTGTCTATTCGAATCTGTTTACTGACTTGACTCGAACAGGTTGATCAACGTACTGAAGGCTGCTAAGCAGGACGTGCCCGAGTCCTTGTTGAAGTTCGGCACTACTGTCAAGAAGAAGCAGCACGACGCTTACGGTGCTTTCTTCAAGGACATTGGCACCGACAAGAAGGCCACCAAGATTACATTCGATGACTGAGGGTTTGGATATAGACAACTCGATTCCAAGATCTATTCGGATTTCGTCCTTTTCGAGCGGGAAGATATGACTTGCCGCACCTTCGCCAATTGTTCTGCCACGTATCGTTTCTCCATATAAAGCCTGTTATTTGTTATGTTTGAGTACCCGGTGTCCAAAAGCGAGGGGTGGTTCGGTTTGACTTACACCAAAAGCCCATAGACCCCACTGAATAAAATTGCTGGCATGATACCCCCACTTGGTTCCAAAATTCCCTTCTTAGCCACGATCGTAGTTGCAATGGCTCCAACGATGAAAGTGATAGGGCGCATGCTCACTTCACTGATACGGATGCCATCACCATGTCGGTGCAGATAAGTTCGGATGAAGCTATAGCTCCACAGAGTTCGGACAGCCATGTTGACAATATTGGCCAGAACAAGTCCGTATGCACCCATAGAGCCAACTTCCAGGAACAAGTAGGCTGCCAGGGCGTAGCAGGTCGAGAACGCGCCCATCCAGACAGTCTGGTTCCGGATCTCCTTTGGGTTGGCCGCGGATGACACGAAAGCTTCAGTGATGCCGTTAAATGCTAAAAATGGGATGTAGTAACAATACAGCGACAGCAGATCGCCCACTTTGGTCGAGGCCCACTGTCGACCACCCAATAGACCAAGCACCTGCGGCACCATTAAAGGACCCAATGGAAAAATGAGAACCGAAAGTAGTTGATAAGCGCGGAGAATGTCGATCAAATGCTTCTTTGCCGCCCGGACCTGAGTCGCATTTCGTTTGCCTTGGTCATCTGGGCTGAGCAGGGTCGAGAACAGGTTTCGACTGCTTTCTTCCAGAGGCTGGAATATGATACGAGCAACGAGTCCTCCGTAATTTGCTGCCAAGGAGTAAATTCCTTGATCTTCCAGGGTAGACATAGCTGCAAGCATCATTGCGTCACCTTGGGTGAGGAGATGCTTCACCAACGATTGTACAAAGACACTAGCAGCCAGCGACATGAGATGGCGGGGGAATCGCCCCCAGAGGTATTCCGAGGAGTTACTAGAGATATTAAGTGATGGTTTCTTGACTTGCGTATTTGGAAAACCCTTACCTGGATCTTATCTTCTTGAGAATAAATGTGAAGCGCCTCTCATCAGCTCCTCGAAGCATAGTCCAGCAATAACCACAGATAAGGGCAATAGAATAGCTCAGATGACCCAGGGCGAAAGGCAAAGCACCAGCAGGCTGATTGATGCGTGATGCAAATAAAAAGCTCGAGCACGTTACGAGACTGCGGAGAAAAGCAGCGGGCATTTCCACCGCCGCTCGTTTCTCATACCACATGCGCTGCTGAATGACCGCAAAGAATGGCTCGATGCAAAGCTCCAAGAGCGAAGCCAATCCTGTCACGGCCACACTCGCCTGGAAAAAGGGCGTATCTGCTGCTTGCGTCGGGGCAAAATACTGGTAAAGCGAAGTCACCAGTATCGTGAAGGGCAGACCAAGACATAGACTCAAATAAGATACGTTCACCACTGACTGGGACGAAACAGCCAGCTGATCTAGTGAATTGGTTGCATCCGTTTTCGAATTTTCTTTGCTGTCTAATGATGGCGCTGATACTGGCGTCAGGGGCTGTCTTTGGATAGCCAGGCGGATGCTTTCCCTGGAGAAATACAAGATGGTGACTTGGTAGAGTTCCAATTGAGCAGCGATTCCCAGCACAATCGGCGACAGTGTTCGAAGTATCAACTGATTAGACGCGAAAGTGAAAATTCTTGACGCTAGTTGAATCATGATCAAGAATGTTGTGCCTGTGGCGGATGATGCCAGCATGTTGCCCATGCGGGCTTCAGTGGGTTGCGACATGATGGGCTGTCCACCTGGTCGCACTATAATTGTCGTGCAGGCAAGGGAAGAGGAAAGCCTCTCTTTCGTTTCTTTCCCTTCCTATCGTTTTCACAAGGCGGTCGAAAGCTTAGATAGCTAGAGAGTTTTCTGTAGTTGGTAGTTGAAAGGTGGTTTACTTGCTCGAGGGCGGTCAAAAGGTGCAGATTGAAGGGGAAAGCTGCGAATGTTCAACTTTGCTACCTCCATACAGATCATTCAATCCACGGCAATATGCCTTATGATTCTAGTATTCCAATGGTTGTACGTTCTGTTGTTTCTGGCATGCTTGTTATCGAAAAGTGACCACTACGATTTCTGTGCGGGATGAAAGACTCTGCCTAAAATGGACTGTGGGACTGTAGGATCTGTCGAGTATATAAAAGATCTGTTACTGATCAAATTTCAAGACAAAAAAAGCAGAGACAGACAGCCGTCTGTCATGAGCACATGCAACATGCTCGTTGATCTACGGTGTACAATATGGAATACAGTTTGTCGCCGGCGACAAGAAAAGGTCTGAAGATCATTGCTCGGGTCATGGTGCTCTTCTCCTTGCCAAGACAAGATGCCAGCCCAGATCCCTGCTGTGCAACCCTGGTCTGCTTGGCCAAATGGAGAATTGCAGAAGAAGTGACCGATTGCCGCGAGAACCGTCCCACTGTAAAAATGCCCACAAAAATGTCCGAGGGGGATTTTAGAATGGTGGGAGGTAGAATGGGTAGCCACCATTCTTGGTCTTGAACACGCTGAGCAGGAAGCTATAGGTGCCAAATAGGACACCGCACCAGATCAAAACAGCCAATTGCTGTCCCTTGACATCCTCCATGCGGGGGACCTTCAATGCAAGAGCGATTGTTGCGAATGAGAGAACAGCATCTGTACGAAACTAAGGTTAGGTATCACGAGCATTGCATTGACCAATACAGACGGGAAATTTTCAACTTACAGATGGCAGCCACAATCTGAGTCTCCAAGCCAAACTGGTTTTGGAACCCACCGGCAAAGTAGCTGATGCCACCATTGCCATCTCCGGCCACGTAAGGAACCTTCCGAATATGATTAAACATCTGACCACTAGTGAATAGAAGAATGGCGATCAAGCTGAAGGCGGCCCAGAGGTTGCGATTCTGGATGATGGGCAGCAGGTAGGGCGAGAGCACTGTGAAGAGAGTGATGGCACCCAGGAGAATGGTAACCGCCGAGACAATGCGCATATAGTTGACTGGTCGAATCAACTGAGGCTTGGGGCCATCAGGCAGGTGACGATTGATCCATGCATAGAGCTGGTCGGCAGAGATTGGCCTAGGTTTTCGATAGTAGGTTAGTAGATTATTCCCAAATGATAGACAGTAGGCTCTCAATTACCCAGTAAAGTCAAATCTGGCGGGCTCGGCTTCCAACTTGGCGAAAGGTCCAACGGTAGGAGGGAAGAGAAGGATGACGGGGGCGGTTTGGAGCATGAGCTGTTTTGATTTAGAGAAGGTTCAATTAGCCATTGGCTTCGCAATTGGTTGCATGGAGATATCCTTCGATAGTAATCTCACCTTTTGGAAGACAGCCTTGCCCTGATCGAAGTCGAGAGTTCCGAAGACGAGCTTTAAATCATCCGGCTTGTTGCCCTTGTTCCAGCTCTTGGCAATTAGATTCCATTCGGGATCAAATTCACGACACATGGCGCAGCCATAACGAGCATCCATGGCCGTCAAAATGACAGCCGTATAGTAGTCTCGAGGGGCATTCGTCAGCTCCTCGTAGGCGGCATTGTCCAAATCAACTGGTCCCGAGCGAGAGAGGGACTGGTATTTTTGGAATGTGTCTTGCGCGGGTTTCGCGGCGAGAACGCCGGAAATGGCCGAGATAGAGAGGAGTAGCGTGGACCAGAGCTTCATGTTGGCATGACAAGAGGAGTGTGGTGGAGAATATGGAAGCTTGGAGAGAGAGTCCACGCAGCTTGTCTCCGATCCGCTCAGTCGACCTGAAAGGTGTCCCCATCCCGCAGGCTTACATAATGTCCCCGCCCAAAACACTGACGCGTGTTCCCCGTTCGCCGGAGCGCGGCCGGACTTGCGACTAGTGACGAGCTGTTGATTTGGATAGACATTGTCATTTTCGAGTCTTGGAAGCTCAATTTTTATCATGGCAGGCGCTTCGGAGTTGTCTTCTCTGGATGTATGTTCTTCAACCTTCTTTCATTTGCTCCCGTGACTGACCGAGCCAGTACGAGATGTCCATCAAGACAGTGCGCCTTGAGAAGGAATATGAAAAGGCAATTGCAGAGTCGGCGCGGCTGTTGGATACCGAGCGAGACCGAGCGCGACGAATGGAGTATCTACTTCTTCAGATCGATCGCGATGCCCTACAAGCGAAATTCGACCAAGCCAACGACCGGATAGTTGTGTTGACACAGGCCGAGTCCGAAGCGCGCTCTCGGTTGGATGAAGCTTTCCTCGAAATTGATTCCTTAGATCACCACATCCAAGCATCATCAAATCAAATCCAGAGGCTAACAGTGAGTGTTTGATCTGTTATGAGAGAAGTTGTAGTGCGCTGTGCTAAACTTTGGATCTGTAACAGGACGAACTTTCAACACTGAATAATACATCAACCAGCAATAATACGCTGCTGACAGAGAAGATGCATTTATCCCGAGAATTGACCAATGCCAAGTCCAAGCTCGAGCGGTTACAGACTCAGAATACATCACACCAGTCAATTGTGGCCGAAAAACAGGCTCTGGAGCGGCAACTCAACACGCTAGAACTCCAACTTGAAAACGAGAAGAATTCCCATGAGCGGACGAGAGTGAAGAGCTCTGAACAGACGACGCAAATCACCAAACTCTCATCAAAGATTGAAGAGCTTCAGAATGAACTTGCAAAGGAACAACGAGCAAATCAACAACGTGAACAAGATCGACAGTCGAATGCGGGATGGGAAAAGGAGCGATCGGTCTTGGAGGGAAAGATCGAAACGCTACGAAAGCAACTTCGCTCGACCAAGGATAAGCTCCATGAGGCGCAGCATGATTTGCAACAACGCAGCAACAGCCGCGGTATTGAAGCGGATGGCACAGAAGCAGGGTCAAGAAGGGTTCCGCTCCAGCGTCCTGGACCTAGCGCAGATTCCCTCGGCGGGGGTATGACCATCGCAACGCCAGGAGCTGTGCGCGTGCAAGAAAAGCCAAAGAGACCATCCGCGCTGCCGGGCGACAAGTCTGCGTTTTCGATAACCCCATTCCTAAACCGCACTGGCGCCGCGCCGCGTGACTCTCCGATGAGCTCCGACGTCGATGAAGACGAAATTGAGCGGGCAAGGAATCGAACTACCGCTGCAGCGCGTAAGCCCAGTGCCGCTCGTGACTCGAATGATGTAATTTCGTCACCTAGCGAGCAGGCTGGTCCCGCTCAGCCACCTCCTAAAACGAAATCAACCACAGCGAAGCCGCAGGCACGAGCGGGGAAATCTGCAGCATCGAAAGCCACACGAGAGCCGAAACAGCAGATGAGTCGCCCAGCCAGTAAGGTTTCCCTCGAGGAACCTGATGATCTACTGCATGACGGCCCCGCCGAGGCAGGACCGACCAAGACCAAGAGGAGGAAACTCGGGGCCCAGCGAGAGCGCAATCTGTTTGAGGACGAGGATGATGATGATATGCTTGACCTCCGCAAGCCGCGAAAGTTGACTCTTGGTGCTGGGCGCCAGTCGGTGCTTGCGGCGCCTCTATCCACTGCGTCTACTGGGGATTTGCTGGGCCGTGGTGGAGGATTTGGTGCGGCTAGGGCATTTTCACCTTTGAAACGAGACCGCATGCGATAGATTCAGTCAATGCCAGGCTCAGACTAGGACAACATAGTCATGATTCTTTATACACATGATGGACTGTGGACTCTTCTTAGCCGGAAGTTGTACTCTTTTTTACTTCATTTCTATCCACTCGTACCAGCTTCAACCTTACATATATGCTCACTTTTAGATGATTCATACGCTGAAGCTAATTAATCACACGATAACTAGTGCTTTCGCACGTTATGCTACATATGCCCCTTTGGGATATAATTGGTGGAGAACAGGTACATATGGATGCTTGACATGTAGACCAGAGAAACGGGTTTACTATGTGCATGTAACCACACCTGCTTAAACTTTCTCTCTTGTAAAACACCTTTCTAGATGTCTTTCGAACCGTCTTTTTTAATAGCTAATGGTTCTTTATAGTCTAGGTTATTGTTTAACGTCGTGACTAATAAGACAATTGTGAAGACATAACTATCAGGGTTTCCAATAGAATCTTGCTGTATGTATCTATTGCCTGCACTCTTGCTCTCCTTCTACCAACACCACAGGTCCTCACTCATCCTCAGTCTCCTCCCAACCTCGTAATCCCAACCTCAGTCATCACCAAAGACTTCCACCATCTCAAATCGAAATATGGAGCCGAACGCAAGAAACGACCAGCCTGGTGGGAGTCAGAAAAAGCCGTTGACTAGTCCGAACACCAACGACCTGGGCCGGGATCTGGAATGGTAGAATATATTTCGCATCTCCCTCCCTTCGCATTGAAATTTCATCTGATTCACTTTACTTTCACTATAGAGTCACACCCAAATCACCAATCATAGCTTAATTGAGGAAAAAGAGAACCCTCCCGACCCCTCTCAGCACAAAATGATCGAGGAGGCGTCACTGCTATAATACGATGCCGAGCAGATAGTAGCCGCCAGAAGGCTGTTTCAGCCTTCTTGCGAACATACGTGCTATAAATGCGGAAATATTAATGATGAGTGGTGACAACAAGGCACTCAAATCTGAGCATCGGAAACTCGATTCCCATCGCTAGAGCTATCCCGCTTTATCTCGCCCCGGACGATATGGATGATTTCGCTATTGTCTACAAATTCCCTTAATGCCCTTCCCACCGCTAATCTTTTTTGAACCCACAGGAATGCCATGGTCTCTATAGGGTTATAGGCCTTAGTTAAAGCAGCTTCTATCCTGTTTGACGACCCTCGGACAAGCCTCCCTCATGATTTCGGGAGCCACGGGAGGATCTTGTCGCTTTGCTGCTTGAGAGGCGATACGAAGAGGCCGAGGAGATGAGTAGCACTTTTCTTTGTGGAGACGAGTGTTCTTGGTCACTTACAAAAGTTCGCCGACTCATCATGTTTCGCCCTTTATGTTATCCAAACATAGCCACCAATTCCAAGACAAGAAAGGTTCTTCTTTTAGTAGCTAGATCATACCTAAGTCAGCTGTTCTAATACTTACAGAGATCCTTAGTATAGAAGTGATTATAATATGATCGTTTCTTAGAAAGCGATTAATTGAATAGCAATATCTAGCAATTTAGCAAGAGAACAGGAGAACTACTCTTCATCCAGATAGGACTCGTCTTCACAAAGGAAAGTGCTACTCATCTCCTCGGCCTCTTTGGGGGCGATCCAGGTAAAAAGATTCGAGTTTCTTGATGGAGATTTAAGGTCCTGGGTGTCATATTTGAGCCTCTTGGAATCGTATTTGAGTGTCCGAGTATAAAATTTGAGTAACTTGCTGTCATCCCCCAATTTGCCTAGCCTTGCACGCATTTCCGCAAGAAGGCTGGAGTCGCCTTCGTTAGCAGCCATTCTCTGCTCCGCGTACTCGGTATCGTATTGCAGCAACGGCGCCTCGTTTACCATTTTTTTTCACGTAGGTGTCGAGAGAACTAGAAGAAGATAGGCAATCTGGGTGTGACGTTCTAGTAAGAGAGGACCAGTTGAGGCTCTTATGCGAATAGAGGGACACGCGAGATGGTCTTAACCATTTCAGGTTGCGGGCCTAGGTTCTAGTTAGGGTTAGGAGTTCGGATGAGTCAAGGGCTTTTTCTGTATCCTCAAAGACGAATCATGACGACACCTTGTAAGTACATAGTGGCCGTCTTCCTGAGAACTGCTAAAGCGACGATACGTTCCTTATCCTAGTTTAGTATAGTAATGGTATTACTGGTTTCTAAGTAGGATATTATAGTTGTAGTCCAAGAGCTAAGTCTAGAAACCAGAAAACCAAGGACTAAACGGATAAGCTTCAATGACTTTCATCTCAAGGATCTTTCTGGGTGCCTTCCGAATCATCTTTCTTGTTGGCACATATTATATCTGTAATATACCTTCCGACTGGGTGCACTGCTAAAGGTGATTTTTGAAATTCGTCAAGCTTTTAAACAAAATGGAACCCACAGGGCTGTAGAAGACAGTGATACTATAGGTAATGGGCTTTTGCATCAATCAGAAGTTCTCCTGCCAGACCTTCAAAAATGAAATTTCATACTGAGAATCTCAGTAATACATCGTATTGTATTATTTGATACCTCTCAGCTGTTCTAGATTCCTCCATGTCTCCACTGGGCCGCTGGGCGGAGTCGCGTTCTGTCGCGTTCTGCCGGCAGAAACATTTCCTTCAGCCTCGTCCGCGGTTCTTCTCCATGAGATCATCTTCAAACATTAACGTCATGTTTGCATTCTTCTCCATTCGGCCTAGAGCCATTGGGGCCTCCGGACTGTTTAATCAGATTAGGCATGCTTCATCCAAGCGCTGGCAGGCCCGCCAACAAAAGGATCAATTTACCAGAGAGGCAGCAGTGCAAGGCCTGAAAAGCCGAGCTGCGTTCAAGTTGTTACAGGTACGGAGCCCTGTGATATTCCCTATTATCAACCTGGATAATGTAAATTCTGTACCTGGATGAAACAAGTCGCTAACGAAAGCAGATTGATGAAAAGTACCGGATATTCCGACGTGGACAAACCGTTGTCGATTTGGTATGCGTCGTTCACAGAATCGGTCAGGGGAAAAGACCAGGGCTAACATGTCAACCTCAATCAGGGCTATGCACCAGGATCGTGGTCACAGGTAGGCTTACCAGATACTGATTTGATATAGCTTTACAAGCATTCTAAATCAATCATCTAGGTAGCCGTGAGCCGGACACAGCCAAACGGCCGAGTCCTCGGCGTAGATATCATTCCCGCACAACCACCAAAAGGCGTTTCGACCATTCAAGGAAACTTTCTCTCGCCTGAAATTCAAGAATACATCCAAGATTTCTTGCGCAACCCGAACCGGGGTCGACCGCGTCAGCCCGGTGCCATCGACGACGCCAGTTCCAGCTTGCTCGAACCAACTAGCGATGCAGAGGCCGATGGCACAGGATCTGAGGATGGGGGATTGGAAAGGACGGTGGATGTGGTTCTCAGCGATATGTCTGCTCCCTGGTACCAGACATCCGGTTTCTGGAAACGAAGTCTAAGTAATCCCTATCACAGGATGATGAACACCAGCGGAAATAACTTTAGAGATCACGCCGGGAGTATGGTGAGTTTCTTCTTGACTACCAGGTGGCTTGCTTATATAGCACACCTGAATCCCTTGCACAGAGCTTGAACTGATTTTTTTTTTCTTTTTTGGGAAATAGGACCTTTGTAATGCTGCGTTGAGCTTCAGTTCGAAGGTTCTTAAGGCAGGCGGGCATTTTGTCTGTAAATTCTACCAGGGAGCAGAGGATAAGGAGTTGGAGATGCATCTCAAAGATATGTTTCAGAAGGTTCATCGACTTAAGCCTGAATCATCACGCAGCGTACGCCTTGTTCCATTTCCCCCAAACTCCACCGACTGTCAACTAAATAAAAGGTAATTGATAGGAATCCAAAGAGGCCTTTTTCGTCGGGCTTGACCGCAAGTCGTGAATCACGCTCGGTTCATCCGACCTCCACGACGCCAGACAAGATTCGAAATGCTGGACTTCTGATCCTCACAGCATTTCAATCTCGTCATTATCCGAGGCTTCGTCCCACTCTACGTCGGCCAAAGCTGCCTCGGCCTTCTCTTGGACCTGATGATCATTCGTGAGGATTTCGAAGGCAGGGGACTTGGTCATTACTCTATGGGATTCACACACCTCTTTGAGTCCACTCAGCTCCTCCACATACCCTCGCTCGTTGAGGGCCTTTCGAACAAAGTCCCAGCCTTGTTCTCGGTATGCACCTGTGATCCTGTCCGAACAAGCGCTACAGCACGAGTAACTCTGACCGGTAACTGTGAGATTCTCAAACGTTGCGAGGAATCCTCGGATTTGATGTGGTACGAGCCCTAGGGGATGGTCTCCTCGGTCATCACTGCGGGTCACTGGGGCTGGTGCAGCGGCGCCTTGCGGGTGCTGAATGATCGAGACGAGGAGTTCCACTAGAAGTGCAGAAGCGATTGCGGCAACTCCTGGGCGAGTAACGGTACATTGTTGATCGAGTGTCTGGTCTTTGATCGACTATTTTGGTGGTTAGCCTGGCATCACCAAAGAGAGTCTGGATCTTACGTTCGCAGGTGCTACTACATCATTACAGAAGTAGCATCCCAGATTCGCCGGAGCATCTCCAGTCTCGGAGATTCCGTGACGCATAACAACGAAGGAATCGAAACCCAATGCCGCATTCATTACAATCTTCCCCGCTGCTTTTCCCATCACCGTGGGTAGCCACCTTGACTCTCTTGTGTCCATGAGAAGGAATATCGCATCATGCTCGTCAATGAGCTTTTGCAGAGCTTCGAATTCTGCTCGTGTCGCATCCTCGTCCATAATCGGGTGACCAGCCATGGGTACTGAAAGAAGATGCCCGGATGTTTCCACCCCTGGGTAAATTTCCTTCAAGGCCTCTGATGCCCGATGAGCCTTTGGTGCGCCGCCATTCAAGCAGTCGGAGAATGTAAAGAGCGGTTGACGGACAGGGTTAGAGAATGAAACAGTGCCTGAGTCCACAAAAGTAATTTTCTTCACTCCCCATCCCTAGAATAGTGGGAGTAGTGGTAATTAGTCTCAGCATATTAGACGAAGCTTGAAGAACAACGCTACATACCAACAGGTTACGGGCAACGTAGCTCCCGAGAGTACCGGCCCCGAGCAAAAGACATTTGGTGTGCTTGATCTTCTCGAGATTCAGTGAAGGGCTAATGCGCCATTTCATGAGTTTGAGATTGAGGTCGACCGACTGATCTGCCAGCCTGTATGTCACGTAAAAACAAAGATATCAGTACCCGCCGACAGCGTCCTTGTTCCAGAAGTAAAGCGCGTACCTGGTTGGATCCATATATTCCGTTAGGTTCACGATCCTGCCCGCCAACTTTCCGGCTGGGTTACGCTCCCAGCCAGTGATTTTGGGCATTTGAATGGGTGTTAGCTCTGGTTTGGCAATCGAGGTCGCATCACCTCCGACAGGCTTCGATTCCAGACGAATAACCATGCTGCGACCCTGATCACGCTTTGATTGGACGTCGCGATATCGTAGAATCTGCACTCGATCTAGACCCCACCGTTGCTTCACAAGCACCAAAAGATTGCGAAGCATCCAGCCGGGAGCGTTCTCATAATTAGAAGGGTCGGCGAAGCAGACATACCGGTCTTCGGATGCTGCGCCTGTGAAAAAGTCTTTCTCGTATTCCGACAACTCGGCAATTCGCCATGAGCTCTGGGATGAGTTCCCGGAGGAAGTGCGCAGCTTGCGGGCCAAGAAGAACCCACGCTGTCGGCTATCAACTCCATAGCTCCATGTTTGCACAGCATCTACCAGAGCAGCGCTGTCTTGAGAAGCGAGGTGCTCGCCTGGGGGTGCACCGGCGGCCTGGGACTCGGCTGAAGCCACGGGAACCCAGGATGGATCGGAGTGGATGGCGGGGAACGCAAACCAGTAGTAAAACTTATATTTCTTCAAATCGGCAAAGGAGAGAATAATGAAGGACGATAGCAAAGAGGGGCAGGAGTAGATCGTGCCGTCGTTGATAGCATCCCAGATCTGTGTATGCGAGGTTCACTGATTAGCTGCGATCGCCCAGTGTAAGTCATGGTAGGCCTAAGTCAAGAAGATCGTACCGTTTTCCCTGCCTGGAGAATCATCTGCTGCTTGTCCATGTTACGATAGTCTTCGATCGTGTTGACATTCTTGATCATGCCTTCGGCTCGGTAATAACTCGCTGGTGCCCTGCGTGCGCCCGTCTCGTTAGCGGAGAGGAAGTCTATAATCTACTTGTAACTTGTGGGACATACTCGGTGTTCACCAGAGCATTTCCATGGATCTGGATTCGACAACTCGCATTGTCTGCATCGGTGGAGCGGATCTCATAGAGCCCCAGCACGGATCGGGCGGAGTCATTGAGCTTATCATGGTTGATCTTATGTGAGGCGAGCGCCGTGTAGAACGGCAGCTCGATATCGGACGCATACGGCGCGTACTGCATCGCTGGGAAAGGTGAGGTGTATGGAAGTCGTAGGCCGGTGGCCAACCGAAGGTTCGATCGTAGAGATCAGTATTATGTTCTTTGAAGCTGGTGGGAAGTATATCAGAGGAGTCGATTCGAAGTGGAGTGGAGGAGGGGAAAGTGGGGGTGATGTAATCGTCTAATCGTCGCGCGTCCCAAAGAAAAAGGAAAAACGAAAATAAAACCGCGTGACTGGTCCTCGTGAACTCAGGCACGAGCTCATCTCTACCTAAAACTCTCTGGTCAAATTTGGCCCCTCATCACTTCTACTTCCTCCTCAGTGATCTCGTGGTCTACTGGTTAGGTAATTTTCAGAATGCTTATCGGCTTATGCGGAGGTCAGCAAAATACTCGTTCCTCTCCCCGCGCCGGCACATGAATTAACTCCCCCGCTCTATAGCTATCTGTGCGGGCAAGCACGCGATTGCCGAGTATTTGATCCAGCACGAAGGCTTCCAGCTTCTGGAGCTGGCCACCAAACCTACCCAGCGCATTACCGATGAGCCCGATGATGACCTCCGTTTACAAGCCTCCGAAATCCGAAAGAACCGAGACCGAAAAGATCGAGATGGCCAGTCCGAACTGGTATTGGATACCCCGGAGGACTTGTTGGATTTTGTGACCAAAAGATGGCAAGAGAAGTGGGTAACGACCGATATCGCAGATGGCTCGACCCTCGATCGCTTTCTGCTGCGACCTTTCTTCCTCTTGGTGAGCGTGGATGCTCCCGTCAGTCTGCGCTGGAAACGATTCTCAGACCGGTTCGTGGCCCGACCCCACTTTGGTACATTGTGATGAATGAAAGTGGTGGATAGCAGACAAACTTATGATGGTTGTATGATACAGGTGCTGGCGAAGACAACTAGACCCTCCCGATCTAGAAAAGTTCGTGTTATGGAACGATCGCCATCTCTATGAAAAGGACATTGGGCGAGTCTATCTCACCGATAGAGCCCAGGTGCGCCTTTTCAACTCCTCTTCATCCCTGGAGGATCTCCACCGTGCTCTCAAAACTTTGGACCTGGCCGATGAGCAGCGTCTACGGCCGAACTGGGATCAGTACTTCATGCAGCTGGCGTCTCTTGCCGCGCAGAGAAGCAACTGCATGAAACGCCGAGTTGGGTGTGTACTCGTTCGAGAACGCCGAGTCATTAGTACTGGTTATAACGGAACACCTCGCCACCTGCCCAATTGCAATGAAGGTGGATGTACGATGATTGACTCCCTTCCTGTCAGGTAGACTGTGTCCCGCTAAACATTTACTAGGTCCCCGGTGCAACCGCGGTGATGGTGGAGGAGTCGGTCTCTCCACCTGTCTTTGCCTCCATGCTGAGGAAAACGCTTTGCTGGAAGCTGGCCGAGAACGCATTCGCGAAGGTGCAATCCTCTATTGTGACACGTAAGTCTTCATATAGCAACGGCCTTTGATGATTCCCATAATAATATCTTATGCACGATTACAGGTGTCCCTGCTTGACTTGCACGGTCAAGATTACCCAGGTCGGCATCTCCGAGGTTGTGTACTCGCAAGGCTACAATATGGATAGTGAGGTAAGTTCAAACGGATAGCCGCCGATCGGACCAAGGGTCTTTGCTAATGCCATGTACTCTAGAGCGCTGCAATTCTTGAGGCGGCAGGTGTAAATTTGCGACAATTCAGCCCTGTAAGTTCATCATTTCAGTCTCATTTGATCAATGTTTGCATATTAATTATCTTCCCAGCCATCAAATGGTCTTATTTACTTGTAGGACTCTACTTGAGTCATCAATCAAGTTCGAACATCCATGATGATAACGATAATGACGACGAGACGAGATAGAAAGCCGTGGACAAAATGCATTTGTGTTTCATGTTGGTGCACAGGAGGAGATGGCATTTGATGGTAAGCGGGAGTACTAAGCGATACAGTGCATGGCTGTGGATTAAGTTGAATTTTGGAAGCCCGGCTGGAATGACGAGAGGGCCGGAAATGTTGAAATATTTTATCATACAAGCTGCATATTCTTGGGATGAAATCAGAGTCATGCTTTTGCTCTATAGCACTCATTGTTTCTCGCCGAATTCTAAATTGTTTCATATGACTCAATATCCCATAGATAATTGACTGTATGAAGATGCCAAGACGTGACCGTGGATCCCATGTGCAGGACCTGACTAACCTAAAGCAGTTAGAACCTTTGATATTTCCCCACAACTCGGTGGACTTTCTGCGGGCAGAAAAACGAAGGGCGTATGACTCAGCGGGGTGAATTTTGGAGGGGCTGTCGAATGACTCCGATCTTCCCCTCCAGGCTTAAAAACACGAGACTCATTCCTCATACACTGTACGTCGCCTTTGTGACTACAGAAATTTCTTTCCAAAATGCCGACTGTTCACCTTTTGGACTATGTTGCGGGGAACATCCGTTCGTTGGTCAATGCGATCAACCAGGTCGGATATGAGGTGGAATGGGTCAAGACCCCCGAAGATGTGAAGAACGCCGATGTACGTGAAATTCCGAAGCTATAATGGACAACTGGCCTTGGATTGCCACCCAATTGTTCAATTCCTTTTTGAATGTCCGGACTGACAATTTGCTTTGCATGACAGAAATTGATCCTCCCCGGTGTCGGCCACTTCGGCCACTGTCTCTCGCAATTGGAGCAGGGCGGCTTCCTGGACCCGATTCGCCAGCACATTGAATCCGGAAAGCCTTTCATGGGAATCTGTGTCGGTCTGCAGGCTCTATTCCAAGGCTCCGAAGAAGATCCCAACGTTCCTGGCCTGGGTGTCATTCCCATGAGCATTCAAAAGTTCGACGACAAGTCCAAGAGTGTGCCACACATCGGATGGAACTCGGCGATGAACACGGAAATTGAGAGCAAGAAGCAGAGTTTCTATGGACTGAGACCGACTAGCAAGTACTACTACGTTCACTCGTACGCGGCGCCTTACCACCCCGGAGTACTCGAGGCAGACGGCTGGTCGGTTGCGACAGCTACATATGGTGAGGAGGAATTCATCGGCGCTATCAGCCGGGGCAATGTCTTCGGTGCTCAATTCCACCCCGAGAAGAGTGGTGTGGCTGGACTACGAGTTATCCGCGCTTTCTTGACCGGTGACCAATTCCAATCTCTTCCCCAAGAACTGCTTGCTGGTAAGGAGGATGGCCTGACACGCCGAGTGATTGCCTGCCTCGATGTGCGAGCAAATGACAATGGAGATCTCGTCGTGACCAAGGGTGACCAATATGATGTGCGCGAGAAGAGTGGAGCGGAGGCAGGCGGCCAGGTTCGCAACCTTGGAAAGCCCGTCGATATGGCCAAGAAGTATTATGAGCAAGGAGCCGACGAAGTCACCTTCCTCAACATCACATCCTTCCGCAACTGCCCCGTGGCAGACACACCTATGCTGGAGATTCTCCGGAGGACATCAGAGACTGTCTTTGTTCCCTTGACCATTGGTGGAGGAATCAAAGACACCGTCGACACCGACGGCACCACTATTCCCGCGCTGGACGTTGCGACGATGTATTTCAAATCCGGTGCAGACAAGGTCAGCATTGGCTCAGACGCAGTCTTTGCCGCCGAAGACTACTACAAATCCGGACTGAGCGGACGCACAGCCATTGAGACAATCTCCAACGCCTACGGCAAACAGGCCGTCGTGGTGAGCGTCGATCCTAAGCGGGTCTACGTGGATCGACCAGAAGACACCACTCACCACACGTTGAAGACTGCATACCCCAACGCAGCCGGGCAGAGCTACTGCTGGTACCAGTGCACGGTCAAGGGTGGTCGTGAGACTCGCGATATGGATGTGCGACAACTGGTGCAGGCCGTGGAGGCGATGGGTGCTGGTGAAATCCTGCTCAACTGCATCGACAAGGACGGTAGCAACAGTGGCTTTGACTTGGAGCTGATCAACGATGTCAAGGCCGCCATTAAGATTCCCGTCATTGCCTCCAGTGGAGCTGGAGTACCGGATCACTTTGCAGAGGTCTTTAGCAAGACGACGACCGATGCGGCATTGGGCGCAGGCATGGTAAGTTCCAATCAAGGATATCCGACTTTTGACCCGTATAAAGGCACTGGCTGACATTGGTTGACATGATCTAGTTCCACCGCGGAGAGTATACCGTGAGCCAGGTCAAGGATCACCTCAAGACCGAGGGATTCTTGGTGCGCCAATTCGAAGCCGATCTTTGAGCGAAGGCATGATCTTGGAGCGGTAACCGCTTTCATATAGATAGAATTTACGTTGAATGAACACATAGACCAGTCTCTGCGCACGTAAATTAAGTTAGTACTGCGTACACAGTGAGTTAGATAAGAAGTCCGGAACCGGACCGGACTGCCCCTCGATGACCTAAGCAAGGCGGTAAAATTAGCGGCGTCAGGTGAACTTTTCCGGTCGCCACTTCACCTCACCACCTCGCCTCCTCTCCCTCTCCGACTTCATCGAAGTACTCGCATTTCGACCTCACTAACACCATCCCCTGATTCATCCGGGTTCTTACAGTCAATCCCACATCAGACTCATCGCGTCTGTGCATGGCAACCATCTCCGAATAACTTCCGAGACGCCAGCGACTGACCCACGGAAGTCCCTTTCTCAACGCGTCTGTGGTGAGATCGAACCTCCTCTTCCCAAGTGACGGAGGTGGCTGTTCAGAGAGGACACGAGAAGGATTGATATCGCTTTTCTCAACTGGTGTCTCTTTGCCTGGCGACAGTTTTCCTTGTGTTTTGCCTTTTTCTGTCTTCGACACAATTGTATCCATCAGTGTTTGATCGTCATTTGTATGCAGTGTGACCGCTCACCTTTCAACATTCAAGAGAAAGATTCATTTTCAGTCTCTCCTCTCGAGCATTCCCGATAGACCAGAAGCCTATCGATCATCCACTTCTGCCCATAAAGAAAAAGAACCAATCCCCCCCCCCTCCCCAAGACACATTCTCTTTGTGTGTCTTCGCCCGCGGAGTTTCATCCCGGATCTGATCCATTGCTGGCTTATTTTCCCTCTTCTCCTTGACACCATTGCTCTTTATCCCCCTCGTACTTCTGCTACTCCCCTTCCCTCCGTTGATTCTCCTTCTTCTCCGAGCTTTCGCCTCTGTGATTTGAGGGTTCCCCTTCCTAAGCTCAAAGGTTCGGTCCGAATCTAAGAACCAGTCCCTGAAGATTTCCTTTGTTTTTTTTTCTCTCTCCATCTCCTTGCTCGCATTCGCACACAGATTTCAATACAATGTCATCCTCAGTTCATTTCAAATTCAAGTCCCAGAAAGAACCCTCACGGGTTACTTTCGATGGCACTGGTATTTCCGTCTTCGAACTCAAGCGTGAGATCATCAACCAGAGTAGATTGGGCGATGGGTCTGACTTTGAACTGGAAATTTACATCGAGGATACTGGAGAAGGTAGGTGACGCAAAACCCCGGTCCAGTTTATACTACGCAAGACCTTGAATATCAAATCTAACCACTAGCCATAGAGTACGACGATGATACCATGATTATTCCCCGGTCTACCTCCGTCATCGCCCGTCGACTACCCGCAGCACGCCCTGGCAAGGGTGGCGCGGCTCGCTATGTCTCCGGTAAAATGCCCGTCAACGCTCGCAATGCCTCCAGGACCGAACCCTCGACGACCCGAGCTATACCGGGGATGGGAGGATCAGTGACCAGCAATGTGTTGGAGCTTAACAATGCGCAGACGGAAGAGGAGAAGATCAATGCGCTCTTCAATCTGCAAGCTAGCCAGTGGAAGGAGCAGCAACAGGAGATGGCCAAGTAAGTTTATGCCCGTGAGATCACGACTCAAAAACGACGATGCTAACAATTTGACAGTGCCACCCCGGTCCCCTTCGGCCGTGGCAGAGGAAAACCTGTCAACGTCCCCGATCACCCTCCTCCTCCTGGATATCTTTGCTACCGGTGCCGAGAGAAAGGTATGTTCTATCGATTCCTTGACCTCGTACTCCTTCATACTTCTTGACTCATTACTAACAATTTCTAATTAGGCCACTGGATTCAAGCATGCCCGACAAACAACGACCCCAAGTTCGATGGCAAGTATAGGGTCAAACGATCCACGGGTATCCCTCGATCATTGCAGACCAAGGTCGAGAAACCGGACTCCTTGGCGCCTGACGGGTCCAACGATGACTCGAGGAACACGGGAGTCATGGTGAATGCCGATGGAGACTTTGTCGTTGCGCGGCCAGATAAAGCAGCGTGGGAGTTATACCAAGAAAAAGCAAAGGCGTCGGCCGCGGCCGCGGCCGAGGCAGCTGCAGCAGAGGAGAGCAAGGTGCTGCAGGCTCGAGGTCTGGAATGCCCGATTGACAAGAGGATGTTCTTAGAGCCTACACAGACCCCATGTTGTCACAGGACATATTGCAATGATTGTATCTCCAATGCTTTGATTGAAAGTGACTTTGTGTGCCCTGGTTGTTCTACGGAGGGAGTCTTACTTGATAACCTTACACCTGACGACGAAGCGGCTTCCAAAATCAAAGCTTACGAGGCAGAGAAGGCTGAGGCTAAGAAAGAGAAGGAAAAGCAGCTCGCCACTACCATGGTACAGAATGGGCCATCAGTGAATGGTAGCGCTGCTGCTGCTGCTGCTACTGCTGATCAAGATCTCTCCAAGGATGCAGAATTGAAAGAGCGTTCTCCATCTCAACAAGGCGCAGATGATGTCTCCACGCAATCCAAGAAGAGACCTGCCGAGGATGAACCGGTTCGTGAGACAACAGACACCGCCGACTCTGGTAATGCGTCCAAAAGACAAAAGAGCGAGGATCAGCCCGAAGCGACTAGTGCTGGCACCGGTCCTAGCACCACTACGAATGGCACTCCCAAGGAAGCACCGACTATCGTCCCCAACCAAACGATGCCCTTCAACCCACAAATGCCCTTTGGAGACTTTAACAACATGATGCCTCCCTTTTCCAACGGCGGCTTCGGCAACGACGCCATGCCTTTCATGAACCCAATGGGCATGCAGAATGGATTCCCAAATCCAATGGGACCCGGCTGGAACCCGATGAACATGCCCTTCCCTCAAATGCAGGGCAACATGTATGGAAATCAGAACAATGCCTTCCCGAACATGTTCAACGGCGATCCATCGATGATGTTCCCCATGGGTGGCATGGGTGGCGCAATGCCAAATCAGAACCCGGGCTTCCAAAATCCCGCGATAAACAACAACTTTGCCAATCAGCAACGAACTGCGTTCAGCGGGCCATATAACCGTGAAGAGGACTCACCGTATTTCCGACAGCCGGTGAACCCACAACGACACCAGGCGAGGAATCGTCGGGTGCGACCGAGTGACTATCGGGAGTTGTGATGACCATAATGGCGGCCGTCTCATAGGATATGCCTGGCGTTACGGATGGCTGTGGGTTCTTCCCGTTCTTCTCTTGATGTATACACCCCCCCTTTTTATGTTTTCTTTACAGCGATCGGCCTTACTGGTTTCTTCTTTTTTTTATTGGTTGCCTCTGCATATGGCCTCGGCCCTTGCTGCTTTTATATTCGTTTCACTCGCATCATGCATGGCCTCGGCCGGGAGGATTGCATTTTCAGCATCATTCATGACATGTATTTCTAGTCGAGTGGTCTCACTCATCATTGAATACTTTTTTTCTTTTCTTGTGTTTCCTGTGCTTCGAGTTTAGCTTCCCTACTAGGATATATCACTTTATGGACATAGTTCCCATAGTTCCAAAGCAAGTTAGTCTTTTTGCAATTATATTTGTAATCTTTCGAAAGCTATCTCGGTAAAATCTTCAGATATCACAGTAGATACAATCATTGTAACACAACACAGGAAATAATGAGTCACAAGGAATGAAATCCTAAGCCAAGACCAGAAGCCAACTGTGTCCAGTCGAGCACGGTGCACCAATCGCCCAGTGCCCAACCGCCGGAGACGGTGAGGCCAGAATCAGGTGACTTGGGAGAAACCCCCCAATCGATTCGACTTCCCTTCTTCGTCTCTCCACTTCCTCACCCATCGTCCTCATACTCCGTACATGTTCCACTCCACAACTCACAATTCAAGTCTCTCTAATCTCGAATCTCAATTCGAAATCCAATCCAACTTCCAGTCTCCTCAATCCCAACCCGTCCAATACCACTTTTCCACCAATCACTACGACCAAATCAGCCATGGCGAAATACATGAGTAACCACAGTAGTAATTACAATCAAATGTCCCGGTTTCTCGCTCAAGAGTCGACGGTCACCGCCAGCTGCTACACCGTCGAGTCGGGTACCGCCAAGGTCCACGGCTTCCACTACTGCACTACTCTGGGCGCCGGTGAGTCAAAGACATCATCACTCTTCTTCCCTATCGACATCATGGCCTCCCCCTTCCTGTTTCCGCCCATACTAACGTCTCATTTTCTCTCCTCTAGGAGCACAGTGGTATCCCTGAGGTCCCCTCAGGGTCTAAACAAACCACCCCAAGACCTCCCCTCGAATGCCCCGCGCCCAGCGGGACAATCAGCTGGACCGGGAACAACTGGTCCGAGTCTAAAGCCAAAGGGGAGGCGGCGCACACCATTCCGGAAGAGTGTGAGAGGCTCTTCTGTGACACACTATCCGCGACCTTCCTTGGTGAGAGGATCGACGTCGGACAGGAGTCACTGGGAATGGGTACGTTCCAACAGACTCAGCCAAGTCAACACCACAGTCAACACCGTCTCGGGGACCACTATGGATCGATTCAAAAATGGGTCGAGGTGTGGGACTACAGCGGCGATGCAATCTACCGCGGTTTTGTAGCGGGTGAGGACGATGAGCGGACCTTGTTCGTTTTCCTCGAGGACGGTACCATCGGGCAGGGATTGAAATCTGGGTAAGACATCACTCTCTCACTATACGTCTACATGTTTGGTCGCTAATGTATATGGACAGATTAATCGCACTTTTCGAACTGGCGGGAACCGACGCCTTCGATTGCTCCCAGATTGTCGCCTGCGTCAACCGCTCCCAGCACGCCGATGAGATGGAGCTCGTTCGCAGTCTCGGATGGTGCGGCTTCAACCTGACTACCTTGGATCCGTGGATCAAGGGGACAGCCGTTACAGCAGGACCGGCACTTAGCACGGAATGGCTTTTCTTGGTTGCTGAAGTATAGTCGACGGGCTTCTCGGGCTGATGATAGGATATGGACATGTCCTATGGTATCCAAACTCGGGTTGCCGGACTATCTCTGGAAGATACTGTTTCTTCCATTTTTTTCTTTCTTTCTTCTGCCCCTCTTTCATAATATTTCTTGTTTGTGCTGCATCTGGAATGTAGTTGAGTCGAAGCAAATCATCGTATGATGATGAATGTGCCATGTTTCATCCTACCTAGGCGCTGAATTGAGGACTACGCTTATCGTTACCAGTTGATTTTTCCCCCCCTCTCTCTCTCTTAATAATTGTTGTTTTTGACTGCAGTCTAATAAATTGAAGTGGTGATATCTGACTGAGACACTTTCCGTTCATGATCTCTATATTCTAGTGTAGACAGTACATCCAGCCCGAAGCAAACAATCAGGCTTTCCCTTATGATCACTTCTTCTCTTCTCGTAATGTAACCTGGTTCCAATCTAGATGCTACTTTACTGTAGCTTAAATCAGATGACCCACTTGTAGTACCGGACCCCATACTGTACTTTGTTATCACCTCTGATGGTGGCTGTCGATTTCCCCACTTAAGATAACACAACCCGATGACCTCAGCACTGCCAATCCCAAGTATAAACCACAACATCCCTCGTACTTACTTCTATCCCTAGCTTCACCTTCTCCTTTTCACTCTCTTCCCTCCCTCCCTCTATAAGACCAAACTCCAAAGCTTTCAAATCTCATAAACCATGTCCAAAGACCAGTCCCGCCGCTCCCTCTCCTTCCCAAAGTTCCTTATCCCCTCCTTCCCCACCAAACACACCACCACTACCAGCACAACCCACTCTCCTCCACCTATCAACTCCACCTCCAACGGCTCCAAATACCTAACCGGCCACCTCTCCTACCTCCACTGCACGACCTGCGCGGCGCACCTCTGCTTAACCTCCCAAATAATCAGCAAAGGCTTCACCGGCCGCCACGGCCGCGCATACCTCGTCTCCGCCGAACCCGTCGCCAGCGCCGTCTCAGTGAGCGCATCTTCCTCACCAACCGTTTCCCTCCCCAACACGATTCTCCAACACCCCGTACCACGACAGCTGGTCACAGGCGCGCATACAGTTAGCGATGTGAGCTGTGCGTTTTGCGGGACTGTGTTAGGGTGGAAGTATGTTGCGGCTGAGGAGGAGTCGCAGAGATACAAGGTTGGGAAGTTTATTTTGGAGACGAAGAAGATTACGGCTAGTTCGTGTTGGGAGGCGCTTGAGGATGAGCATGGGGATGGGGATGGGGATAGGGCTGTGGGAGGTGGAGGGTCTGGGTCTGGGGATGAGAGTGAAGACAAGGCCGAGTTTGATAGTCAGGATGAGGATGAGTGTGAGGATCTGTTTGCGGGGATTTGGAGTCCTGGGTTGGCTAGTCGAAGGAGGAGTCGGAAGATTGAGCGACGGCCTGCGACTGCGATTTTTGGGATTTCGTGATGGGGGATGTGAAGGAGGAAGGTGGACAAGATTAATGATGCTTTTCATGACTTACTTGATTAATGACTGCTTTTGGGCTTGGGTTTGGGTTTGTATTGTTTATTCTCATACTGCAGCGTGGTATACCCATTGTTAACATTAATACTTAATATCCTATACGTTTATTGCAATAATATCGGAAATGAATATTCTTATCATCATGACCTTATGCACGTAGCAATCGGCAAGATCGAAATGATGTGATCCCATTTTTTTTTAGCACTGAGGGACTATTTGAGGATCATGAGGAGCAAAGGGACATAAGGTAAAATACATGGGGGTGCTCCAGCAACGCCAGAAAAGCAAATGAAAGGGGTGAACACAAGCATAGAAGTCGAGAGCACGCTTAGGCATCTTCAACACGAGCGCGCTTTGACTCGCCATCTGCGGAAGCATCATCCGCAGGTCGCTTAGATGATGTCTGTTGAGAGGAGGTCTGGGCAGCAGCAGGCTTGCGTCGAACCAAGGAGGAGAGATCGGTGGCTTCTTTGCTGACGGCGTCGAGGCGGGCCTTCTGATCCGTGACCGATTGACCGACAATCTCGCCGAGGATACCCTTAAGCATGGCCTCGTTTTCTTTCTCCTTCTCTTCGATGGAGACTGGTGACCGACGGAGATCGATGAGCTAAAGAATGATAGTTAGTAAATTATAACTTTCACAGGGAATGATGGCATCCTTACTCTTTGCTCCATATCGGCGATGATCTCCTTGACGTTGGAGATCTTGCGCTTAGCCGCCACCACCTTATCCTCTTCCATATCCTTGTCTGCCTCCAGCTTCTTCTCCTCCGAAGCCATGCGAACCTTGCAGCTTTCAATCGCACGCTCCATTTGAGTGGCAGCCTCCTTGCGCATTTCCTCGTCCACGGTCTTCTCTTGGCTGTCATCCTCTTCTCCCTGTTGCTGGACGGACGCAAACTCTAGAGCCAGTGAAAGCTTGTAGTGGCACTCTGCAACGGAAGGATCCTCGAATGGGAAGAGTGAGTTGCGAAGGTCGAGAGCAGTGCGCAGATCATTCACGGCATCGGAGAACCTCTCGCCTTCCAGAGAGATTTCAGCCTGAAGGTCGTAGGTGTCGGCTAGTCGCTCCTTGATGTGCTTCACGTCCGCGGGCAGATCAACCGACTTGCCCTTGCCTTTGTCCGTGCTGCTTTCCTCCGCAATCTCCAGCTTCCTGAGATAGAGGATGCGCGCCAGATCGAGGACTTCAAATGCAACCTCAAAGTCATCATCATTCTCGTCTTCATCTCCCCCATTCTCCTCTTCGTCCTCATCGTCGGAGTCGACAAAGTTCTCGTCACCGGTAAATTGGAAGAAGGGCTTCGAAGGCGCGGCGTCCAATTGCGCGTTGACATCTTTCGAGGGTGTGGCAGCATTCTGGTTCATGGAGCTCGAGATGGCGTCCTTGACCAAGCTTCCGTCAGTAGAAGCGGACCTAGCAGATGTAGCCTTTGGCGCAGGGGCGTTGCTGGGCTCTCCAGCCACCTTGGACCCCAGCACATCGCTCTTGCTCACAGCAACATTGTAGAGGGATTTTCCGTACGCATAGAGGAGATCCGCGTTCTCGGGTGAGAGCTCGCCGTTCAGTTCGGCCTGAAGTTCAGTGGCCTGTGAGTAGAGCTCTGAGGCAGCATTGTGGTCCTTGCTCGCATCTTTGGCGGCAGCTCGTGTGATCAAATCGTTCAGCTGCGCGCGCTTGTCGGTGGGGACTGCAATATGATCGGCCGCTGTGGGCTGCTCGGCGTCAGCCATGGTGTAGGTTGTGTGAACGAAGAAAGATGTAGGAGAGGCGAAAGAGAGGTCGAAAGAAAGAGAGAAGAGAAAAGGCAGGGTGGGGCGCAAAGGTTAAGAGAGTAGTGAAGATGTCAAGTTGCGCAGAAGGAAGGAAAAGCGATAGCCGATAAGCTCAGCACTTTGCGGCGCGGTCGCGGCGCGTCACGCGTCGGCCTTTTTCCAACTTGCCCTTTTGCGGCCTGCAAACATCTAAAGGCTCGAATAATGTCCCCGCAATTACTGTGTACAAGGGATTATTTTTGATGCGCCATTTGCTAGCCGATACTTGCATCTGCCCTATTTCATCTATTACGTTCAATTAATCCCAGTGCCACGACATCGAGCGAGGACCAGCCGACACAATGGACCCGACATCCACCCCACGACATCCAGATCGGTTCAGAATGGGTGCTGGAGCTGAAGATCCGATTCCCTCATCTTCACCAGCATTTGCAACACCTGCACGTCCATTCCGAATGCCCAGAGGCCATGCGCCGCCCACAAAGACTTCCATCCTACCTATCCTGCTTCCACCCGCGACTCTTCGACCAGTAGCATTCCGTACATTCACTCGCAAGCACAACCTCACAATCTCGTCATCGGCACTACAAACTCTAGCCGTGTTCATTGGCAAAAACTGTGGTTCAGGATGGCGCGAAGAAGGATTGGCGGAGAAGGCCCTAGACGAGGTGGCCAAGATCTGGAAACGAGCAGGAGGCGGCGTTATCGTGGAAGAAGGCAAGGGTGCCTCGTTGAAGGCCATCCTACAGACACTCGAGAGCAGCATGAGCGGAGGGCGAGTGGTTGCAGGAAAGGGCAATTCCCAGGATGGAAAGTCTTCTGGCCTCGGCGTGGATGCTGGGAGGATGGATACTAGCAATGACCACTCGCAAGGGTCACTTACAATGAGGGCAGGGGACGTGGATGAAGACGAGTCAAAGTTGTCATGCCATTCACGGCACTGGCTCAAAGTCGTCGACGCATTTGACCTTCCACGGTTAACGTACAACGTTGACAAGAAATACTTTGAGGCCCTCAAGTCGAAACCAACATTGTTTCCACCTCCGTCACACAAAACTGCGCTGTTCCGAGATCGTTATAATCTGGTTTACCAACGGCTTCTGCGAAATGAGTCTTTCCAGAGCTCTTTGGGTGTTGCTGGCATGCCATCCCTCCAGCGATCATCGTCAAACCTTGGGATGCAGCAATCATACAAGTTGACACCAATTGCCAACTTACTCGGACGAAGCGGTACATCGCATCTTCTTCTCGGTCTACTTTCCATTTCTCCCACCGGCGACTTGTCCTTGGTGGATTTGACGGGAACTGTCGCATTGGACCTCAGCCATGCTCGGATGATTCCTGAGGATGGCGCATGGTTTGCGCCAGGAATGATTGTGCTTGTAGACGGGATCTACGAGGAGGAAGAGATGGTTCAGGGCTCCATGCTGGGCGGGAATCATGGAGTTGGAGGAGCCATTGGAGGTCACTTTGTTGGAGTATCAATTTGTGGGCCTCCCTGCGAGCGGAGAGATATCTCCCTTGGAACAGGCTCCCGCCAGGCCAGCGGTGATGTAAGCTCCAGTGGTGGATTCGGATGGGTCGATTTCTTGGGAACTGGCAGTGAGCGCGCGCAGGGCGCACGTATGCGAAGACTTCAAGAGAAATGCCTACGTGGTGCACCCGAGTCTACGGAGTCTACGGCACGACTGAAGGTTGCCATCTTGAACGAGGTCAATCTTGACAACATGAAAACGCTGGATGCTCTGCGCAAGGTCTTCAGCACATATAACGATCTCGCACTCTGCGAGCGCCCTCAGACATTCGTCTTGATTGGCAACTTTGTGCAAAAAGCAATCATCAATGGTGGCGGCCGAGCCGGAAGCATCGAGTACAAAGAGTACTTCGACTCACTCGCAGTGGTTCTCGCAGACTTCCCAGCGCTCCTCCAACATTCAACCTTTGTCTTTGTCCCCGGCGACAACGACCCATGGGCATCATCCTTCTCAACCGGCGCAGCATCCACCATTCCACGCCAACCAATCCCAGAACTGTTCACATCTCGTATTCGCCGCGCCTTCGCAACAGCCAATTCAGAGCTAGACAGGACCCAAACCTCCGAACCAGCAGGCGAAGCACTATGGACATCAAACCCAACCCGTCTCTCCTGGTTCGGCCCAGTCCACGACATCGCAATCTTCCGCGATGACATCTCAGGCAGACTTCGCCGCACAGCAATCAACATGCACAAAGACGAAGAAGAAGCCGAGACCACCGATCCAATGCAAGAAACCCTCGACGAAGCCACAAACGAAGCCGTCTCCTTCGCACCCGACCTCGACCAACAAAATGGCTCCAAATCAAACGGGGCATCATCAGCCGCGGCATCAATGGCCCGCAAATTGGTCAAGACCATTCTGGATCAAGGCACCATGGCCCCCTTCCCACTTCAACTACGACCCGTACTGTGGGATCATTCATCTGCTGTGCAATTATATCCCTTGCCGACGGCACTGGTTCTGGCTGATGCTGAGGCTGCTCCGTTCTGTATGACTTATGAGGGCTGTCATGTTATGAATCCTGGGCGGTTGTTGCCCCTGGGGGATGGGCAGGCTGTGAAGTGGATTGAGTTTGATGTGTTGAGGAATCGGGGGCGGGTTAAGGAGGAGCGGTATTAGGTTTATGCTCAAGAGGCTGGATGAACCCTCAAGCTACATGGCGAGCGAGACTGGCGAAGTGGGCGTTTGGGTTGATATGTATTAATACCGGTTCTCAGGTTCATGCACTCAGTTACGCATATAATCACTTACAGTTGACGTCTTAGAAGAATAAAGCAGTTGAGTGAGACACATCGGGCATTTTATTTGATGGATGATTTGATATCTTGGAATGAATTTCCTGAACGGCCTTGTAGCTATCTTCCTACATGTTATCCGATAGAGGCAGCTCCTGCGTCAGGGCTTGAACATACTATACTGTACGTCGAAACGATCACTATATATTGTGATTTTACAACCACTCCGACTTTCTAATCACATCTAATTCAAGAAGCCTTGATTATGCATATCACATTGAAAATTCTAGGATTACATTGCATGAAGGGCAAGCAGACATCCATCTGCCCCCAATAGATCTAAAACAACAAGCCATGCCAGGAGTTAACAGGCGCTCTCACAGAGAGCACGTCCCTCGTTCATTCCATGCATCGCATTAATCAATAGTGATGACATCGTTGTTCCCAGCTACCTTTTTCTTCTTCGGTGATGTCGTCTTCGGTTTAGCCTGTGGCGGGGGCGCAGGTTTCTCCTCTGCAGACTTCGAGGCAGGTTTAGACTGCGCAGGCTTCGTGTTCCCGTTTGTGCTCTGCAGGACAGGTTCAGGCTCTGGGACGGGCTGACATGTGCCCAGACACTCGTGTAGCTTGGAAAGAAGATCTCCAACGCGGTGGGTGGATGCTCTGGCACCGTCGCCGAGGCCTTGCCAACCATCACCCTTGGCATTGTAGACGTTTTCGCGGACCACGGCCGACACTTGGCTGGGCTCTACTGGAGGTGGACGGTTGGTGTCCTCGAGGAGCCACTCGATCCGGCCCTGTCGTAGATGCGCAGATAGTCGGAACCGATATCTTAGCTTTGGGTAGTGAATCTGGAAGACGGTGGGACTGCGCACGATGACGTGTACGAGGGCGGACTCTGACTGCGCGGGTTTTGTGATCATTTGATCCAGACTGCGCAGGAGAGGGAATGTATCTGCCATCAACGCGAGAATAGGATCGATACCGACCTCGGCGAAGCGGTGGTTGAGCATAACGCCAAGGGATTCTTGGATACGACGGTGGGGACTGGGACTGTCGAAGCTGAGCTTCAGGCGCAGGCTAAAGATGGGAGTGCCTTGTGAGATAATCTGAGGGATGTTAATGGGAGCAGATGGTGAAGGTCCTGAGACGTCGATGCCGAACGTGGCTCGCAGCTTTTTCTCTGGGCCGTAGAGGAATATGAATTGAGACAAAGACATGGCCTGCAGCTCCATGCCCTTCTGAATAAGCTTTTGGAGGATGTAGATCACGCAGTCGAGTCGTTGCAGACGTTCGAAGAGACCGACAACGGCGGATTGTCCTGCTGGGACAACTAGACGAAGCGCGAAACCGCCTCCCTTGTCCTGCACGATAATGTCGGGATCCACTTGGGAAATGAGCATATTGAGAGACTTGATGCGCCGTTGCAATGTACCGGATGCCACCAAGATTGCAGAGTTGCTCTTTCGGTCGACTCCTTGGAATGAAAGACAGATGGTGCTTCCCACGAAGGAGTCCTTCTGCAACTGCGAAGCGGGTAAAGGTATTTGGAACGCTGCGGGGAGGGAGGATCGTTTGTAGTCGATGTAGAGATCTGGAACTTGCAAGTCTGATCCTAACTCCAGTTTCTCCAAAGTTGGTTGGAAACGTACACCTGGCAAATCTGTCAAGCATCGAGCGTTGGCATAGATCGCCAGTATACCGGTCAAACCGTAGACCAGCTCTGCACATGCAGTGTAGTCAAAACGACGCCCAGTTCCCATCAGGGTACTGCTAACAGCATGCGCCAGCGCGGGGCTCGAAGTACCGTCAGTAACTCCATATGGCAGCGCCGACCGCCGAGCCTCTGGCCGAAGTTGCACCAGCCACCATTGATCGCCATCCATGCTGCTCGTTGCGGCGGCGATCCAGCGACGATCCCACGTTTGATGCGTAAAGAAAGCCGAGCGGACGGTATTGGGAGGGAAGAGTTTGCGAATGTCCAGTCCCACTGCTCTGTGATTGACACTCTCCAGGCCAAGTGCCTTGGTGCCGGACTCGATTTCCTCCACGGCAGTAGCACAGCGAAGGCGAGCGATCCGAGTTAATAGCTCCTCTACGGCTGGCTTGGCTGGAGCTCGGTCGCCCTCCAAGCGCTCCACCACACTCGGTGTACCGGAAAGTGTGATCGCTCCAGACTGCGGCTCAATAAAGACCCGCAGATGCCGCGTGGTCGTTAGCTGTAATTCAAGATAGCAATCGCTTGGCTCTGACGAAGAAAGCTGTCCCTTTAGGGATAGTACATGGTTGGCGAACAAAAGGTGCTTCCTCAAGGTAGCATATGCAGATGACAGCACATGCGACGTATGTAGCGCGATCACACTTCGAAGAATGCGCTCCATTGAGAGTACATCCGTATCAAACTTGATATCAACGCTGTGCGCTTGTTGACTATCGCGCATCCAGCGAAGATTGAGGTGTGGGACCTTAATACTCGAGTCAGGGCTACTCCTCCGAACGCCGATCTCAATCCAGCTCTTGGGTCCTGCCCTCGATGGCCAGTACTGAACGACAAGTGTGCGATGAAGTAGCTCAATGCGTAACAAATCCGACCATAGCCCTCGTGCAAGCTCTTGAGCTTGCCTGAAGAGGGTGTTGATCTTGTTTGTCAGGACCAAGCCATGCAAGAAATTGAAGCATGCAAGCAGGCCATCATTGTAAAGTATCCGATTAACCTCCACCTCAAGTTCGTTGAGAATGCGGCCTTTGGGAATCGGAGAAGAGGGAGTGAAAAGGAATCGAATATCAACGAAGAAGAACTGGGAGGTCTTTGCTTCCTGCGCAACCGAAAGATCAAGTTCGAATTCTCCAGCCACTGTGAAGGTAACTCGACCGTCGTGAACCCGATACTGTCGCAAGGCATGTGGTACTTGGTCTTGCAATATTAGCCTCGCACTGATGATTCGGTTGATCTTGTGCAACTTCTTGAGAGTCGCACGAGCAGACAGCGGCTTTGGGGGCTTGTAGCCAAACTGTAACGGAAAAGATTAGCTTTATTCTGGGCTTTGCCTGTCATTGAATTCAAAACCCACATCTGGTAGAGAGGCCACCCTGCCCTTGGCAAGGACCTCCAGCGCCGTTTTCAGATCTGGATTGGCCACCTGTGCTCGGACAAGATCCTGCTTCATGACACCCAAGAAATTCATCGCATTAGAGTACGCCTGGTGCCGCGTGCGAATGAATCCTTGGATATCAATAAGCCGGCTGACTTCCGAGGCTTGTCGGCTCCAATCTGATAGGACCAGGAGTTTGATGAACTCCGCTCTCTTGGCATGTCCCCATTCCAAAATCTTGAGCTTCTTGTGCATGTTTTGCGCAGACTGGTTCCCGGGGGATTTTCCGATTGCGCCGTGTGCAGTTGAATGATCCGGGGGTACTTGAATGGTCGCCAATTCCGAGATCAACTCTGATAGCTCATTCCAGCAATTCTGCACGGCTCGATTGACGAGTGTTCCGAATGAGAAGAACCCTTGCGTGATATGAGGGATTTCGTAAGGAGTTATGGTGAGCTCCTCCATGCGCTGCGTTGCCTTGGAAAGCTGGTTCGAGCTGTCGGCTTCGCGTCCTGTGCCATTCACATGAACAGGCCCATTCGAAAGGGTCGGCCGTTGACCAAACTTTTCAGAACCCATAGAACCGTGTGCGCCGTTGGTAGCCTCATTGAGACCTGGCCTCCGCACAGATCCCTCGCCATTGTGATATTCCATGATGACGCCGGGCATGTCTGACTAGGCACGGGTTAGGCAATTCGCCGTGGAAGGCTCGGTTTCGTAAGATTGCCTTTCCTTCCCGGACTTTCTGCACGGCACCGACCGAGCGACCTAGATGAGCCGTTGCTCGAAACCAGCCGGCACCGGTGGGACGCAGAGAATCCGAGGTTCAAAACCAGTTAACAAGAGAGAGTTTCTCAACCCAGTGCCATGCGTATCACTGGCCGTCCAAAACAATGGCCCCGGTCATAATCAAGGGGAGCCGGGCGCACGACCAGAGTCCGGATTGAATATTCGTAGAGAGATGATAGCGAGAGACGGTTGATCAAGTAGGCAGGCCGAGGTAGCGAAGGATGGTGAGTAGGAAAGTGACGCTATGAAGGAGGGGAGGAGGCCGTTCGAATTGCGCCGACGTTGGCTGCACAATCTCCGATGCGAATCAAAGGTGAAAGGAAGGTCGTGGAATCAGCGGGGAGATCAAGGTTGTCGTCAGGACTGGCGAGAACTGTAAAGGTCGTCAGGACAGGAGTGGCCGAGGCTGTGAGGTGAGATGAGGCTGTCAAAAGTGGTGAAAGTAGAGACGCCCAAAGCGATCGAGTGTGAAAGCGCGATGCGCACGCACCGCCGAGACTTTGCTGCCTTGGTGCCTGGTATTGTTAGGGGTTGGTATCCCCTACATTGTGCTGGACCCATTCCCACCGCCTTATTGGTAATGTGACGCTGTAATTACGGATTAGATACCGGAAATGTTCCCCAATGACCTCACCATCATCCCGCAATAGCTATCCAAGCTTCCCCCCTCAAGGAACTCCACAGGTCTAGACCTCTAGGCCTACAGCTTCAACGATGAGCATACACGAAGTGGAGGTAGGTGAGACAGGTGAGGCCGATGGTCTGATCCCACACTACCTTGGTGATGATCCACGACCAACAAGTAAGCGGGAGCTTGCGGGCTGGTATTGTTATGGCTGGGCAGCTGAGGTCTTCACCGTGTGTGCCATGGGTATGTACCGCTGATGGATGAATCGGCTCGACCGGCTTGGTCTCGTCATTCAATACTCATTCTGAATAGGCTCATTTCTTCCGATTACTCTCGAACAGCTGGCGCGAGATCGAGGCGTGCTCCTATCCGATAAGACCACCCCCTGTACCCCAACATGGAATCCCTCAAAGGAAATGTCCGGCCAGGATGGATATCATATCCTAAAACCCGATGCCGGCCAATGTATCATTTTCTTCCTTGGTGCCGAGATCAACACCGCCAGCTTCGCCTTGTATACCTTTTCACTCAGCGTCCTAGTCCAAGCGATTCTAATCATATCCATGTCTGGTGCCGCTGATCATGGAAGCTATCGCAAGAAGCTGCTGGTCACTTTTGCGTTCGTTGGTGCCACTGCAACGATGTTGTTCCTTGCAGTGGTTCCCCGAGTCTACCTTCTCGGAGCACTCCTGGCTATCGTTGCTAATACTTGCTTTGGTGCGTCCTTTGTCCTTCTCAACTCGTTCTTACCGGTCCTTGTTCGCCACCATACGTTGGTCTTGGAAAAGAGCCTGGATGTTCAAGAGGCACTGGATGCTACTAGCCCGTCTAGAGAGAATGGTGGTTCACTGGAAGGTGAAGCTCTACGAAGACCCGACGCCTCCACTCCACTCCTGGAACCCCGTTCAGACGATGGAGAGAGTCCACTGGATATCATGACCTCGGTGGAACTCCAGGTGTCCACCAAGATCTCCTCCTATGGAATCGGAATAGGCTATGTCGGCGCCGTGATTCTACAGATGATGGCAATCCTAGTTGTGGTTGTCTTTCACCAAACCACCTTTTCCCTACGTCTGGTGTTGTTCCTGATCGGGCTATGGTGGTTTGTCTTTACCATCCCAGCAATGTTTTGGCTTCGCGCCCGCCCTGGTCCTCCACTTTTAGCAAGTGATGGGAAGCCATTAGACTCTTGGGCGGCATACCTGACCTACTCGTGGAAGTCCCTTGCCAAAACAGCTATGCGCGCACGACGTCTGAAGGATATTCTGATCTTCCTAGCGGCATGGTTTCTGCTCAGCGATGGTATCGCGACTGTTAGTGGCACGGCGGTGCTGTTTGCCAAAACCGAGCTTGATATGAAACCCGCGGCGCTTGGACTGATCAATGTGATTGTCATGGTGGCCGGCGTGTTTGGTGCATTCTCATGGAGCTACGTGTCGGGACTCCTTGGCCTTAAAACATCGCAGACCATCATTGCCTGCATTATTCTGTTCGAGATTATTCCGATCTACGGCATTCTCGGATTTTTCCCATCCGTGCAGCGAATGGGGATTGGCCTTCAACAACCCTGGGAAATGTACCCGCTGGGCGCGGTGTATGGGTTGGTGATGGGTGGCCTCTCCTCATACTGCCGAAGCTTCTTCGCCGAGCTCATCCCACCGGGCTACGAGGCAGCTTTCTACGCTTTGTACGCGATCACCGACAAGGGATCGAGCATATTTGGACCGGCTATTGTTGGGGCAATCACCGATCGCTACGGGCAAATCCGACCGGCCTTTGTCTTTCTGGCTATTCTCATATTCCTTCCACTGCCATTGATGCTGCTGGTGGATGTGGACCGTGGCAAGCGGGATGCGCTAGAGCTAGGTGCCGAACTGGACCGTCTTTCTGAAACAGCGGGATACGGGGAGATCTCCGTTGACGCGGAGGAGGAGCCCGGAGTAGCGGGGCCTAGGAGTAGGGTGGCTGTGGTGAGTCTGGTACCTGCGGTGCTTGAATTGTAGATTTCGGTTTTTGCTTTTGTGAGCTTCACCTAGCTGTGGGAGTATAGACAACTATGATTTCATTTGAAGAATCGATATTCAGGCTTGGAGTCAGTAGATTGGTCGGGTTGTTCCTGCATGAAGATCGTTGTAATTATTGATCGTCATGATCATCATCAGGAATCAGAATTACAGATTACAAGTACTCTATTCTTCACTCTCTAGGATAAAGTATACTATCAATTATTATTTTTTACTGTCAATTCTACCGGTAAAGACCACGGTGTTGACAATTACTCCAAAGCCGACGTGTAACCCACGAGCGTCGTGCAGAACCCACGGGTAACGTGGCCAGAAGCAATTATATCAATAGTCTGGGCCTCGTATTGCCGTAATTGATCCGGGGAGACGGGATGTATCCTGCACGTATCGAGGTACCTTTCGATCGAGAGGGAGATCGAGTACCTTGAATGTAGAATAGGCATTACAGTATTACTTGGTATAGGAATCATGATCATAATATATGATTTTGTGGGAAGTATAGAAGGTGGTTAGGTGTAAGGTTATCCCTGCAGAGGTGTTGTAGGCAGGAGTTGACAGCTTCTTGATCATTGGTATGTGGCCTGAGGGAGCTGAGGGAGGAGTACATCTCAGCTTTAGATTAGCAGATCCAATATTTTAAGGTATTGGACCCCATCGAGAGTGTAATCAATTACATTTCTATAGTTAGTAGTACCTCGTAACTAATTGACTCGACCAAGGGTCCAAGAAGTATACATAGCCCACAATAGATGCACATACTGTAGAGTCAACTACAATATTTTACTGCAGATTCGTTGAGTAGCAAAGACTTATAATAAAATCCCGTAATATAGTAGGAAAATACAAAGACTGAATAATGTTCTGTATCCAAAAGTACCCAAGACCTGTTAGGTACAAAGGGTCTTATAAATCCCCTTGCTTTTGGGCGCCCTACATAGCAGCAACTAAGGGAGCTCCACTTGTGCTGTTCTGCAACTCTCCACTCCCGCAGCCGCAAAGAACAAACTGTCCTCTACGACCCCGGCCCCCATCCCGTCATCATTAAATACACTCCAGACCTCTCGTTCTCCCACCCTTCCACCCCATCCCTTCTTTTTGTATACCAGGCCGTTTGGGTAAGCTTCACCTCTCTCTTCATCTTCCTAGGCTCTATCTCCCTGAATGTCCTTGGTTGTTATTGTTCCTGAATCAACATCCCTCTATTTACTCTCCCATCTTCTTCAAAACATCAGCTAACCATAACACCCTTGACTCCACCAGGTGATCGCGGCTTTTTGAAATATCATTTGAATCATCATGCGGTCCTTCACCCCTCTCATCCTGAGCCTGCTCGGCGCTTCTGCGGCCGTTTCGGCCTCAGAGCCCGCCGCCGAACCTGCTGAGGACGTCAATGTCCTCGCCCTGACCGGCGAGACCTTCCCCGATTTCGTCAAGGAGCACCCGCTGGTCCTGGCTGAGTTCTACGCCCCCTGGTGCGGTCACTGCAAGGCCTTGGCCCCCAAGTACGAGGAGGCTGCCACCATCCTGAAGGAGAAGGACATTCCTCTCGTCAAGGTGGACTGCACAGTTGAGGAGGAGCTGTGCCGAACCTACGAGGTTGACGGCTACCCGACCCTGAAGGTCTTCCGTGGCGCCGACTCGCACAAGCCTTATGCCGGTGCCCGTCAGACTGACTCGTGAGTAGCTTGTCATTGCATTGCTACACTTTAAGGATGATCGACTAACCGACGTTTTCTTACAGGATCGTCTCATACATGACCAAGCAGTCGATGCCCGCCGTTTCCATCCTCACTGAGGAGACCCTCGAGGACTTCAAGACCCTGGACAAGATCACCATCGTCGGCTACATCGGCTCCGCCGACAAGACCGCCAGCGAGAGCTTCACCGCGTTCGCCGAGTCCCAGCGCGACAACTACCTCTTTGGCTCCTCCGACGACGCCGCTCTCGCCAAGGCCGAGGGTGCCAAGCAGCCCTCGATCGTTCTCTACAAGGATTTCGATGAGAAGAAGGCTGTTTACGATGGCAAGCTCGATGAGGAGGCTATCCTGAAGTGGGTCAAGATTGCCAGCACTCCCCTTGTTGGTGAGCTCGGTCCCGAGACCTACTCCAAGTACATGGCCGCTGGTATCCCTCTCGCCTACATCTTCGCCGAGACCGCCGAGGAGCGTGAGCAGTTCGCTGAGGAGTTCCGCCCCATTGCTGAGAAGCACCGTGGTGAGATCAATATTGTCACTCTGGACGCCAAGGCGTTCGGTGCTCACGCTGGTAACCTGAACCTGGAGCCCGAGAAGTTCCCCGCCTTCGCCATTCAGGAGACCAGCAACAACGCCAAGTACCCCTACGACCAGACCAAGAAGATCGAGGCCAAGGAGGTTGCCAAGTTCATCGAGGATGTTCTGGCCGGCAAGGTTGACCCCAGCATCAAGTCTGAGCCCATCCCCGAGGAGCAGGAGGGCTTTGTGACCGTTGTCGTCGGCAAGAACTACCAGGAGGTTGTCATTGACAACGACAAGGACGTTCTGCTTGAGTTCTACGCCCCCTGGTGTGGACACTGCAAGGCTCTGGCTCCCAAGTACGAGGAGCTCGCTGCCCTGTACGCCGACGTTGCCGAGTTCAAGGACAAGGTTGTTGTCGCCAAGGTTGATGCTACTGCCAACGATGTCCCCGACTCCATCACTGGCTTCCCTACCATCAAGCTGTTCCCCGCTGGCAAGAAGGACTCTCCCGTTGAGTACGCCGGCTCCCGCACCGTAGAGGACCTTGTCCAGTTCATCAAGGAGAACGGCAAGTACGAGATTGACGGTCTGGCTGGTGGCAAGAAGGCTACTGAGGGTGGCGATGTCACTGCTGCTCCCTCTGCTGCTTCTTCCACCGAGGCTGCCGAGACTCCTGCTGCCACTGAGAAGGAGGATATCCACGATGAGCTGTAAATGTGATCTTGTGTGAACGTTGGAATTTGAATTTCCTTTTGCTATAGTTACTTGTATCATCACATCTGAAATGGAAACCCCCGTGATGTCTGTTGATCAACATCAGCTTTCGTAGACTTGTCCCGGCCACCAGGATATACCAGTAGATCAACCATCCAACTGAGTAGTCCTTTTCCAATAATTCCAAAATTAACAATAGCTATAATCATCATTTTACTGTGAAACAATACATAGTAAGGAGGTAGTACTTCGTATTCCTGTCGATAAAATGTGACAGCTCCAATCCATTTGGTCCCAGTCCGCTTATCTTATCCAGGACGCGTTCCGCGTAACGCGTCGAATCCATGCGGCTCCCAAAGTCTCAGACCAACTAAAATTCTGGGGAATTTCAAGTCCCCTTCCAGCCCCCTTTTCCCCTTCTATCTCTCTCTCTCTCTCTCTCTTGTCAATACCTCGAATCACCAGATTTGCATGCTCCCCATCTTCCGTCTCCCTCGCCGCTATCCCCACCCCCCACTCTTCGCCATGGTCAGTCCCGCCCTCAAACGCAACGCAGACCACCTCTCCGGCTCCGCAGCCGATCCCAAAAAGCCCAAGGGCGGCAGCATCACATCTTTCTTCGGAGTTCCTAAACCCAAGGCTCTTAGCACAGCTACAAACGGATCAGGGATAAATGGTACCGCTACTGCGCCAAGGTCTAGCACGTTCAATAAAGAGAAATGGGTTGCTAGCTTGACGCCGGAGCAGAAGGAGCTTTTGCAGTTGGAGATTGACACTTTGGATGAGAGTTGGTTGGCGCATCTTAAGGATGAGATTGTTACGACGGAGTTTTTGAATTTGAAGAGGTTTTTGAAGAAGGAGAAGGAGGGGAAGGTTAAGATTTTTCCTCCTGAGGAGGATGTGTATTCTTGGTAAGTCATGTCCCCAACCAACTGACAACGTCTTTACTACCCAGGAGATATCATATTCAGTGCTCACCGTTCTTTCAGGTCCAGACACACCCCCCTCCACACCGTCAAAGCCGTCATAATCGGCCAAGACCCTTACCACAACGACAACCAAGCCCACGGCCTCTGCTTCTCCGTCCGCCCACCCACCCGCGCACCCCCCTCGCTGGTAAACATCTACAAGGGCATCAAAAAGAACTACCCGGACTTCGTGGCACCCCCGAATAATGGGGGTCTCCTCATTCCCTGGGCTGAGCGGGGCGTCCTCATGCTGAACACTTGTCTGACGGTCCGCGCACACGTGGCGAATAGTCACTCCGGCAAGGGATGGGAGAAGTTCACGCAAAAGGCGATTGACCTTGTTGCGCGGGTGAGGAGTAATGGAGTTGTGTTTTTGGCTTGGGGAAAGCCGGCGGGGACGAGGGTGGCCAAGGTTAATAGGTCGAAGCATTGTGTTTTGCAGTCTGTGCATCCGAGTCCGTTGAGTGCGCATGGTGGATTTGTAAGATTTTTTTTTTCCTTTCTGGCGAAAGATGATAGGGTTGCGTGTTCCATGCTAACAGTGATCTTTGTTATAGTTCGACAATGGCCATTTCAAGAAATGCAACGACTGGCTCGCGGAGCGATACGGTCAAGATGGGATTATTGACTGGAGTCTTGTGCCGACTAAAAACGCTGTGGTGGTGCCGCCGGTAGCTGAGAAGGAGAACTCGGCTGCTTTGGCGAATGTGTCGTCGTCGCCGGTACAGAAATCAGAGGAGACTGTCAAGTCTGCTCCTGTCGAGGATGAGTTTGACGATGACGATGCTCTTGAAGCGCTTGTTGCGGCGGAGAAGGAGGAGGAGGAGGCTAAGAAGGTATGAAAGGATACATAGGCATTGTTTAAGTACAGATACTTGTATTATCTGGCATTTCCAGCTTGTACTCTTTTGGTTATGTATTTGATGGCGTTGAGGGTTTGACATGGGAGTTTTAACTATACAAAACTAGTCTTGAAGATTTTCCAGAATGATTACAATACTCATTTCTATCCATTCTGCATACATACCATTGAACTTTTAATATAGTACTAACGAACATGGATCCATCAAATCTATGAATTAAGTACAGTACACCAATAGGATTCCTCACCCCGTTAGCTAGATTACTCGTGTGATACTGATAGCAAGCCAGCTCCACCACCCGACCCGATAAACCCACACCGGCCATCCGAGCTTAGCTTCTAAGCTTTCCTATCTGCACGCGGCCCGAAAGGCTACTAAACTCAACCACCTCCCGAATGGAGCTCACCTGGCTCGCCGATACACCGCAGTCGCGAACGAGGACGCGGGCTTTGAAAGCGTGTCCGGCATGTCAGCGAAGCAAGGTAAGTTGACCTTCCACTTCACTACACAGACTTACACTGCGCTGCACTATGTGCACTACGTAATCCTCCTCGCACGGTACCGAGACTAACAACATCCATAGAAACGATGCCGACATCTCACGGCAGGCTCGGAGGTTGAAGAGCATAGACCACCACGGAAAATCCGGGGTGTGGACGCGACGAGTCAATCTCAATCTTCGAATGGCAATGTTCATGGTTTGAACTATGAGCGCTCGCGATCTTTTTCGAAGGATGCCACGCGGGCACAGAGTGCAACCACAACTGCGAGTGCAACTGCGTCCGCGGGCCCGTCATTACGAGCTTTATCAAGTACAGAGCGATTCGTGGGTGATTTAAACCCTGAAGCGGTCATTCGTGAACGACTTGATGAGCCCATTGGTAATCCTCTGCGCGATCGAATCGGACTCTGGATTGGTTCACCTGATAGTGCGGATGCTGCGAGGGCGAAACGTCCGTCTGCGAATACAGATGCGAATACTCTTTCAGCGATTCCGTCCGAGACGGGTGCTCTCGATAGCCAAACTGTGGCTGCTGTGCTCAACCAGCGATATACATCAGCGATGCAAGCATGTACTCGACTCCCCGCGTCAACACGAGAACCCCTCACAGCTCTATATTTCTCAAAAGTCAACACTATCATACCCCTAGTCGACCAAACCACATTCACAACCACAGATTCAAGCTCAACATCGCCATTCCTCGAACGAGCAATCTGCCTCATCGCAGCCAAACACCCCACCGCCCATCCACACCTCCGCCTCACAGAAAACACCACCCCCTCCCACCCCGCACCTTCTGCACAGAACTCTATCGAGGCCTCGTCTCCGCCATGGCGGCAGGCCTCGAACCAGACCGATACACACGCATCCGCATTCTAGCACTAATGTCCCTCCATTGCGAGGGGTATGAAGGCGCGGAAGCGGCATCTTTACATCTCTGTGAGGCGATCCACCAGGCTCAAACGGTGGGGTTGCATTTGGATCGTCCTGGGAGGAAGGGGGAGGGGGATTCGTTGGGGTTGTTGTTTTGGGGGTTGTGGACGCTGGATAAGATGCATGCTTGTCTTGGAGGTAGGCCGGTGTTGTTGGCGGATTGGGACATTGGGATTGAGAGGCCTGGACTGAGGATGGAAGGCCAGGGTATGGGTGGTGGTCAGGGATCTGGGTCAGCGTCTGCGGCGTTTAGAGTGTGGTTGGCTGTTTCAGAGTTGCTGGCAACCGTGATATCCTTCTATCGACCATCGGCGGGTGTAACCAGCGGATGGGAGGAAGGGTTTCCCGCATTCGAGGACATAGTGGGTGAGGCTGGACAAGGGGATATGGATTTTGCTACACTCGGTTTGTCCACCCCTAACCGACACCTCTCATTACCTATATCCAAATCCCTTCTTAAACTAACCCACCATCTCTCCCTCTCTCTCTTTACCAGGTTTCCTAGAACTCTACTACCACTCCGTGGCAATCCTCTCCCACCGCTCCACCCTCTCCTCAACCCCAGACACCACCACAAAACTCTCCTCAATCCGCCAAGGTCTCGCCGCAATCCGCATCCACTCCATCGTGGCCACCGAATGCGCGGGGAATCTCCTACCCCCACTACCGATCGTGGCGTATGCGATTTCGTTGTCGATGGGGGTGTCGTATCGACAGTTACGGTCTAGTCGGTTGATTACGCATTTTGATCGGGCCAGGGCTAGTTTGGAGGGGTGTTGTGTGCTGCTGGAGGGTTTGGGGGGTGAGTGGTTTTCTGCGGAGGCTATGGCCAAGTTGGGAAGGAGGGCTTTGGGGCAGATTGGGGGTGAACGTGAACATCAGCGTGAGACTGAGTCTGGGAGTGGTCAGGGTGGAGGAGGTATTCGTACTGCCGTGGGTGGTAGTAGCAGTAGCACTTTGGAGTCTGATAACGGTCATAACAGCACTGCCCCGATGGTATCGGTGGTCGAGGTGGGGGCGGAGTCTAGTTCAAGGGCTCCAGGTGAGATGGACTCGACGCTGGCATCAGTACCAGAACCAGTACAGCCACCAGTATCAACGGGTGTTGAGAGTGAAGCTACTGGGATGGGTGATTTGGATAGTAGTACAATGATGCATGGGTTTGCAGATATTGATACGTTATTTGGGGAGTTTTTGGATATTTCGCTGCCGACGAATTTCTGGGATCCGATTTTTGTTGAGGATGATTTGAATCATAGTGGGTGACGGGAGGAATTGAAGACATATGGATCTATAGAGGTATTGATATGTACATTAAACAGCTATCATCAAGCAAGGAGAAAGAATAACCAGCTTAGCTCCGACCTAACACGACATATAGCTATACATACATATAGTATCTAACATTTCTCATTATCGCTATCATCAAAGCAATTAGAAAAGAATTGTTAGTTAACTATCGAGCTGCAGAGTCCTCGGAGATTACAGTAATAATTAGCCAGTCTGCCAACCTGTGGGTCCCCACCGATCGTCATTATTTCCCCCTGGGCCTAGAACACTTTTCTGGTCTTCTTCTGCAAAAAATATAATCACGATCGGCCCTATGGTTCCCAGAAATAGGTCATTTCTTTAACTGTAGCCTCGGTCACTGACCTATGAACGACATTCGTGGACCTTACTCGTGGACTCGTGGGACTGGCTGCGTGGTCCACTACACTCGTGTGTGATGGTCACAGATGGTCACTTTTTCTTTGTCATCTCTCTCTGTCCTCTGCTAACTAAATAGTTAATACAGGATTTAAGTGTAATAATGTTATTAATCTCACCAGGCTAACTGCCGTTTGTCGCTTTGGCCCAAATGTCAAAAGCTCAGAGTCTCTCTCCAATTGGAGCCATGGATCCTGAGAAGAGTGACACGTTGGAAGTCGTCAAATCAGCCAAATTTCCCCTGGAAAGAGATCCACTATTAACACTAAGTTGGTAACTTGACTCCACAACAACGCATTGAACAAAGAGAAATGATTGAATTCCCGAAATTGGGCCTCCAAAACGGTCGCTTCTCCGATTTGAGCTGGAAAGAATCATTCACTGCCCCTTTGTTGTTCTTCAATCTACAATCTATGAACTATTGACTCTAAAGCAAGACATCCCCCCGCGTGTTTCTCTTGCCCGCCTCTTGACTACGAACCTGTTGACCGTGCAGGTCTCACCCGAACGCCCAAAGCCAAAGCCTTTAATCTATTCAATCTGCCCTATCTACGGAGTACTGTTTTTTTGATTTCTTTGTATTATTTCCTCCCCCCTCTCCTCGTCTCATCTCATCTCATCTCCTCTCTCCCCGCCTCACTGTCCCTCGCCTACTGTATGTCTTTCCCTTTCTCTTTCCACCTCCCACGAAACTAGGGAGATTATTCCCTCCATTCTAACAAACCAGCATAGGCGGGAAAATCAGCGACAGTCCAGAAGAGTCCCGAAGTGATTCATACATACTCCAGCCATTGCCTTTCCAGCCCACCGAGTTTAAACCTGCGCGTTTCACATTCAGAAATCTGCGCTGAGTTCTGCATTCCGATCCCGGAGTTTTTACACTTGCCTCGACACCTGCATTCTACTGCAGCATGAAAGCGGCCCCTTTCAGCTGAGCTGGATTCGATCGCGATTTTATATTCCGCTTCCTCCCCCCAGATGGATGCTGGCATAACATTGGATTGGGAGGTTGTACATTGGTGTTGAGAGTTAATTTGCACTGGATCAATTGACAATTGACTCGAGACGAATTGACTTGAGGGAATATTCTGTCGTTCTATATACTCGACATCTCATTCATTGATGGCTACAATGGTGGAATCCCTGAGAAATGCCCCGCCGGCTGGTTCCAGTCACCGTTGTGAAGAGCAGCCAGCATGCTCGAGCAACACCGATACCGAAAAATACCCATCTTCTTCGTCTTCGTCATCCCCAGTGCATCCAATTGCTCAGCTTCAAGGTCCCTTTGAAGAATCTATAGCCGAAGCTGTGCCTGGCTTGGCTAGTGAGTGGATTGTGGAACTCGATGCGCAGACACGTCGGCGGGATTTACTGGAGAATGACGAGTACGAGCGGTTATGTGGGAGGAAATGGCGGCAGAGGGAGAGTGAAAAGTGAGTAACCTAGCGTCAATATCTTACTACGATAGCAAAGACTGACCACTTTTATAGATACCACCCATTCTGGAAGCTGGTCTCCCAGATGGTATTCGGTGTCCATCTCCTAGCCAAACGACAAGCCAAATCTCCCGCGGCAGTCATGCAAATCCTCCAAGGCCACGTCGACGAACTAGATGGCTTCCTCCAACGAACGACCGAGGATTTTCTAATTATCCACCTGGATGTACGCACACGAATCCAATATCTCAGCCTCCCACTCGGCAATCTCGCCCTCTTCGACGAGATGCTGGAGGACCGCAATTTCCGACTTGCGCTGGTATCCTACAATGACCAGATCGAGCATGCGGTTGAGCGATTCACGCTGGCGATAACGGATGCCCTCAAGGATTTGCGAAAGGGAAAAGAGGCTATGGGTGCGTTGTGGCATTATCTGCAGCAGTTGGGGAATGAGGGGTGTTTTGAGACGGATAGTCTTCGGGCTTTTTATCAGGCTATGATGGAGAATATGGAGGGGTGGGTTGTGGCTTTGTCGAAGCTGAGGAGGCGTGGAGCGGCACTGCAAAAGGCATTGGGTCAGCTTGCTTTTGCAGTTATTGAAATGCAGCGGCGGGTGGGTGTGGCTAGTCGGAAGGATGTTGTGAGTTTTATATCGAATAAAAAAGACACAATTGTGTTTCGAGGTGGTATTCATGATGCTAACTTTTGCAGTGCTCTCTCGTGAAGACTGCCAACAGAGCCTCGACACGGCCCATGTCAGTCCGACAACGACTCTTCACAAGAAGTCCCGGTCCAGGCACACCTGGCCGCCGACCTATTTCCGAAAAACCACTCCCTCGCGACCCATTATCAAAGCCCAAGTCCCGACCCGCCTCGCGAAACCTTGACGATAGTCTCGTCGCGGAGCAAAGCCATGCCGACCCCAACAGTACTGCCAAATACTCCAGACGAAACAGCATCATGCCCCGAGTCCTCAATCGAGCCAGATCATGCAGCGCCCTCATAGAGGAAAACGAAAGCAACACCACCAACCCCTCTCCACCACGCACACCATCCAGACTCACCCGGAAACTCTCCCGACCATTCCTCCCCAAACGCTCCGTCAGCGATAAAACAGACACGCATAACCGACCATCGACAGCACCAGCGCAAACTCTTAAAACGAGAAGTGCCTCGATAGAACAACTCAAAGCACTATGGGCAAATGGCCGTCCACGAACTCAGCAGTCAATGGGTAGACCACCACCTGCAGCAGCAGGAGGAGTTCCTCCTCCATCACGACCACAAACCTCCCAACGAAAGTACTCCCACTCCCAACCAGACGGCCTCGACACAATGAAAGACCAAATCTCCCACTTCCTAAAAACAGACCGCGTCGTCGAAGCGTGGGATAATATCGCCAAAACGGCAAATTGCTGTGGCACCACCTTGGCAAAAACAAAAGAATGGCCGAGTAGTATCTTCCGCACAAACACAAAGTCTTCTGAGAATCTACACGCCGGACACTCACACGGACGACATGCCTCTGGAAGTGGCGGAGCCGGATTGTCAACCGCTGGCGCACTCGAACGACAAATGTCCTGGACCCAAGAACCCGAATTCCTGAGTACGTACTCCTTCAAACAACGGCCGGAGATATCGCCACGGATTCATGTATTGTCTATTGCTATTGATGAGGAGTTGGAGAAGAGTTTTGATATGAGTGTGAATGGGAATGAGGATGTTGCGGAGACCGGGTCGATTATTACTGCGTTACCTGCTGTGCCTATTCCTGCAGTGCAGGGTAGTATGGCTTCGCCGCGGACGGTTGGGGCTCTGGCTTGATGATCAGGGTTTTTATCTTACATGATGGGCAATCCATCATTACATCCATATACTTTACTTTCTATGATGCGGTGAGGCGACGCAAGCCCAGGTTTTCTTGTTTTGTGGGGAGTTTGGCTTCACTTTCACCTCAAATTGGTTACGGTACATTGGTCTGGTTCCAGAGGATATATCTCCTATGTCAGCGTCATTTGCGCAAGTCAAAGTCCGGCATCATACAGCATCGCACAAATCATCAACGCTGGCTCGTTGCTCATTAGATTAGCTTCCTTTATATACCCAATCGCGCATATCGCAATCTCATTTTCATTCTCACAGCATTCCATCATTTCTATCCTCAAGAGGAAGAGTAGAGATCAGGTATTAAGGTACTGGGCGTTTCCCATCGCAGCGACATACTGAGACGGGGAATAGGCAGGGATCTTGTAAACTGTTGAAAAGTGAGGATAAAGAAAAATCTAGAACTCAATTTTCAGACTCAGGTAACAATCGAGTCTCGAAATCCGCATTTGTATTCGTACTCAACTCAAAAAAAGCCCCGGCAAGCGCCTAAGCAGGTAATAACGCCCAATGATAGCCAACAAAACAGAACAGAACAGAGTAGAATAGAACGGCATGGCCCACTTCGTAACACATGAGCCCGTGGCCGAATGAAACACACAAATAGGATGAAAGGAAAGAGATCTGGTCCAAATAGACAGAAAGGAGAATGGAGAAGGAAGAGGGCGTAGGACATAGTGGGTAGAAACAGAGCTAGCCTTATTTGCATCGTTTCTCAACAATGTTCGCACCATGCTCATCATACTCCTTCTTCGAGATCCACATCTGATGGAAAGTACCCAGACTAGCCAAGATACTACCACCAATCCACGAGCCAAAGCGACGCTCAGCGGTATTTCCAGGTGCAGAGATACGCACGCGCGGACCGGGGAAGAGCTGCATCAACTCGTGGTTCAAACGATCCGTGAATCCGTACAAAAGACTAGAGCCACCGGTAACGACAACATTGGCGAGCAGGTGAGGTCTGATGTCGACGTCGACGCCGCCCAGCGAAGCCTTGATCAATTCGGGAATAGTCTGGGCCTGTGTTGGTGCGGGCACGGGAGAGTCAGGATCCGGGATGGCAGCCTTGACGTCGAAGAGGGACTCGACGACGCGGAAGCGGTCGACGCCGAAGACTTGGTTGTAGCCGTCTGGGAACTCGAATGGACGACCGGGCGTCGACCGGGCCATTTCTTCGTTCGAAGCACCGGTGGGTCCGGTGGCAGAGAGCTTGTTGGGTCCTGGCCAGACTTGGACGACACATTCCTTGAACTCGGATAGAGTGCGTTCCTCGAGGAGGGCCCGGTAGCTGGCATCGGGGGCCTTATCGGCGGGGTATGTCCGGTACTTGGCCTGAGGGGGCTGGCCGGCTTCGACGGCGGTCTTGGAGCTGATCAGGTAGTGCGGGGTGATGGTGATGGGTTGCGGGGAGTTCTTTTTAAACAAGGCGCGGATTTGGGACGAGATGTAGTCGCCGCCAAGAGGGGAGTGCTGCACGCCGCGCTTGAGGATCATGCCGTCGTGGACTGGGGTGATGGAGATGTTGGAAGCGCCGATGTCGATGACTAGGGCAGAGGCTTTGCCGGACGCGAAGCTGTGTAGGATAGACGAGTTAGTTTAGCTCTGTGGTGATCTGATGAGGCGGCAGTAAAAAATATCTGGAGGATACATACGATGCAAGGACACCGTTACGCGCCAGGTAGAAAGCAGGCGTGCCCCATTTCTCCATCGCGATTTCAATGGTCTTCTCACGAGCTTTAGCCGGGTTCCAGGCGGGCTCGGTCATGAGCAGCGGGCTATCCGCGAGAGACTTCTCCTCCAACTCAACCTCCATCTCTGTTGGCAGCTCTTCGGCGGGGATATCGTTCAAGCCATTGAGGAAGGGGTTGCCAGGCTTCGTGCCGGTAAGTCGCGAGGTGAAGGAGTATTCCCAGACCTTCTCGGCCATATCCCAATCTTCAACAATGCCATCCTTGCCGATAGGGTTGTGGATGGACATTGCGGGGCGCGGAGTGACAAAGATATCATCACCGAAAACGAGCTTCTCTTGACCGTCCGCATTGTATTTGCCGTAGTATGTCGGGATCAGGGATTTGGGAGCATCTTCACCGGCGAAGCCAGCGCGAGTGGTGGAGTAGCCTGGATCGAGGACAATGGCGGAGACTTCATCTATACGCATGGAGGAGGCATGTTAGCATCTACTATGAGTAAAATGGACCTGCTAGGAATGAATTGAGGCCTTTATGAGGAGCGCGAACGATTCGGGGTCAGTCGCATCGCGCAAAAAGCACATACCTCCACCATACTCGGCAGCTTGAGGCGGGTTGGAAGGATTCATGGTGATAGCGCAAGTGATATGAGATGAAAGATCACGGCAGGCCCGGGGAAATTGTTCAATCGGCCGGTGTTGACAATTCAAAGCCAGACCATGCGCGTGGGATCAAAAGAGGGTGGTTGGGGGAGAGAAGGGCGGGTTTCTTTTTGGGTGCGGGAGAGACAAGCTGCTCTGGCTTTGGCGGAGAGAAGAGAGGCTGGCCGCCGCTCGGCAGATGACCTCACCTTGCGCTCTCTTCTTTCTCTTCCTCTTCTTTCACTCAACTCGCGACACTTGCATTTGCATTTACACAGCTCAAACTATGGATACAGAAGTCGATATTGCTCCTGAAAATCTCTTCCGCCCTGCGAAGCGACGCAAGTTCGCCCGACGACGCCAAGATGACCCCGAAGAGACAACCAGCGCCGCCGCCGAATCAGTAGCCGAGAGCACTGACAAAGCTCCTGGCGCTACTGAATCCAAGTTATCAGACGACGCTGATGATTCGACACATGCGACCGGTGTAGTGCGTCTACGCCGACCAAAGGCGATTCGCAAAGGAGGCATTGGATTCTCCGCCACACCGCGACCATCGGGCAAAGACGACAACCGCCAGACGGCGCTGAGCACAATTGAAGACCAGGACAAGGAACCCATTCAGGCGATGGGAGACCGTTTCCAAATGTACACTGGGCAGGCGGAGGATGTGGACAGACACATGTACGAACTATATCCCCTCTCACAGCAATCTTACTGGAGCAATGCGGACTAACAAGATAAGGATGGCATACATAGACGCCGAAATGGCTAAGCGCTACAAACGTAGCCCGCTACCAGAGGGCACACAGGCAGATCGAACAGTCTCACAAGGACTATCTGGCGCACCATCTACACAAGGACAGCAACACGAACGTCTGCCGGCAGCTTTAGGCAAGCTACACGAGATCGATCTCGGACAAGAGACGAAACTACAAAATATTGCGCGCACCGAAGCCGCAACGCGCCGACTCGCTGGTGAGGAAGACCCGTCTCGACCTGGCGAGGCAGGCCTATCGACGGAGCGTGCACCCACAAAGTCATGGCGTAACCGCAAGCGCCGCACTAGTGCAGATGTCGAGCGCGACCGGCTGGTGGAAGAAATCTTACGAGAGAGCAAATGTAAGTTTTGCCTAACTGGTCGATAACTAAGTGACCCTTATGGCCACTCGCTAACCTTGTTCTTTACTAGTGGATGTCTATGATGAACCAGAAGAGGAACCGCATGCCGATGACCAGGCCGCAGATGACCGTATTGCAGAGCAATTCCGGCGAGACTTTTTGGATGCGATTCAGTCTCGTCGGAGGACACGCACTACGAAGACGGATAGTAAAACTGAGGCACCAAAGGGGCCCAAGTTGGGAGGAAGTCGCAGTGCAAGAGCGGCGATGCGGGAATCGCAAGCTCAGGCTGGAAAGAAGTGAGCAAGATCGAATGTTGTTAGATCTTCAATGTGTATTAGATTGTTGGGGTGTGGAGACACAGGCCACGGATATATATGTCTTACATTCGTGGTTCATACTGGCTGGACTACACTAAACTAGCAGATAAGATTATCATCCATCACTATCACAAGCGGCTACCTGCATATTGTGGCAAAACCTAAGTGAAATGATAAAAAAAGAAATAAGTCAAGAGACAAAGAATAGATTCTTTCACCGAGACATCATTTTCAAAAAGAAACTCAGTGGAAAAATGCAAAAATAAATGCTCACTGCCAGATTTGAACTAGCGACTTCGTGATTACTAGTCACGCACTCTACCAACTGAGTTAAGCGAGCTGGTGAATTGATGTAATTACGACAAAAAATTTGCACTATAAAGCAGAACAATGACCATTGTGGAAATAAAAAGGTGATTCGAGTATTTATGTAGTTCTTTTTCATCAGGGTTAACTATACTAGTCCATTATTTCGACAAGTTTGTATTAGATAATAAAGAAAATATACAACTTGTCCCTTCCCTGGCTATTCTCAGAACAATAGGCGGTGTGCTCTTCACACACGAAAGACCCTACAGTATACTTCCCCCGCGTCCACCATTCACTGTCATCAAGGTTATCATCTCACGTTGTGGTACTCACAATGGTGGAATCTCAGCAAAAGATACGTGATAATATCCTGGATCAGATCCCAGAAACCATAGCCGACTTCCTCCAAACGGTCAGTCCAACACCAATCCGAATACTCGGCGATACCCCGAACAACGTTCTCGATCACGAACACTATTAGACTCTATACGCCCATTTGTATCAAATGTCGAAGAAACTCTGCACAACTACCAAGCAACGCCCAACCGCGCTTCCTCGCAGTGGAAGTACACCCCGGAAAGCACTCTTACTTCGTGCTAGACGTTAATAATGTCAACTACGTTTATGAAACCGCTCATCTTGATAAGACTCCGATCCCGGTGTAGGTTCTTCGTCTGTCGAAGCGAAAAGTTAGGATTTTCAGAAAGGAGGAGCTAGATCATGGTATCGCTGGCAGACTCATGGAGATGCATCATGGGCATGGGGATGATCCTTTGCCTTTCGTTGATGATCATAATTATACTGTTGAGTACCGTTATCCGCGCAGTCTCCGGTCTTGATGTCTTCTACGTCGTCCTTCTGGATGGCAGATCATTTTTACAATTGATATTATGACGCGCTATTTTTAGAAGGTTACATCTCATGGATTGTATGGGGCATTATTGCCTGTGAAGTTCCTAGATGAGCTGCGACTGTGTTGCTGGTCGGTTTCACACTCTCAAAAGCTCACTACATTGTCCCATTGGGCTTCTCGAGGAGGTCGGCACTCGATAAAACAGACCGATCTTATCGAGCGTTACGATATCATAAGATTAGCTGAATGAAGGTTAGACCATATGCTCGCTTCTGGCTCTAACTGATATTCTGGGGATACTCTTGTTTCCTTTGACCATGAACTCGCCGTCATATCCACCGTCACCAGATTCTAGACCTCGTCAGCCATGTCCTGTGTTATCACAAGACCACAAGATGACAAGATTCACAGGGCGTGCGCTCTAGTACTCAGCACTCCGAATCTCCTCTACAGTCTTTTTATGGACTTTATGAAGGAAAAGCTGAAGCGTGATCTCAACTATGTAATTACTTAGACGTTTGCCTCAAGCTCGTCAGTCGAAACTGACTCACATCAACCATAGAATGCTTACTACTATTCTGTACTTTTTTTTTTTTTTTTTTATTCTCATTTCCACATCATCTTTGAGAGTGGACTGATTGTATGATTCAAAAATTTTCGGATAATGAGCACGTGGTGCGACAATGTACCTCAAATTTGCTATAGAGAATGAAAATGTGAAGATGAAAGCTGGTCGAAGATATGGAGGGGAGTCTGCCCTAAGAATGGGAACACCAACATTATCACTGTGATACAGCATGAATGTAGTATGTAGTTCCAAGACCTGGAAAGATGTAAGCTGAAAAGTGGGATATTTTTGGAAGATCTACAGCCGAGTAAGATCACAAATATACGCCACATTCCAGGTGACGGGAATGGCTGATGACGGTGAATGACTGACAGGCGCCCAGACGATGGATAGATACATTGCATACTACAAGTACATACATATTCGTACTCGAGGGTGTGCATACTCCTTCTGTACTTATGAGGCCACACATTATCTATTATTATCATACCTATACGAAGTACTCTGTAGCGAATTTCAAGTTCAGAATATCGGTTGCTGTGAGACACATACGAAGTATGGAGTATGTCGTACTCTGTATGACCGTGGTTGGCACTTGGCAGGGAAGGAAGAATCATATTAATAGCAGCTCTGGGCCTCTGGCCCATCACATATTTTCTTGGGGGCATTGGGGCCCAGGAAATTGACGGCGCTTGCCCGTGTCTCAGGTTAATAGCGCTTGGGGCCACTCTGAGGGGCCAGGTTGTTTAGGGTTTTTTTTTTTTCTTTCTTTTATTTTCACGTGGAAATGATTCCCTGCGGTCGGAGGATTACAGTATTAATATGGTAGAACAATAATAGCGATAGTAGTAATGATGGAACGCAGGGAAATGGCCATGGATCGCTAAATTCCAAGGAAAGAAGATCGTTCTGGGCGCAAGGGTCTAGAACAGGGCTGCATCGTGGCGATCAACGCGGCTTGGGATGTCTAGACTGCAGATTTTGTGTGTGGCGAACCCTATGAGTCGATGCTGCGTGTCTCTGGTATGTGTACAGTACTCCGTAGTATGTGGGTAAATGGAGTACAAGTATTGCGTGTCTCCAGTTTTCAGTTTCAGTTTCAGGCTGCCCGAGTCCCGAGAGAATGGGCATGTTCCTGGGAGGCCCAGGCGGGCCATGCAGGTACTGTTCCTTGCGTTGGTTCGGGGAACTCGGTACGAAGTTGAAGCCCGTACTTTGTATTTATAGTATGTATATGTACTAAATAATGTAGTAATGTAATTATCTTTCGAGACACCTGGTATAACATGGTATAACAGACAACTTGACCTCCCGACAGTCATGCCGTCGCATTGGCCGATGTGGCTGAGCGTGGCGTTCAACTGGAGACGTTTTCACCCGTATTTCTTATTATTTAACATTCTTAGTTAAGAATAGTTAAACCAGACTGGGATTAGGAAGAGTTAAAGGCGGCACATAAACCATGGGAGCTCGAGTCCGGCCCGCTTGAAGCTACTCCACTAGTCCCAACCAGGGTTTGTTGTGATTATAGAAACTGAAGCTGGGAAAGGGGAGTTGACAGGAAAGTATTCTGGACTCTGTCAGTAAGAAGAAAAGTAAGAAACTGGTCAGATCATCAAATATTAGGAATATTCATGTACTAGTGGGGGTAAAATTAGAAGAGAAGAAAAAGAGAGAGAAGAGGTACTCTACTGGATAGGAGGGAGTCCAGAGTCTAGACTTCTGAAACGCGCCGGGGCCAATCAGCCCTGCTTCAGGGGCAACTTGGACCCCCCCTCCTCTGCTATCTCTCTCTCTCTCTTTCGCTCTCTCTTCTCTCACTTGACACACACACAACACCTCAAACCGACACTCGCTTCTCTTCCCCGGTCGAGACTCTCTTTTCTCCTCTTCCACTGCATCAATTGCGTCTAGACTCGTTTCTATTGCGTATACTATTTCCATTTTTCCTCACCCCGTTGGATCCGAATCCAGTCTTTCGTTCGCCTCGATTTGAATCCACCGATCTTCACTCGCTACAGCTCGTCCATTTCAATTTGTTCACTTTTTCTCGCAGGTTGATCCTGCTGAGTTTCGTGCAACAAGAATCTCTATCATACGCGCTTCGACATCTCGAACACGCGCATTAATCCTCTCGCTTCTCCCCGTTCATGTACTCGCGCGCGATCCCAACTTAGATCGCCAGGTAATTCGTGAGAACTCGGCCCTCTCGACTGTGGTTAGAAATGCGGTCGACCATCTGGGCCCTGCTGGGCCTGGGTGTTGTATTGCCCCAGGCCCTGGCTGCCGATACGCTGAGCACCTCGGGTTTCAGTCTGTGCATGCAGGATTCGGCTATCAATGTGCAGAAACTCGATGTCACCTATACTAAATCAACCAAGCTAGTGGTCTTCGATTTGGCTGGTACCAATTCGAAGGAACAAAATGTCACGGCCACTCTGACGGTGACCGCTTATGGCAATCAAATTTATACAAAAACTTTTGAACCCTGCGGAACTGAGGTCCACGTTGCCGAGCTGTGTCCTGGTAAGAAAAGCTGTTCTACCCATCGCTTCCCTATAATGCCGTCAAGATTGATCTTAGAATAAACTTTGACAAAACCACTTTGCTAATACCTTCCCTTTCCAGTTCCATCGGGCGCATTCAGTGCTAGTGGTAGTATCAACGTTCCCGACGAATATGCGAGCCAAATTCCCTCAATCGCCTTCAACATTCCCGACTTGGATGGCCAGGCCAAGCTAACTCTCACCTCGGACGGCAAGAGCGTGGCATGTGTGGAGTCCCAGCTTTCCAATGGTAAATCCGCCAGTGTCAAGGGTGTCGCGTGGGCATCGGCTGGTATTGCAGCGGGTGCCTTGGCCCTAAGCGGCCTGTCTGCTCTCGGTAGCGCTGGTAGCACCGGAGCACCCGCTTCTAGCCCTTCAGCCGGCGATGTGATGGGATGGTTTGGCTCAATGGCTATGAATGGCATGCTGAGTGTCAACCACCCAGCTGTTTACAAGAGTTTCACCAAGAACTTTGCCTGGAGCACTGGGTTGATCCCGTGGGCGAGTATGCAGAACTCGATTGACGACTTTCGAAAGGCTACCGGTGGAAACACGACCCATAACAGCTATATCTATCTTACCGGCCTGAGCACCGCGTCGTCGAATGGGACCTCCGCGAAGCGAAGCCTGGATTTCCTGTATCGTGCCGCAGGCTTGGTGGCACGATCTGTAGATGTGTCCGAATCGAGTACCAACAGCACCTCCAACTCCACCAGCAGCAGCTCTTCGGGTCTCACCGACTGTGGTTCCTTGAATTTCTCCACCCTCAAGTGTTATGGTGAGGAGGTTATGATTCCCTCGGCAAACATTTTCATGACCGTTCTTCTTGTCTTCGCCATCGTGGTTGCTGTCGTTGTCGTCGGTATCCTTTTGCTCAAGGTGATTCTCGAATTGTGGGCGCTCTACGGCAGCTTCCCCAAGAAGCTCTCCAACTTCCGCGAAGACTACTGGGGAATCATGGCACGTACCATCACCAACATGATTCTCGTTCTCTACAGCATCTGGGTCTTGTACTGTGTCTACCAACTGCGGAATGGTGACTCGTGGGCTGCCAAGGTCCTCGCTGCCGTGACATTGTCCGTCTTCACTGCACTTCTGGCATTCTTCGCCTGGCGCATCGTTTACCTGGCTCGCAAGTACAAGAAGACCGAGGGTGACACCACCGCCCTGTACGAGAACAGGGAAACCTGGCGCAAGTACAGTCTGTTCTACGACAGCTACAAGAAGGATTTGTGGTGGCTGTTTATCCCGGTGATTGTGTATGCCCTCGCCAAGGGATGCATCATTGCCGGTGCCGAAGGACACGGTATGGTCCAGACTATTGGTCAGCTGGTTATTGAATGCTGCATGCTGGCACTGCTATTGTGGAACCGACCCTATGCTACTAAGTCATCCATGGGAATCAACATGACGATTCAAATCGTGCGAGTCTTGTCCGTCGCCTGTGTGCTGGTCTTTGTGGAGGAACTCGGTCTCTCCCAAACTACCAAGACTGTGACCGGTATTGTGCTGATCGTCGTCCAATCCGGTCTGACCGGTGTTCTTGCCATCCTCATCGCAATCAACGCTATCATCGTCTGCATTCGGGAGAACCCTCACGCCAAGAAGCTCCGCGAAGCCGGTATGTGCAGGCCATGCAAATTACAAGCCCAACCCCCTGTGCATCTACTAACCGTCTCACCCTCATTAGAAAACGCCAACAAGGACCTTGATGATCTCACCCCCTCTCGATGCTCGCGAGTCTCTCCTCATTGACCACCCGCCGAAGCGCGACTTCACCGAGATGAGCAAGTTCAACTTCAACGCTCCCTACGAGGCATACCGGGACCACCCCGTTCACAGACCCAACTCGAATAGCAGCAACGACCGCCTGGTGTATGCCGACTATGGCGTCGCACATGGCCGCAGTCACAGCCAAGAATCCCGGTCTTCGATCGAGGGCCGGAAGCCAACTGCCCCTGGCTATGGCATGGCCTATTAACGTCACGACGCTGCGCCTTTCTTCAACTTCTTTTTCCTTTATTCTCTTTTCTCTTTTTCGATCTTCATCTCGTGCATCCCCCTAAAAAGGCCACGGGATATACACACACTTGCTTCTGTCTGATTTTATTTAGCGTGTTTCATGGCGGACGATTTTTCTTGTCTGATTGATTGTGCTTGATAACCATCTCATCACACTGCGCCCTTCTAGACTTGACCAATCTCTCGCCCGGTCTTTGACATTCTCAACTATATTCCCACTCTCTTACTCTCTTTCTGACTCGATGCTCTGACTCCTTTCCGTTTTCTCGTCTATCCTGATCTTGCTGATCGATCTGATCTGACCTGATTTGACCCGACCCACCTTCCTTCCTCTTTCTGAATCATCTTTCAGCGACATTTTTCTTGTCTGATTTCTAGCTTGGTGAAAAAAGGGTTTCTTTCTTTTTCTCTCTTTTCTCTTTTCTATTTGGTTCTTGTACATGTTATAGATTTTGAGTATATGCATATTATCAATTGTCAATTATCATCTTTTACTTTACTTTACTCTACGGTTCATACAGTATACAGCATGTGCTCATGATTGAGATCAGCAGTAGAGGCTAATGCAGTATGTAAATGGTAATTGCATCTTGAAGATCTGTAGATCGGCGTAGATCTTGATCTTTATGATGTCATTCAAACCCTTTCTATGTACTATGTGTGTATGGTAGGGTATTGCGTCATATCAACAGAAGAATAACCATCAATCAACTACAGTAAAGCTAGCCCTTGGCTAGCAGGTAGTCTCCCCTCACCCATCTGACTGAAACTGTATCCAAGAGAATAAAACAGTTCATTCTACGATACCAAAACGAACTAGCACATGTATGACAATGCAAACACTAAGCAAGAAAGGCAAAGAAAAAAAAGAGATAACCATCCCATTTTGAAAAACTCTGAACAAGAAACAGAAACAGAAACAGAAAAAAACAGAAGAAGAGGTAACCACCATCACAAACCACCCTAGCCCCCGTATTGCATGCATCTACGGGTGAAACGGGGGTACAAACAAGAATAGAAGAAACAAGGGGATAGAGATAGGAATGACAAGAAGTCCAGGTAGCCGCGATGAGTCCTGGACCAGAACAGGAACAGGAACAGGGATAGGGATAAGAATGGGGATAGGGATAGGAAGAAGGATGAGAACAGGAGCATGTTAAAGATAGCAGCACAGCACAGAAAGTTTTCCAAGTCAAGGCCCAGTTAAAAATAGGATAGGATAGGGTAACAATAGAACAATAGAACAGGAAAAGACATAAGTGAAGAAGCACTAGGTAAAAGAATAGAAGACATAGCATAGAAAGAAAAAAACATGAGTGAGAAACCCGTTTGTTCGGCGGGGACCAGACTCAAAATTCGAATTCGAACTCGAACTCCGATATAATCCCATCCACACCTCACTTTTCTTTTTACCGAGAATAAGGATGGAATCCACGGTGTCCACCACGGCCACCGCCGCGGTAGTTCGAGCCTGGCTTGCCGGCGTTACGGGGGCCTGTAGGTGCGTTGGCGGGGGCTGCACTTGGTTGAGGGGTTGCGCCTGTGTATAGAAAGAAGGAAAAAAGGGATTATGTTAGTAACAATAGTTGATAAAGAAAAGTTGATATGGGGGGGGGGGAAAGGGAGAGGTTTGTTTCAACACATACCACGACCCATACTTCCACCACGAACCATACCCTGTGGACCGGTGGGGATATTCGGCTGAGGAACTTCATCATACATACCCTCCCAGGACGTCGGGCCACCCTGCTGATAAGGCGAGAAACCACGGCTGGTATCCATAACGCGGCGAGCCTGCTGTTGCTCGTATTTCTGTTGCTCAAAGGCGAGTTGTTCCTGGGCGTTGTAGCCTGGGCCACCTGGTTGTTGTTGGCGGTTGTATCCCGCGCCGGGAGAAGCACCCTCGAGACCACCGGGGCCTTGTTGACCAGCACCACCCTGTGGCTGTTGGCCTTGGGGTTGTTGGCCCTGCATTTGCGCCATCATTGCCGCATTCATCATATTGGGCATACCCTGTTGCTGGGCACCCGGGGAAGCTGGGTTGGGACTCATACTACCCTGTTGCTGCTGGGGAGCAGCGCCACCCATTTGCGCAGCCATCTGCTTCATCTGCATCTGCTGCATTTGCTGAATCATAGCCGGGTTCATAGCGCCCATATTCATATTTCCTCCACCCATAGCCATCTGCTGCTGCATCATAGCAAAGTACTGCTGCATCCGCTGCCAATACTGCGCCATCATAGCCGGTGTCATTCCACCCGCCATACCCTGCTGTCCACCAGCACCTCCAGCACCGCTAGCACCACCATGGTGCGAACCCGAATCACCACCGCCCTGATTCATATCGCGGAAGTTATCGCGGCCGCCGCGACCACCGCGGTTCTCATCGCGCAAGTTGCCGCGTGGCTGGGCTTTTTTGACCTCGATGGGTTTACCGAGGATTTCCAGGGGGCGGGAGAGAGCATTTTCGACGGCGGCTTCGCTGTCGAAGGTTACGAAGCCGAAACCGCGGGGGCGGCCGGTGTCTTTGTCGATCATGAGGGTTGCGTCGATGACGCGGCCGAATTGGGTGAAGAATTGTTTGAAGTCTTGTTCGGTGGCTTCTTGACTGACGCCGCCGACGAAGATTTTGCTGGTTTTTTCTTGTTCGTCGCGGGGGATGGCGCGCTTGGGGTCGATCTTGGAGGGCATGGTTAGTTTAGTTCTGGTTGGATGGATGTATGTGTGTATATGGATTGGAGAGTCATGTCATGGCATGGTAAGTTATGGGATATTTCTTTGTTATAGCAAAGAAAAGGGGAACAAAGAAAGGAATCTTTCTTGTTCTTTTTGTTTCTCGGACAGAAATCTTCTGGGTTTGAACTTACAATCTTGCCATCTAGGTAGTGCTCCTTGACCATGACAGTGTTGACTGTCTTGGGATCACGGAAAGTGAGGAAACCAAAGCCACGAGAGCGACCAGTGGCGCTGTCACGCATCACGGTGCATTCTTGGACTTCGCCGAATTGCGAGAAATAGTCACGAAGAGATTCTGTATAGAGGAACAACCCGCAAGGTCAGAATTAGGTCTTTACTCCAGATAGATACTTAAGAGTATCATATATCATCAAGTCAGGTCTTCCTAAGGATATGTGATACGTACGATCGGTGGTCTCCCAGTTCAATCCGCCAATGAACATTTTCCTAGCCAAGCCTGTATCAGCATTATCGAGCAAAGCAAATTATCGAGTAGCAAGTAAACTGGAAAATGAAACATGAATAACGAAGGATTCTGTAGAAGAGTGTAGATGGAAGGGGAGAATGTGTGTCAATGTCAAGGTTAATGTCAATGTCAATGTGTCTGGATGCTCTGGTTAAGGAGCTGGGTGGCGCTAAGCTGCTATTCACGAATACAGCTATGCTGAACTGTCTGGAGATGAGCCCTTCCATGTTTGTCGAAGCCTCGAGGTTGAAGACGAAGCCTTCAAGTCCTTGTCCTGTCCACAGAGTTCCCATCTTGTAGGTACACACGGCAATGGCATAAACCACGAAGAGCCCAACGGAGCTGGAAGATTGCTCCGCCCATTCGTTTTACATGAGCTTTGGGACCCAGGGTGATCATGAATTCCATCTCTTGAACTGGGCATGTAGGATACTCGTGGGCCCTCGGAAGATATTGAACCAGACGGAAAGACTGCAGGAACGAAAAGTAGTTTCAGGCGAAGGAGTGAATTGGTCACTGTAATCTCTCTGTCTGTCTCTGTTTGTGTTCTGACTGCTTTCTGTCTCTGACTTTCTGTCTGTTCCCCCAGATATCGAGCATGGGTTATGATAACCCTCCATCAGCCAGCGTGGTTACTTCTTGCTTTGCTCTATCAATTGTATCGACAAGAAGCTATATAGTATCCGCTGTACTATATGGTGGCTGGCAATAAAAGGTCTGTGAACGAGGCCGATCTGTCTCATGTAGTTTCTTCTTCTTTTTCTTTGTGCAGCTCGACGTGCTCTGCCTCAAGACGAGGGTTCATTAATCCAGATGCACCTCCAGACTGATTTTGCCTGGTCTCCCTTGTCTGACAGAAGCCATAGATGACGACTCGAGAAAAGAATGGAGAAAGAAAGAAAAAGAAAAATTCCAGGGATGCGGACAACCTTGGGACAAGATGATGGATCCCACACGTTTGACCGCCCACTGAGCGCATGACTTGGCCGTTCAATTCCCCGATCACCGAGCATGTGGAACTGCATTCTCCCAGCGACCGACCCTCTTCCCATAGCTTGTAGAGGTAGTATCATAGCCATGTGTAGCAACACCAAGCCCCCAGAAGCCGTAGTGGACCGTGAATAGCAACCGGCCACCCAGACAAATCGTAGCGCGTATATCCAGCAGACACCAGCCAGCCATTGACGGAGGCAAAGATAACACAAGGTAAATTAAGCATCGCAGGGGGGCATATTTCACTTACCCGTCTTCCTTAATTCCGGTTCCTGATCGGGGCTCTTCCTGGTCCACATGGTGTGCGGTCGTGGGGTGCTGGGCGTGACCATGATCCGCCCCATTATGAGCGCCCGAGCTGTAGTCCTGTTGAGGAGGAGCGTATGTCTGGTATGTATCAACGGGCGAGGGGTCGTAGCTTGGCACGGCGGACTCTTGAGCAAGCGGCGCAGGGACTGCTGCCGGGGCAGGCTCAGAGTGCTTCGGAGCCTCGACTGCGGAGGTTGCGCGGTTAGTCGATTCGTCGGCATCGTAACTGAAAATAGTGAGTTAGCCACGTATTAATCGACCTGAGAGACGGGCATGATTCGTACAGATCCGCGAAGAGATCGTCTTCGAGTTCCTCGGGTTCAGCCATGGTGCTGAGGGATTAGTGATGTGGGTTGGAGAGCAATGGAATGGGACGCGAGTCAAGACAGGTTTAAATGGTGAGTGAAGGAGAACTCGGGGTCTTGGAAGCGATCCAAAGGCGTGGGGGAGAGAAGAAGGTGAAGTTGGTGAAAGAAGCGAAGAAGCCAAGGGAGGGAAAAGCGGAGGAGTAAGTGGCTTACATACGCATGCTGCCGTCGTCAAACGGCAGGGTTGGTTACCAAGTACTACAACGTATGTACATTGCTTATTACTGATGATGAGACTATTGCCTTGAAACTTGCAATTATCTTGGATCTCTAAATCTATATCCAGTCACTATTTCATAGATAATTGGTGTTGCTGCTTCTCTTATAGCTGCAGACACATGGATGTTTTAGGTAGGCGGAATCCAAGGCGGTCAGGGGCATATCTCGTATCCTCAAGTGGCGGCGACAGATCGAGCCAGTTGCAGCGTCAACAACTGCTATACCTTTCCGCATTTCATTCACTCTCAGTTGAGATCCTACATATTGAATTTGGACCCATGTCCTGTCTTGCAATGCCTTTCTAAGTTGGACTTGCTATATGGCCCCGGCTGGAGGAGAATAACACGACAGATCTCCTTGGGCCGCCCCGCATTTGAAACCGCTGAGACCACTGCAGCAGTTCGACCATCACGGCAGCAACAGCTATGGCGAACAAGAAGGGCCAGCAGGTAAGCAGTTCCCAATGCTCTCCAAGTATAGATCATTGAATTGAAGCTTAATTATCTCTCTAGGAAATGGTTCAGGTTGGTATGTATATGCTTCCTCCCCCGCAATTGTCTTACTCTTTCTCCCATAGCTAACGCAAGCTTGTATGTACAGATAACTCCGAGTACGTCTTGCAGAACCTCCAATATTGTCTGATTCTCTTTGATAGCTACTAGAACCATACTAACCCTTCGCTAAAGACGCGCCGAGTCCCCTTTTTGGGCTGGTCGGAATGCATCCCTGAACCAAGGTTCGCCCAAGGCCTACGGCCAGAACACCGTCGTCGGCGCTTCATACTCCCACGCCAGCATTGTTCAGTGAGTACCATCAACGAGACCCAAAATTGCGCCAATTGTATTCCATTCTTGATCAATAAACAATCCTCTAACCTCTCATCCTTCTTCTAGAACCGGGTCATCTCATCACCGAACAAAGACACCGCCTCGGCCGACGGGAAATGCCCCGTACCCCGCGTCGCACCTGGCGAATCGATCGGGAAACGTAGTCGCCTCACCTCCCCGGCAAGCATACCCTGGAATCATGTCACAAGGCGCGAATGAATGGGCTCGAGACCCCACGCAAGAGGACGACGATGACGATGACGATGATGACGAAATTGTGTACGATGACGACGAAGATGAATTCGGCCTTCCTAGCCTTGCCAGCATGCGCAGAAAGAAGGCGGCAACTTCCAAATCCAAGAACCTCGATTCTGGGGGAACAATGGAAGGGAACCCGACTTCTCTGGGATTTGGACTGGCCGCTGCCAATAGACAGCGCGCCAATAGCTCCGATATCGCCGAAGAGCGCGGAACCCCAATGTACCCCACGGCGCGCAAACATGAAGGCAAAATCCTGCGTCCACAGTATAAGGATATCTTGCAAGGTCAGTCATTTGAATGCCGTCTTCCTCGAGTGTTGAGATTTACGGGTTATACTGACATGTGTGGCGCTAGATCCTGCAAACGCATTGAATCTCATCAACCACTCGTCCCCACCTACCAATGCCTCCCCGAAGGAGAGAGAAATACATTCCAGCCGCATTACGCGCATCAACAAGTTCAAGCGCATTCTACAGGCTAGCACGGTATCTCTTACTGAGCTGCGGGACCTGGCATGGTCTGGAGTTCCTGAAGAGGTTCGGCCGATGACCTGGCAGCTACTTCTCGGGTATCTTCCAACAAACAGTGAACGGCGCATATCAACACTCGAGAGGAAGCGCAAGGAATATCTTGACGGAGTCCGACAGGCGTTTGAACGTGGCAGCGGAAGTGTTGCGAACCCTCCTGCCTCGAGTACGGGACGTGGACGAGGATTGGACGAGGCCATCTGGCACCAAATTAGTATCGATGTTCCTCGCACCAGCCCTCATATCCCTCTCTATGGCTACGAAGCCACGCAGCGATCCCTAGAACGTATCCTCTATGTATGGGCTATTCGGCATCCGGCGAGTGGCTACGTTCAGGGTATCAACGACCTGGTCACCCCATTCTGGCAGGTCTTCCTCGGAGTGTACATTACCGATCTCAATGTTGAAGAGGGCATGGATCCGGGCCAATTACCTCGCAGTGTTTTGGACGCGGTGGAGGCTGATACGTTCTGGTGTCTGACAAAACTGCTCGATGGCATTCAGGACAATTACATCTACGCCCAGCCTGGAATTCACCGACAGGTCAGAGCGTTGCGGGATCTGACGAAGCGCATTGACTCGGCTTTGGCCAATCATTTGGAACAAGAGGGTGTGGAATTTATGCAATTTAGTTTCCGGTGGATGAACTGTTTGCTCATGCGGGAAATGAGCATAAGAAATACGATTCGCATGTGGGATACGTACATGGTATGTGTTGACCCATGCCCTTACCTAGCGTTGCTTTCTTGGTGCTGATACTCGCTGCAGGCCGAGGAGCAGGGCTTCTCTCGATTCCACCTTTATGTTTGTGCTGCATTCTTGGTTAAATGGACAGATCAGTTGGTCAAGATGGATTTCCAGGTAAGAATCATTCTGCAATATTTTGACAATTCTTCAAATTAGAAACTAATGTATGTACACAGGAGGTTATGATGTTTCTCCAAGCATTGCCAACAAAGGACTGGACCGAGAAAGATATCGAGCTCTTACTGAGCGAAGCCTTCATCTGGCAGAGCTTGTTCCAGGATTCACGCGCCCATCTTCGACCGACAGGGAACGAGCCTCCTGAAAATGGTATCTTTTATTGATAGTAATCATAATTCATCATTCTATTCCGGACCTCCTTCGATTTTTGGTGGCCCGGGGGTATTTGAGCGAGACACGAGACTTTTTGGCGATCAGTTGAAATGGATGCCCTTCTGGTTGAACGCCCACAGCAACTTCAAAAACTCGTTCTCGTCACACATTCTGGCGCGCTTCTCAGCCAGACCGGTCTCATCCTCCAACACCTGGCGTACCTTCTCGCGGACCAATTCCGAAACCTTCCCGCGCTTCTTCCGCTGGGGCTTGCTGAGTGCTTGTTGGATGCGGGCGTTGGCCTCTTCTTTGAAGAAATCGGGCACATCGTCATCATCATCCATTTCCATGACCTCATCCGCAACCTCCTCCTCCTCGCCCTGATCTTGCTCCTGACCCATATCCATGACATCGCCCTCAGCGTCCTCGACGGGTCCGTCTTCGACTGGAATATCGTGCTGGGCACACCATGTGCGGTAATTCTGCTCAAGCATGTTCATGATCGTGGGCGTACCGATGAAACTGGCCCGTAGTGTCTTGTTCTTTCGCACAAAGGCAATGCGCAACAGGCCGTCCCATTCCTCATAGTTGATCTGTGGCCGTGGGACCTTGGGCACCATGCGGATGACGCTGGACTCGACCAATGGCGGGGGCTTGAAGTTGTTCTTGCCAACCTTCATGATGTGATCGATCTTGGCCCACATTTGGGCGTTTACGGAAAGTCGACTGTAAAGCTTGTCGCCGGGCTTGGCGAATAGACGCAGAGCGAATTCACGCTGGAACCTAGAGCGGGGGCGATGTATATTAGCATATGCTAGACGAATAAACGAATGGCATCCGCGAGGATGAGATCGATATCTTTTTTTGGAACGTACATGAGAACACAGGTACGAGGAGCGGGTGTTGTGGCGAGGAGCTTGAATGTGAGGGGGGAAGAGATCTGGAGAATAGTTAGTACGAAAGAGCCACAGCGATTCTCCATTAAGGAGACTATTTTATAGCATAGCATAGCTCTAGTCCACGGTGTGATAACTCACCTGATAAGGAGTGTTACTGATGCAGACATCAAAGTATGGAAGCTCCGTCTTCATCACATCGCCGAGAATAACCTCCAGGCGCTTCTGCGCCGGAGTACCCTGGAAACGCTTGGTGACTTCGGCAGCCATTCGAGGATCCAACTCCACCGCGATGACCTTCTTGGCCTTTTCCAGAATTTTGGCAGTCAAGTTACCAGTACCGGGACCGATTTCAAGGACGATCTAACAGCAACAAGGTTAGCACAGGTCGTTTTCAGCTGGGACAATCACTACTCACGTCGCTCTGCTTGAGATCGGCCTTGTGGACGATTCTGTAGGAGGGTTTTGGGTTAGCTTGAAATCATTCACACTGAGTATAAAGAAGGGACTACTTACTGCTCAGCAATACCGGGATTCTTCAACACGTGTTGACCGATATCTGTGTTCATCTTGAAGATGCTGTGGGCAGCCTTGGTCTTTGCGGCGGCGTCCGCATGCGCATTATTGCGCTTTCCCTTTTGAACCTTGGGCATCTTGAATAAATGACCTGCAGTCGATAGCAATTCACTGAAGAATCCACTTGAAGCAGCAGAGTTTGGCGCAAAGAGAGGTTCACAAGTCCCCGCGGAATGTTGAACTGTGGGCAACTTTTTTCTTTGCGATAAGATTATCGGCCTCGGCCCTACTTTTCTACGGGCCCCGGCCCGCCTTCATCTGCTCTTTCGACCTTGGGAACTTCAACTTGCCTCGAAGCTTGAAACTTGCTTTCCGTGCCTCAACATGGCGTCTGGTCGGAAGGATTTTCTCAGCCAGCAGGCGCCTGAGAATTATGTTGCCGGTCTGGGCCGTGGTGCGACCGGTTTCACCACGCGATCGGATTTGGGACCCGCGCGCGAAGGTCCCACGCCCGAACAGATTCAAGCTGCATTGACGAAACGAGCTGCTCTTCTCGGAGCTGCTGCGCCGACGGCTTACGGTGATAAATCTCGTGAGAAGGGAGGTAAAGAGGACAAGGCAGAAGAGGAGGATGAGCGATTCCAGGATCCCGACAACGAGGTCGGTCTGTTCGCGTACGGACAATTCGACCAGGAAGACGATGAGGCGGATCGCATTTATCAGGAGGTGGATGAGAAGTTGGATCGGCGACGTAAAATTCGAAGGTTAGTGATTTCTCTCTCCCCCGGTTCTGTTGTCCCCAAAACAACTTGTTCATCGGGCCAGTTCCCCGTTGTTTGGATAGATTACCGACTGGATTCGTTCGCCACCTACAGGGAAGCTCGAGAACAACAGGAACGCGAGGATTACGAACGGAAGAACCCGAAGATTCAGCAACAATTTGCCGACTTGAAGAGATCGCTCGCCGCGGTTTCTGAGGAGGATTGGGCCAATCTTCCCGAAGTCGGTGATCTTACTGGCAAGAATCGACGAGCGAAACAGAACCTCCGTCAGCGATTTTATGCGGTCCCGGATAGCGTTATTGCAGGCGCAAGGGATTCTGCCCAATTCGATACTACGATTGCCGATGATGGTGCCCCGGCCGATGGTGGTGAAGGAACCAGCGACGGGACGATGACGAATTTCGCAGACATTGGTGCTGCCCGTGACAAGGTCTTGAAGGTTCGACTGGATCAGGCAGCGCTGGGTTCGTCAGCAGAAGTCGCCTCTTCCGGAAGCGCAACCAGCATCGATCCCAAGGGATATCTCACCAGTTTGACACAGTCAGAAATGAAAGCTGGTGAGATTGAAGTTGGTGACATCAAACGAGTGCGAGTCCTGCTGGAGTCTGTCACAAAGACCAACCCCAAGCATGCACCGGGATGGATTGCTCTCGCGCGTCTGGAAGAGCTTGCAGGCCGGATTGTAGCCGCTCGAAACGCCATCGCTAAAGGTTGCGAGCTGTGCCCGAAGAGCGAAGACGGATGGTTGGAAAATATTCGTCTTAATGAAGGTCACAATGCCAAGATTATTGCAGCCAATGCTATCAAGAACAACGACCACTCGACTCGACTCTGGATCGAGGCCATGAAACTGGAAACCGATACCCGGGCGAAGAAGAACGTCCTCCGCCAGGCTATCCTGCACATTCCCCAATCAGTGCAGATCTGGAAAGAGGCTGTTAATCTTGAAGACGACCCCGCAGATGCCCGTCTTCTTCTGGCCAAGGCCGTTGAAATGATCCCCCTCTCCGTGGAGCTGTGGCTGGCCCTGGCGCGCCTGGAGAGTCCAGAGAATGCTCAGAAGGTTCTTAACGCAGCGCGCAAGGCCGTTCCTACCAGTCATGAAATCTGGATTGCCGCTGCTCGACTGCAAGAACAGATGGGTACTTTCGAAAAGGTCAATGTCATGAGGCGTGCCATCCAGTCCCTCGCCAAGGAGAATGCCATGTTGAAGCGTGAGGAGTGGATTTCCGAAGCCGAGCGCTGCGAGGAAGAAGGGGCCATTCTTACCTGTGGTGCCATCATCCGCGAGACTCTCGGATGGGGCCTGGACGAAGACGACGATCGCAAGGATATTTGGATGGACGACGCCAGATCCAGCATTGGTCGCGGCAAATACGAAACCGCTCGTGCTATCTATGCGTATGCACTGCGGGTCTTTGTCAACCGCCGGTCTATTTGGATCGCAGCTGCGGACCTCGAGCGCAATCATGGCGACAAGGAAGCTCTGTGGCAAGTCCTCGAGAAAGCCGTTGAAGCATGCCCACAGAGCGAGGAGCTTTGGCTGCAACTTGCCAAGGAGAAATGGCAGTCCGGTGAAATTGACGATGCAAGACGAGTGCTTGGCCGTGCCTTCAACCAGAACCCCAACAACGAGGACATCTGGCTTGCTGCCGTCAAGCTTGAAGCAGATGCGCAGCAAACAGAACAGGCACGCGAGCTCCTGGCCACAGCACGCCGTGAAGCCGGCACAGACCGTGTATGGATCAAGAGTGTTGCTTTCGAGCGGCAATTAGGCAATATCGACGAAGCACTGGATCTCGTCAACCAAGGACTGCAACAATACCCGAAGGCCGACAAGCTCTGGATGATGAAGGGCCAGATCTACGAATCCCAGAACAAATTCCCACAAGCACGCGAGGCATACGGTACCGGCACTCGAGCCTGTTCCAAATCCGTACCCCTCTGGCTCCTCGCATCCCGACTCGAAGAAAAAGCCGGCGCCGTCGTCCGTGCCCGTTCCGTCCTCGATCGAGCCCGTCTCGCCGTCCCCAAGAGCCCCGAGCTATGGACAGAAAGTGTGCGTGTCGAGCGCCGCGCGAATAACATCGCCCAGGCTAGGGTCCTTATGGCACGAGCCCTGCAGGAAGTACCAGCCTCAGGTCTACTGTGGAGCGAGAATATTTGGCATCTGGAACCTCGTGCGTCCCGCAAGGCACGTAGCTTGGAGGCTATCAAGAAGGTCGAGAACGATCCTATCTTGTTCATCACAGTTGCGAGAATTTTCTGGGGTGAGCGACGCCTGGAAAAGGCGATGACTTGGTTTGAAAAGGCTATTGTTGCGGATAGCGATTATGGAGATGGGTGGGCGTGGTACTTTAAGTTCCTGCAACAGCATGGTACAGAGGTGAGTCCGCGACTTTTAAAACGATACCATTTAACTTGCTCATCTATGAGCAAGTATAAAGATATCATCGCTAATGCCTTCTTCTTTTATCAGGATAAACGCTCAGACGTGATCTCCAAGTGTGTCATAACAGAGCCAAAACACGGCGAGGCATGGCAGGCTATCGCGAAAGATCCAGTTAACGCACACAAGTCGACGGAGGAGATTTTGAAACTTGTTTCTGAGGCGGTTAACTAAGAAAAGGAACTTAAGGAACTTGTTTTGTTATGCATGATGTATCATTAACAGCACTTATGGGGGGCGTTTTGGACATGGATTGGTGTTTGAATATAAGCAATGCTTTGCTTTTGCTCCATGAATGGAACTGTAGGTGGGTAAATGCGACTGCGACGGTAGATGATCTTTTCTTTCTCTCTGTGATATTACATATAGACCTTACTATATGGGACGGACAGGATATAGCAATAGCCAGGTGCAAGGAGCTTGAGATATGGCTTTGTTTTTTGCCCTAGCTATCATTGTCTCGGGACTCAGCTTTGATCCTGCATGTCGTAGAAGGCAGATATCTGTTATTTATGATCCTTGGCCCTCATCAAGCAGCGCCACATCCACGTTAGCAAGTAGATCTCAATATTCCCTCGTTCAGGACCTGAGAATGAATTTGAGGTACCCGAAAAAGGGATGTTGATTACCTCTAGATAGTATCCAGTGAGTGAGTACCACTAAGCCTATATATAGTGTATCGCTCCAGATAAATTAGTCCGGCTCTATCTACATACATACCTAAAATCCATCTATTTCAGAATCCATCCTGATACGGTAAGCTATACACAACTTAAGCATGACACAAGTTTAATACAGTGCAAAGAATCATATTCATGGGTATCGAACAAGCGAGGCCACTCCGCGCCGGGCCACGGCCATCGCTATTGTTTCAAGTTCTTTTTTGTTGATATCGAGGCCCGATGAGACCATCATGTGCTGCTGTTGCATGCACATTGCTCGTGCGTAAAAAATGACCAAAATAACCAAAAAAAGAAAATACTGTACATTGTACGGCCGATATGCACAGGCCGGGCAGGATTCAAGAAAAAAGATGAGCGGGCGCACCGCAAGAAAAAACAGTCAGGCTCTTCCTCCTGTGCAAGGTCGTCGATCAATCAACCTTGCTAGATCAGAATCTGGATTTTCCAGATCTCCAAGTGAAGAAACTCCAGAGCCAGATGCATAACGTAAAAACGAGCTGCCATGCTTGTCACCAAGAGGAACTGCAATAGCTGCACCGAAAATTCCCAGACGCCGTGTTCCTCCTAAGACCGGAATCCAAAACGCAAGAAGAAACGCAAAAGAACGGGGTAACGGAGAAGCATAACGTGGCAGATATTATCAATGCCACGGGGTCAAAAGAAAGGGAAAAGAAAAGAAGAAAGCTGTTAGTGGGGTATATCTGTATCAATCCTCAGTTCCTCAATCCTCAAGCAGCCATGGACAAACAATCGTCCAACAAGCCGCTCAATTGCTCACGATCCAGAGCCGTGCCTCCTTCCCAATCCGAAAGGGCAATATCGTCGTCGTCATCCAAATCCATCTCATCATCATCATTGGCCTCAACCTTGGTCTCTGGGGCCCCAATCACACCATTCTCTAAGCGGTCCTGCTTTTCTGTCCCAAGCTCGTCTTCGAAGTATCCGCCCATAACCTGATCAATGAGTAGTGGCATGTGGCCCAGGACACCTCGCCCCAGCTCCAATGTGAGCCGAAGATCCCTGACACCAAGTGACCGACGAGTTGCAGCCTCCTTAGCCTCGACAGGGAGCAGTCCAGTAGCAGTATCCTTGACGATTTCACCTCGTGTATATGCAAGTTCCTCGCGCTCCAATTGCTGGCGATACTTTCGCATCATCATGCCGTTGATGGTACCCGAGGGGCCGTTGGAGCGCGTGCGCGAGAACATCGAGGACAAAACGTCCTTGACAAAGGTCTCAGTGGCAATGGCCATGAATTCTGCGCATGGCAAGGCCGCACCACCGGGAAGTGATTCTTCGTAACACATGGGGACCATTCGGGCGTAGATAGATTCAGCATCGGGGAATTCGCCAGTGTCGCCGGCGAGAGGCTGCGCATATCGTTTTCGGATTTCCAACTCCCAATCTAAAGGTGAGGAGTCCGGTATTAGTAAAGATATTCCTTTGAACTGGGTACTGTGCGCGCGCCCCGACCGCGCAAGTTATATCGGGGGTTGCACGGTGAACGGTGGGAAGCGGTCTTACTTGTCTTGTTCAGTCCACCTGCGCTCGCGGGGACTTGACTGGGGAGTTTAATCTGTTTGGCCTGGTGGTATACCTCCAGCTCATTGGGAACCGCATCGTTGGGATCTCGCTGTAAGTTGGGAAGGAGATCTCGTGTCAGCAATCGTCCTGTCTCGCGCCGACATAGCCTCGGCCATATCCTCCGCAAAGTGCATACCTCTTGAATAGCCTTGATTCTCCGACGATCCCTCGGAGGTAATTGCATAACCTCCGTCTTCAATCTTTGTTCAGCAGCGTCTCCAGAAATGGGCTTGGAGACCATAGACGGCTTATCGTTGGCCGAGACCCAAGTTGCGACGCCATGGTCAGGGAGGTCGCGAGTGAGGTTTGCGATGATCGCGCAAATGAAATTATTATGGAGATGCTCGATTTTTGTATCGGCGCATAGGAAGTGATCGACTCGCGACGCGTATTCATTTTGGTTGTAATGTCCTAGAAGCGGCAGGAGGTCAGGAGGTCAGCCACCACAAGGTTCAATTCAACGCGGGGAGAGCATTTAGCAGCAGATATTGCGACAACTTCGCAGCCATGTAGAGACGAAAGTATGCGCTGGGAGGAAACAAGTTCCATACCTAGAAGAAAGAACGCGGTGGACTCCTTGTACTCGGCCCATTTGTCTCCGATGGCGGCCTTCAGCTCCGTATAGGTCTGTTCCAGGTCCAGGCGCGGTACCGAAGGTAGGGTTCGTGATGACTTCACCGTCGTCGAGGGGTTGTTAGCCACGCTCTTTGCCTGATTAGACGAGTCGTTGCGACTCAGGGCCGCCGGATCGATCTGCATGGTAGCTGAAGGTCTGGCAGGAGCGCGACAAGGCGAGGCCGAAGGGCGGCGGCTTGATGGGGACTACGCATTCATGAAGAGGCGCGGAGATCGATCGGAGGGGGTGACCAGATTGATGAGTCTAGAAGGAGAGCGAAAATGATGGATTGATGATGAAAAGGCGATGGGATTGATGGAAGGAGGCTTTGGAAGGGTTGGGAGGTTGGAAATGAGGTTCCGAGAGTTGCGGTTTCCCCGCCAGAAGCGGATGCCTCGTTCCCGGGAACAGTCACACTGCGACGAAGTATAGCCAGCGAGAGTTGATTGAACTAGATGATTCTAATAGACAGTAGCTGCCTACATAGGAAGCTAAATCTTTATGGAAATGTACAGAACTACATTCTACTTAATAATACAAAGGAACATTCAATATGAATCAGGGTATATTGTACCTAATATCTACGCCATCTGCAGGACATCCTCACTCAACACTCCAAACAGCTGCCCAATGTCAGCAAGAATTTCACTGATCTCTTTGGACAATTGGCCAGTGACGAGAACTACATAGGATATAGTTAGTAAAGTAACCATAAGACAGACAAGACCTTGACCACTCACTGTAGGCATACAACAATGAACTGTCTTCGTCTGTCGTCAGCAGCGAGACCTCCTGGTCCTGTCGATATCGGTAAATGCGCGCCAGCAACCTATCACGAGCATGATCAACGCTGGGTAGCACATCGCTCAGAGGGTATTCAAGTTTCATAGACGATGCCATGACTAGAAAGATGTCAGAACCACAAGAAATAGCGCATCGATGGTGAACTAACCGGTAAGAAGGTGGCTAATCCTCGCAGACAGCTGCTGTCGTTCCTGCGCAGTATACCGAAGAAGACTAATCTCCCCCTCGGTAGCAATCTCACTCTTCATCAGCTCCAAATTCATCGCATGGAACGCATTCACCATGCTCCGAGTACGGCGGATAATACTAGCATAAGTATCATCCGCAAACGCACTGCGCAGCTCAAACTCCGATCCCGCCGAGACCAATAATGTCTCCAACCGGGAGAGAGCGCGCTCAAGTTCAAGTTTCTCGCGCGCAGTCATATACACCACAGAGCGCTTCGTTTTGACCATTGCCGAGAGAGGGTCACGCTTCCAGACCAGTCCCAGCCGCAACCAGAGCATGCTGAGGCTATCTTTCAACCTGCTTCGCGCGCTGATCGGCCAGATCACTCGGGTGATGATGATACCCCAGATACAGCCTGAAAACACTGCCACCACTCGATGGAGCGCGATCTCACCGATAACGGGTTCTTGGCCACCCTCGTCTTTCGAGCCGTCCGCTTCTTTCTGCGTGAGTGAGTAAGCATACAGCACGGACAAGTTATAGGTGAGCATGATAAATCGACCCAAGGGCCCATTGCCTTGGACGATCGTGATGTAGGAGATCCAGACAGCCATCACCCATCCAAAGATGGCCAGACCATAGGCATTGCCACTGGAAATGTACCAGGCTGAAATGGCACAGACCGCTCCCAAGCAAGTGCCGAGGAATCGAGCGTAGCCCGTGGTATTTGATGCGCCAATAGTCATCGAGCAGACCAGCATGTACGACAACAAACCCCATTCGCCGCGCCAGTGTTGGTAGAAAGGTCTTGTGGAAGGCAAGAAAGCAGGCAAAGCGTAGAGCGCCGCACCAGCACCGACCTTGATCGCGTATCTGGTGTCATCCCGTCGGAGCCACTTGAGGGATTTCCAGAGCCGATAACCTAGGCGTTGCTTAACCGTCGTCTCAGCGCCTGGATACAGGCGAGCGCGAACAGCGGGAGAAACTCGAGCATCAGGTCTGGGCGGAGCCAGGAAGGTAGGCTCGTCGGCGGGATTGGTGTCTTTGGCTTTCCAAAACCTGAGCCAGCTCCAAGACCGCCCGCCAGGTCGCTCCTCGGTTTCAAGCTGGAGCTGGTCCAATACCGCGAGCAACTCGTGCAGCTGCTCACCGAACTCCAACAGTGAGAAACTGAAATGGCCACAGCTCGCAGACACCTCTTCGAGATCTGCTTCCGCCTCATGCGTCCTCAGCTTGATGGTTTCTATCTGCTGATAGAGCGATTTGAGAGTCTTCTCTCGCGACTCCTGGTAGAGATCCAGAGCACGGTCGAGACTCGTACGTAGTCGACTGTCGACGGAGACTTTATAGTTTGGAGCCGGGCCAAAGGGGATCTCGTTGAAAATCCCTTTCAAAGTGAAGGCCAGAGACCGCTGGAATAAGTTAGCTTCGAGTTCAAGCTTTCCCCAGGTAGAGCTAAGCTTACCATAGCTGGACCCAGATGGGAAATGAAGATTGTAAATACGTCTGCCGGAAGCAAAGGATGTTTTGCGGGTTCAAGCTTTCCATCTGAGTTCGGAGTGCTGAAGCCTCCACTTGGAAAGAGTTCTTCCTCCGGTCGCTCATCAATCGGCTCCAAGAACGACCCATCAGGAAAAGACCAGGAGCGTTCCAATGACGCAAGGTATTCTGTAGGAACAGCACTCTCCTGTCCACCAGATTCCTGGGACTCGCGAGCAAGTGTTTCGCGAATGAGACTGAATTGAAGAGAAGCGGCACTGCGCAAACCACCCATATTATGAGTAATGTCCTGCACCCAGCGCACCAGCTTCTTCTCCAGTCGATATTCTCGTTCTGTTCCTGCAAAGTAGTGCTCGAGTTTGGCCTCGCGCACTAGTTTGTCTAGCTGCCCATAGGCTTTTCGGTGCTTAGTCTCCGCCTCGATGAATTCCGCAGACTTGAGCTCATCCTCAGACCCGCTGAGGAAACTCTCTGTAATGATACCCAGCATCACAGCCAGCGTATCTGTAGTTGTGACCAGGTTTGCGCGAAGCTTCTTCCGCGCAGAGATGGGGAATATCAAGAATGAAACGGCACCCGCGAATATGACACCCATGATAACCATCTTCAAAACCTGGATGATCTTATTCAACGATAGATCGCCGCTCTGCACGGCGCCTTCTTTCGTCAAAACCGTGATAGTTGATAACGCCGTAAGCGAGCAGGCCACATTCACCAACGGATCACCCAGTCTTTGCTTAGTCCACCCGACGAAGCCCAGGCCACCACCGCAGAAGACAATCAGCACCACGGCATGACCCAGTGCCGGCAGATCCAGCGAGTCCTGGAAGAAATTCTCTACCAGCATACTGGTAATCGACAAAAAGGCTGAGTAGCAAAACGCAAGCAGCGCGCAGATCAAGGCGCGGTACATGCTACCCTGGGATCTCGCCGGATGGAAGTAAACAGTCACCGTCGCGACCATATGTTTCCCATCCTGATGGCCAAGAAAAGCGGATAGAGCGGGGATAAATGTCGCCATGGATCCCAGCAGATATGCCAAACTGCACTTCAAGACTCCAATGCCCTGCTCGGAGATGACGAAGCGGTGCAAGCCTGCCCAGAGCTCCTGTGCCTGTTTAGACAACCACGTCCCGTATCCATCATGATGTGTCTCAATCTGACCCGAGAGCAGACCTCGTCGTTCCTCGCGCGCTTCATCATCATCATCCGTCGCCAATCTTCGTGTCGGGTCACGCAGGCTCACGAGGCCTTTTAAGCGCTGACCGGTTCGAGGAAGGACAAAAGTTGCCTGTCGTAGCTGTCGATGCTATCAGCATAACTAGACCTGGACTTGGGGGCTTTGGTTGATCTTCTTTGCCTCTAGCTGCGTGTTGTTTACAGCGAGCGCAGATCGGGTACACACTTTGGGTCGCAACAAGCGGCGGGAGCTACTGGGAGCTCCTTCAGTCTCAGATGGCGCCATTGGGGGCGGCTCTCCCGCATTTGCTTTGGATATTTGCTCGGGGTCGAATTTCACGTTGGAGGAGGGTGCGACTTCATTGTGCAGTGTGTATGGGACAGGAAGAAGGTCGCGGAGATGTTGCGATTGGGGATTGAAGTCATTACACCGTCTCAAAGTGCTTTTTTGTGGAGGTGTTGGCACCAGCAGCTCCACACAAACTTGAACAATGCGCAGTCTGTAGCCACATCCCTGCTACAATCGAACCACGCACCTCTCAACTGTTGACAGTTTTGTTTCTTATACTTGGTACGAGTCGTTGTTGACACTGCTCTGATCTCTCGATATTTTCTAATCATTCGACATTTTCATTCAAGCAAAGAGCGCCAAATATCATTCAAGCTAGATACAGACACTCATACCACCCGATCAATACTCATTGCAGACCTTCAACCTTCCACACCTTCACAGCCGCATCAGCACCCGCAGATGCGATCTTCGAGCCACCGTCGATCCACGCCACACCATTGACACCCTCTTTGTGTGCATTCTTGACCTCCAACCAGTCACCAGGCTTGGCCAAGCTCCAGACAAAGATATTGGTGTCCAGAGAACCACTAACAACGTGAGTACCGGCCTTGTTCCAAGCCAACGAGGTGATACGCGCCGTGTGAGCAGTCCAACGATCTGTAACAAGACTGCCATCAGCCACCTTGTAGACCAAAACACGACCACGCAGATCTCCCACAGCCAAAACCGAGGCATCGGGGGAGAAGGCCAGCATGGAAATCTGGTTGCGCGAGGCTTGAATGTCGGTCTGCGCGGACAGGCTAGAACCTGAAACCTTGCAGATCTGCACAGCTCCATTCTCGCCGCCGATAGCTGTAACATCCCCGTGCGCCGCCACAGTGGTCACCGAGAACTTGGTCTTGAAGTCACCGGTCTTCTTGCCATCCTGGAAGATCTCGACCGCCTCCGCGGCACCGACCAGCACGGTTGTACCGGCGGCGGCAACGCCCTTCGGCTGCGCAGTGAGCTTGGACGAGCTGCCGGTGTAGGTCTTGGCAGCCACATCGATAGACCGGATTGTGTCGTCCCAGCCGACACTGTAAATACGTCCAGAACCCTCTGTTGTGGATGCTAGGCCAGCGATGTACCCGGGGTGACCCTCGCCCTCGATCTCTTCCGCGGAACCAGAGGCGACATCCCAGCTGGAGACGCGGCCCTCGAAACTTCCAGTCCACAGAGTCTCCTTGCCATCCAAATTGGACTGGCCTAGAGAGGTGATGCTCTTCTGGTGACCTTGAACCACCTGTCGGGGCTTGGGGTTACCCTCAACGAGGTAGTTCAGATCGCCACTGAGAGACAAACTGATAAGCAGGTTGTCGCTGCGACCCGGGGGCCAAACAACGCCAACCTGGTGATCGCGGACGGCGTTGGCCCCCTCCTCGCCGAGAGTCCAGCTCTGCGTGGTCTTGCCCGCTTCGACATCCCAGATCTTGACCGTCCGGTCCGCGCTAGCAGTCACGAACTTTCGCGAGTCCTTGGACCACGAGACGCTGAAGATACTACCCTTGTGCTCGCCCTCACCGATTTGACCCTTAGTCTCGCCGGTCTTACCATCGTACAGCCAGATCTTGCGGTCCGCACCAACACTGACCAAGTGGGAACCATCCGGACTAAAGCCCACGCCGTAGATATAGTTCGTGTGCTTGTCACCAATGCCGGTGTTGAACTTGAAGGGTGCACCGTGGTAGAAGACCAGCTTCTTATCGTCGCCTGCGGCCGCAGCCCGGAGAGGCCTCTGCTGTCTGATCGAGACGGAGTTGATCTGCTGCGTATGGCCATAAATTTCACCGACGGTGTTTCCACTGTCCCAAGTAATGCAGTGTCCGTAACGTTGCTTTCCGTCACCGACGGCAATGATGCGCTGAGAGTCACCGTCCCAAGCCAAGTCGTTGATTCGGCCGTTGACAATGCTGTAATCGCCCTTGGTAATACCCTCTCCTACGCAGTCCCACACCCTCACAGTACCGGTAGCATCACCGCTAGCAACGTAGAATCCGGAGGGGGAGAATCGCGCGACGGTGGTCTGTGCCTTGTGTTCGGTGTACTGTCTGGCGTTTGCGGGGTTGTCGATAGAACGGATGAAGATGGATTTATTCGACTGTATGATTGAGTTTGTTAGGAGCTTCTTGTGAAGATGAAACAATGGTATGACTAGAACATGAGGCTCATACAGCATATGCAAGTCGCTCGCCCTTGGCGTCGGACGAGAGCTGCGTAGGTGCGCCGCGGGTGGTGGAGGGGCTGGCGGCCCAGATGGACTCTGTAGAAAAGGTCAATGGGCTGTTTGTGACTATAGTGGGCAGGAGAGAAAGTCCATTTACCGTTTGTGATTGACATCTAGGGAGTGCGATTTGGTGTGCTCGAGGAGAGAGGTGGTTTGAGGGGGTCGATCAATGGCGGGGAGAGAGTTGTTTATGAACTGACGTACGCGGGCCAGGCAGCTCTAGTGGGGATCACAGGCCACACACGGTCATCGCTGATGATCTTGGCTCATTGTCCTATAAAGGGACTAAAAGGGCATTGGCCATAACATCCCTATCATTCTTTCCCCATTTTCTCCTTGTAGTGACGCTGGGGTCTATATGAGCCTTGTTTCAAGGTCTTTAAAGTGCATATATATCTTCCGAGTGTAGGGCCACACTAGGCTTCACATATGTACCTTGACTCCCCCGAAGAGCTTTTTACCGAAAAGTTGCTGCCTCAACCTGTAGCCGATTTGACTCAGAGGATGCTAATTCGTACCAGCATTATATGAAGGCCAAGAAATAAATCAATTTTGCGCTGAGTGTAATAATACATGAAGATGCGCCCATCCAATGGGCCGCTGGTCTGTAAAAGAATACCATAACAGATCACCCAATGATCCTACCAAATGAAAGAAAGAACACACATTCTACCGGAAACCACCATCCATCTTCGCCTTCATCTCCGCCGCAAGGATCTCGGGGTGTCGGTGGACGGAAGGCATAAGACCGAGGCCCATGGCTCGACGGATGGCCTTGGCAATCTTGCGCTGGTTGACGGGTCGCAGACCGGTTTGTTCACGGTGCTTGATGCGGCCAAGAGGGGAAACGTACTCGGACATGATGGAGAAGTTCTAGAATCGGACGAGGCATTGTCAGTGGTTGTGTCTGAGTGAGGTCTCCGATCAAGAGTGGGATAATGGCAGGGCAAGAAACAACAGCCATGGCTGTTCTCTCCATAGCCACAGACTCATAGTAGTTATTACGTACCTTGTAAAGATCCAATGGGTTTAGGTTCAGAGCATCAAAGGCATCGCGCGAAGGGCTCTTGCGCTTGCCCCATTTCTTCATCTCGGCCGGGCTGAGATCGTGAGGGGCGTAGATGTCACCAGCCTTCCAGTCGCGGGTCTGGAACTTCTCCAGAGCTCGGCTTTCACCCTGAGCTTTTTGTTCCTCGAGGAATCGCAGGCGGTTTGGTAGTCGGCGGCGAATGGGGGCTCTGGGTGCTGTTACGGAGAGTCAGTTGACACTCGGTATAAGAATAGATCTCCACATTCATGCAGATATGTACGAGTGCCTTCAGAATAACATACTCTGGTTGTGGGAGGTTGCGCGCTGGGAGGTGAAAGCGCTCATGGCCGCGGTCGAACTCGAACTCCAACGGCAGGCGGACGGCAGAGCATTGGCGACGCTGCGCAGCAGCGGTGAAGAGAAGAGACTCTGTGACATGATGACCAGCTTCCAATGCCTGCAGTAATTGGAAGTTGTTGACTGTATCAGGACGTAGAACGGCGAATGTCGAAGAGAGTCGAGGCTAGGATCAACGCGGAGCCGACAAGCGGATCTTTTTTCGCGGTGCCAAGACTGCCCTCCGCCTATGGAGCTCCTCCGCGTCGCGAAACTCTACCACCCTGTATGTCATCGATTCCAGCTTCTTGACGACTGCGAACCTGCCCTGCTTCGTCCAATCCGATCTCCCTGTCCAGTCAATTGAGCGGCAACGCTCGCTCCTGTCAAGCCATGCAGTCTCATCTCACGAGACGGGTCTTCCGGGCCCTCATCAATAACGAGCCGCTGTCTTCTTCAAGATGCCGACGAACCCAATTGCTGCATACCATTTCCCCCGCACGAGTCCGGTCGAGTCTCGTCAGTCTTCCTCATGTGCAACGTCGAACCCTATTCGCCTTTAATATGGACCCAAGAGCTGCCTCAGGGGAGGGAATGCCCACGACCTTGTCCTCCGAGAAAGGCCTAAAGCCGATGACCGATTTGAAACGATCCCTGGAGGATAAGAGCCGAGCTCCCCCGAACAATACTCTGGTCAAGGCTTTTAAGCTGTTTTTTGAAACCCGAGTGGATTCTCCTGGAGTCATCAACTTGTTCCAGGCTCGGCTATTGTCTATGACATGGAAGCACCTGAAGGCCCAGCAAGAAGAGTTGGATGATGATGATTGGAACAATGTTTTCTCGGTGGATAGCTTGGAACGGATTCTCTATGTGTTTTCCGAAGCGCAGTGCCTTCCCGAGGCGCGGGAAACAGTTTTGAAAATCGCTCGCTATGCCTACCTCGAGCTGTGCGCTGATCATGGGTTTGGTCCCAACTCAATCAGCCGGCCCGCGCTCCTAGTCTACATCAATCTCTTAGCCATGAATGGGAATCCCGAGGATGCCCGCCAGGTCATCATCAACTTTGGAGGCCAATTGCGCGGCGCAAAGCCATCTCCCTGGCTCACTGTCCTGAAGGGATTTGCCCTGAAAGATGACCGGCGCCAGCTGCGGAAAATCACACAAGAACTGGAGAAATACGGGGTCAAGTTTGACCAAGCTTCCCATGAAGAGCTTGTTGATATTCTCATCGCACAGGATCTATTCAAAGCAGCGCAGACTGCCTACGAGTGCCCCATGGCTGGGAATGCCGAGCCATCGCTAGCTACTAAAAAGGCTGTGATCAACTATGCAATCTTGCAGTCCGACACCGCGTGGGCAGAGCCTATCTACCAATCTATTTGTGAAGGCGCCAGTCCCAACCCGGAGACTGTAGGTGTTGCTTTGCTCTGGGAAGCCGCCCAGGGCGCAAGTGCATCTTCACTAGGCGAAAAAGTCAAATCGTGGACCGCGACAAACCCTCGGATCAGAGAGGCTCTCACGATTGCAGATATCAACAACCTACTTCGATATACCCATGCAAATGAGAATCCACAGCTGGCCACGGCTTTCCTAAACTTGGCAGAACAGTGGGGACTTGCTCCCGATGAGCAGACACATTTGCTGCAGCTGGAGTCGGCCATCCAGGCTGGCGATGTTGAGGCCTCTCTTCACATCTTGGAAAATCAAGTGGACCCCACATCTCTTCCAAATGCCAACCTCTCTCTTTCCAACCAGCTTATCACGATGCTTTGCTCCTCGGAAAAGAAGGATGAACTTTTCCAACAGATTTCGTCCCTCTTGGATCCGCTATTTCAAGATGGAGTGCACCTGGAACCAACCACCGTCGCCGCATTGACCCGTATGCTGCTATACCGCCACGACAACGAAGCTGTTTCCGAATTGCTTCGACCTCGACTAGCTACCTATGACAGCCAAGGGAAGACTGTGATCCGCACAGCAGTGACCGATTTCATCTTGGATCTCAACGAGAAGGACGCAGACGTGTGGGAGGTGTATGAGCTGTTCAAGCTTGCATTCCCCGAGACGGGCGTCAGCGTGCGAACTGAAATCATGTGTACCTTCTTTGAGCGCAAGCGCAGTGACCTCGCAGTCCTAGTTTTCGGCCACATGCGCCAGGCAGAAGACCTGTCACGCCGGCCGAAGCCAGATACCTATGCCCGATGCTTCCAGGGTCTTGCGCGGACTGCCGACGTGACTAACCTGGAGCTGGTCCACAATATGCTCAAGCTTGACCTGGAGGTGGAGCTTACTACCCGGATTCTCAATGGCCTGATGCTGGCCTATGCCGCCTGCGACATGCCCGAGAAGAGCATGAATATCTTCCGGCAGATCCTACAGTCAGACGAAGGTCCATCAACCAAGACGATCGCCCTCTTCTTCAAGGTCTGCCAGAAGCACCACAATGGCGTACAAGAAGCTATCAAGATGATGAGCAAAGTCAAGAAATTGGAGATCGAGGTTGACCGTCGCCTGTACTCGTCGTATATGGAGGCGCTGGCTGCACAATGTGAATTTGATCGTGCCACGGAAGCTATCAATAACATGCGAGCCGAAATTGGGGTTCCTCCTACAAGTACAACGTGAGTTTTCTTCGCATTTCTTGGTATGTCCTGTAGTGCTAACGTTGTGATAGGATTGGACTGTTTTATAATGCTATTCCCTATCAGTACTGGAAGGACCAGGTAGAAGAGTGGGCTCGCAAGACGTACCCCGAGCTCTGGGAGCATCTGGAAAAGACGGAGCGTAGTGAGCATGAAGAAGGGCAGAAGTTTGATGGTATTTCGAATGAGGTCTGGGTCTAGATATCCATGGGTTGTGTTCAGGAGATGTGTTTTTTCTTGTATATTATGTTACTGTACGTAGCGCATTTTATTAGGACTTACATAAGGCATGAGAACGAATTTTGAGTGGTTTCAAGTTCCATTGCCCCAGGAGTGTGATCTAAGACAAGCCAATTCCATTCAAGCTATGCTCATTGAAGAGGTTCAATGGCCCTCATCGCGCACGAATACTGGATTATATGACACTACGTGTCACTAGATACCAACAAAAGTGCTTCCGGAGATCGCCAAATAGCTGTTCTCGTATAATATCCCTTGGTGATAGTGTAGATGGCTACAGCTATACTACTTCAGAGAGCGGAAAGATGTGCCAGTCAGACCGCCAGTCCTCGGACATCTTCTCTGGCCAAACCCGGCACCAGATAGCTTCAAGCCAGCTTTTCAGTCTTCTGGTAGTGAAGCAAGTCGGCACGGAATGGTTGGGTTTGTTCCACCAGTATCTCTTGTCGGCGATCATCGCGAATATTGCGCGTGATCTGCCACGAGCGACCCCTATGGAGAAGCACATCCATGAGTTGTGTTGGGAAGTCAGCCGTTGCAAATTGTCCATCATCGGTAATCTCGACCGTCAATTCCTCCAAGGCAAGAGAATCTTGAGGCTTGCCGGAAGAAATGGTGTCTGAGATAGAGCGAGCAAGTCTCTGATCAAGTGCACAATTTGGTAGTTGTTCGCGCATAGCACCGTTACAAGCCTTGATGAATTTTCACTGTAACTGGGCGATGCCAAAGGAACCTGTCGATCAAATTCATCGTCGATCGAAGCATTAACCACATTGCCGTCTTCGTCATCTTCATTGTCAAGAAACGAGTATGTTGTGGCAGCTTGGAGGACCAGCGAGATTGACTGAAGGCTCGGTACGGATCCAAGAGCCTTGTATAAGCCCACTTCTATCGAGTCTCCTTGTGAACGAACATGGCACAGTGTGATATCTCGAAGAGATTGCAATAACGACCGAGTGCCACCAGATCATTCTTGGTCAGCTCCTCGCTAAAGCCTTCGAGCAATTTTAACTCCGTTAGGCGTTGTCCATGGTGAATAGCCAGGCCTTCTATCGAAATCTCAGGACACCAGTCACCAAGGTCACAGATTTTAGTGGAGGAAGTCTTCTCAAGAATTCATTCACTGCTTTTGCATAATCGCTTGGAACTTCTAATCCGTTTCCATGATTGCTGAGGACAAGTTTTTCCAAGCAGGGAAGCTGAAATTTGGTCGTTAGATGTCCGAATATATTCGAAGTGAGATGTGTAGCAAACTCGAGGGCTTACAATTTTGTGAAATCAGTTTGCAAACTCCAGTAGTCTAGTCTGTCTTCGACAAGGCCCTGAATGTTCTGAAATCGAAGATATCGCAAATTCCCGCGTAACTTCTTGAAAATTTCTCCAGCCTCTTTGCTGAATCTTTTCCACGACGGTGGAACATATCAAATCCGAAAATCCTAAGTACAACCGTAGAATCATGCGACCTCTTTCAAGTTTGGAGCTAGACTAGATGCCATACGACCCATGGCGTTCTCATCGTAGCACCAAGAAGGAATGTTTTCATGGTGCTCATAGTTCCCATAATGAGTTGTTTTGAGGCTGAACAAACAAGGCGAAGATGCTAGGTGGACTTCATACGAGTCTGCGGAGGCTGTTGCTAGACTGCGTAGAAAGAATACATCGATATGGAGGCGACACAATGGTCTGGTCGTATGTATTTGATCCAACAGACATTTTGGGAATTGTATTGGGAGTGCGAAGAGTAAATCCGAGAGGCAAGGGACTTGCGGGATCAGATGTACCAGAGGCAGCCAGACATCGCTGGATTTTCAAGCAGCTTGATTTTTGCTGCTCAATGCTCAATGGTCTCCGAGGCGAGAGGCTGTAGGACTGTAGAAAGCCATGTGAAGTTCTGGGATTTCTAGTGAGAAAGATATATAGGGTACCAGTGTCTTTCGAATCCTATGACCTGGAACGCGCCCCTAGTTTAGTCTCGCAGATCACGAGACATTTGACGTACTTTAGCCTGGTGAGAGACTGAGGAGTCTACGTCCATTTGTAGAATTTCTGAAGCGATACTTGATCCGCATCAACATCTACCCGGACTTGAATGGCATGGTAAAGAAAGGGGGACGCCAGGGTGTGGCAGGTCCAATTTGCACATGCGAAAGCGTGAAGAATGGTTTCATGCGTGGACACGTATTCTAGAACCATTTGCTGGATTCCCAGTGATAGAGACTCGATTGACGGAGCCATGATGAGGCTGATGGAAATTTAAAGGCCGATTTAGAAGGAATTTGTGGGCGTTGATTAGATGGAACAGGGACACAATATGACGATCATTATAGTCAGGTTCCATAAGCCTCCAATGAAAAGGGGCGAAGGTAAAACAAAGAGGGTGGTCGGATTGTTGATGAACCTCAATTGTTTGGAGAGATGTTGGAGGATCTAAATAGGGGAACTGGATAATGTGACTCGAGCCAATATGACCCTTTGTAGGGCAGTCCAATGAGGTGCCTCCTCTATAGGTGCTATATATCTCTTAATGTACATTAAGGATATTCCTCATCTATATTCCTCAATTGTAGATGATCGAAGGCCTTCCAAGTTGCTCGGTTCAGCTTCTAGCTACCCAGATACCAAACAGCCTTAGCTTGATCGGGGTACCAAACCGGAATAGCGTAGGCGCTATTAAAACCTATTTTTCAAACACAAATCATCGCTGCCCCAAGAATTACAAGTCCTCGGAATTCGCTTCAGTCTTTCTTTTCCAGTTTACATGGCCAATGTGAGATGCCTGTGTCCCGATTCAACCCTGAGCTATCAGCCGAGCTCCACAATAGGATCCTTGAGCATGGATGGATCGGAGCCGGACGAGAACTCGACACGCTTCCTTCAACGACCTGGTGGGAAGAGTTTTCACCAATCTCGTTCGATGTCGCTTCTCGATTGAACCCTACGTTGATTCGATTTCTGCGATCGGCTAAAGTTGGTATCTACAAGGAACAGAAGTTTCATTTTTTCTTTCATGTCTGGGGGCTTTTCAGTAAAGATGATCTTTTCTTCTTACATGAAGGCTACATGCGTGAGTCTCCAAAGGATCGTTATATCTCGCTATATCGCTCCTCGATATCAAAGAGTGACCAGGAAGTCGGAATTGTGTAGGCCGCTCTCAGTCATCTTGCTCATATTATGGTCGCCAGGACTAAAGATGTTTACAGATTTGATCAAAAAACCTACTTAGCATCTTTCATTCCGGATTGGGAAGATCTTCGCCTTTGTACCGAAAGAGACTGGCCATGGATGCCTTTGCAAGAAATTCTCCAGGCCTATCTCGATATGATTCATGAGCAAAAAGTCACCACTTATTCAAAATCTGGTAGCGAGGCCAGAATATCTCTATTATTTCCTTGGGATATTCAACTTCATTCTTCTGTCGATGTTGAGAGGGCTATAAGTGCGTTCACTCGTCTGCTCGATGCCATCGAATCCTGGCTCCCTCAAAAACTACAGCACTCTCAATCCCCGGCGCGCGTCGAGATATCGATAGGAAATACAGAAGGGCAACCCAATCAAGAAATAAAATTTCCATACACTAGCTCAGTGCTTGATAGATCCTTTGTGGGACAGGATTCTTTCACACGAGCATTTCTGTCTTCGCTCCCTGCCCGCCATGTCAAGTTTCGTTATATCGCCCCAGGGATACAACTACAGAGCGCAACAGAATTCATGAACCAACCTTATGCCGACCTTTGGGATGCTTATCACCGGATTCCATACGGAAGAGAGCCTGAGAGCCCACTTTCCATTCCTCTTCTTTTGTTTCGAGGAGAGGGAATGAATAAGTCGTTTTGGGTTCGACCATGGTTTCCAGGCGGAATCGCTGAGGATATTCCGAGTGGTCTTTACATTGAATCTCTTGAATATTGGGGACCACATGAGTCAGACAATGAGACTCGGCTGTTACTGCCGTTTAAAATTGGCGAAAACGGTTATGCACGAAGCAGTGAAGGATCTTTGCTCAAAAAGTGGAATTGGGAAGGTAAGTCTGATGGACTTTACCGGGTATCTTTTGCCAGTGGGATTATGCCTCTGGACTCGTATAGTTCACATATCCACAGAGTTTTGCAGAACTGGGCAGAGCGTGTGGAAAGTGGTGACTGGGAAGTGGATGAGAACGGCGTTACTGGTGGGATTGAAAAATTCAAGGACGCTGATACCCCAGAGCACTGGAAGAAGTACTATATACCTTGGAAGAGGCTTGATTGAGTCCAATCTCGGATTGAAATTGTTTTCTCTTGCTACAGTGACATTTACCTCAATAGAAGCTCCCAAAATATGTAGATTGTAGATGCAAGGACTCAATTGCCATTCCCGTCCTGACAACATATCGAAACTTCCCCCTCAACTCAGTATGTTCGAGTCATTCAGACAGTTCCTCTCAGGTCGAGCCAGAGTTATCGGCACAGGACCACGCCGCGGTTCCTCCGTCCGCCCGATAAGAAGCTATAATACCATCAACTGAGCCGTAAGTACCCGCCACTACCAAAAATGTACCTGAAACAATGACGAATATGCACCATATAACCATCAGACGCCACTTCAATGTTGGATCTTGCTTACCCTTGGTCCAATTGTCATATAGCCACATGAATCCCATGGGTTGGAAGCATAGCACAGTACCTAGCAGAGCGCCAACCAGAGACACGAGACCACCAAAGATTGGAATAGCGCTTGCAATAATATACGCAGTCAGGGTAACACCAAACGTGCAGCCTAGCCATGTCATCCAGTGGATGGTCGAGTTGGAGGTCAGGTGAGTTGAACCACGCAAGATACGCACAAAGACGTATTTACTTGGGATCTACTCCTTGGTTAGCCTGAAATTTGATCAACAGGGTGCAATATCTTACATGAGTCAATAGAATGGCAGTCACGAAAAGACCGGGAAGCGCAATTCCATAGGCCACCTTCTTCACAACTGGACCAGCAGAGCCAAGGGCAGGTGAAGAGACATAAGTGCCACAGTAATAGTAGACGACTATACCGACAACGATGTAGGCTGTACTGATAACAGTCTGGCAGACTACAAGTGCTTTTGTATAGTGCCGGGGATCACGCATCTCCGACGAAATTGAGAAGAACGCCGGGGTGCCCGCGTAGGAAAAAACGAGGGAAGAGATTGCCGAAGCGGCATCCGAAAAACTGGGCTGATTGAATAGTTTGTAGTCCGACTTCCATACACCCTCCTCGGGCGCTGTGCTGGGTCGATCTTGTAATCCTACGGCGATTGTCACGGTGAAGACTGCATAATATGTTAGGAATGATTGTATAGCAGCTTCCGAGAGAAGACTCACCTGCAATGATGATGCAAATCGCACCGATCCAAGCCAGCCAAGAGATACGGCCTAAGGTACGGATACTCGAGAAGACAAATGTGATGATTGCAGCAATAGCAACGAAGATAGCAGTGCAAATCGCGTGCATAGACAAGGCATTCAGGGCAATGGACACGCTCAACATCGCCGAGCCCGAGCAGAATGTGAAGACTGGTAAGAATGTCAGGATTGGGCACAAATCAAAGAAGCATAATAGTAGAGGATTTCTTACAAAGGGTAAAAGCAGCCCCAAAGAATTCACGACCAATGCGACCAAAGAGCAGCTCCCCGACATCATCGATACCATATATCTCACGATGATTGACTTTGAAAACACCGACGATATAATTGGACCACGTTGTGATTCCTCCGATGATGATAAGGATGATGACGCCTGGGATCAAACCGAGAGTATGGAAAACGGAAGGTATCGATAGGACGCCGAGACCAATCTGGGTTTTGATCATCAGGACAGCAGTTCCCAACCATCCAACCTTGGAGAAGAAGTTAGCATGCGAAGAGAAACTCGAAATGAAAAGAGTCACACGTTGCGGTAGTTGGGGCCATCTTCAGTGATATCGCCGAACACAGCGTCATGCTGGATATCCTTAGAGACACCATCACCAACCTCGCCAGCCTCTACGGGCAGCGGGGTGACGCCTAGAGACTGGTCTAAAGGCTTGGATTTTGACATGTTGAACGTAGAAGATGAAGCAAAAGGGTGAATTAGGATTGATAAAAGTCATAGGTTAGGAGGGGAGAGGAACAGCCTCCTTTAATAACCTGGTCTGGCATGATACGGTTGTCCAAATCCTGGAGAAGTAGCTCCACTCTTCCCCGGAAGAACCCACCTAAAAGACACTATCTTAAACCATGCTTACCTTGACTGGTATATCAAAATAAACTTTCCTATATCCATATCGCGGGCGAAAAGAGGCAGTCTGACTTGCTGTGCCAGAACAGTTCAGTCCGTGGAATATCTCCGCTATTTGCCTCAATTTTCTACAATTATTAACAATATGAAAGGTCTCGCCATGGTGACACTCTCAACGAGATGTCTTGAGTATCTGATAACCTATCTAGTTAGGCACTCGCTAATTATCCAGGGTCTCACCTATGAGCTGTCATTATATGATTCTCAATAGAATGACTATCTTAAAAGAACGGTAAGATGCGGAAGTAGTCCGTCAAGGCCTGTTAGATTAGCCGATAGGATGGCGCGGCTGGAGGAAACTCAACCAAAATTCTCCTCTTGAATTCGAGATAAGGTGGCGGAATTAATAGTGATTCAAACGCCGATAAATTCAACGTGTACAGACAAATTAGGCAAGTCAACGATTCAGGAAGGTGACCGCCGTTCGGTACGTAAGCCGTCCCACATTATCGGGATTAGGTGGAATAGTTGATTAAGACCTACTTTAAGATACGGAATGATATTTTTACCATTGAGGTCAAGGCAGAAAGCAGAAAATGGGAAGTTCGATAATACCTTAAATGTAGAAAATAAGGTTAAGGTCGAGCTAGATGTGGAGTACATGGAAAAAGGAACCTTCTAAATGGAGAGGCTTGCCTAATACAGAATCCACTATCTCAACTGGAAGCATATCTTTACGTCTGAATGAGATGACTTTTTTGCCCGAAAAGCCTAGACGTAACAGGCAATCAATGCTTATAAATGCTCCGAAGATGATAGGCCGTAGGAGGGTGACTTTTATCACCAGCATGAAAATTCACCTGATTTACCACGAGCAGGAAAGTGGCCTAGATCACATATTCCAACATAAACCAGGAAGGCATGGAATCGCCTTCTAACTGGATTGTATTGCCGCACCTAAATTGGGGGGGGGGGGGGGGGGGGGGGGATGGTGGCCCAACAACCGTATCTGGTCTAGATCCCGCGCGTATTCCGACATGATAACGTGGATGGATGAGGAAGGTAATCCCAGCGGGTAACTGAATAGCAAAAGCCTGGGCGCTCTCATAAAAGCGGCGGCATCCAACACAGGAAAGCCCTAACTGCCAGGCATGTGCCGTGCCGTCTGAAGCTGCATATAGGTCCTGGAATAGACCACCAGTGAGAAAGTTAACATCAAGATCGCAAGGAAATTCTAAAGTCGTAATATGTTATATCATCTAGTACATATCAGATCATCAACCCCGTCAAAATATTAGTCTCGAAGCTCTCAAGCTTCCCGGTAGACAGATAGACAGGCACCGAGAGTAAGCGCAGAAGCTTCCCTTCCCTTCAAACAACGAAACAAAACTACTCATTCTCCCGAACATCAATAACAGTCCCCTTAAACTTCCTCGCCGGCACCTTGCGATTAAACAAAATATCCGCCTCACGATACGACCGATCCTTCAACTCAGGCAAGAAGAAGTAAGCCATAACCCAACACACAACCGCCGTCCCACCCCAAACATAACCACACTTTCCAGCCAAATTCCAACCCGTCCCATTCAACATCTGCGAAGCGAGATAGATCATCGGAATCTCAGCAACGTAATACGCCGCCCGACCAACACCAGTACTAAGCGCACGCAAACGCACAGAACTCGTCTCGGAAATAATCGTGTAAGAGATTGGGCCGAGTGTGCCGGCGAAAACAAAGGAGATGACTATTCCTAGGATGGCTTGGGCGTAGTTTGTGGCGTTGCTCTGCGGGATGGAGGCGACTATGCCTAGGATGAAGAGGAATGTGACGTTTGTGGCTGTGCCCCAGAGGTAGATTGCTCGACGGCCGAAGTAGGGTGTTAGGAACCAGGAGAGAATGTTTGCGACGAATTGGAGGCATGAATTAATGAGGTTTAGTTGGAAGGATTTGTCTGGGGAGATTCCGGCTTCTGTAGGATTGTTAGATTTTCTTACCGTTTGATATGAGAACTTTTTTTAAGGGATAATAACTCACGTTCGAAGAAGAATGTAGCTTGATTAGCGACCAGGTTGCCCGCGAAGTTTTGCGAAGCATAAATCAAACAGGTAATAATAGTGCGGCGAAGGTCGGTGCCTTTGAAGAGTTCCAGGAGAGATGGGGATCCGCCCAAAGAGGCCTCGATTTGGACGGTACGCTCGATCATGGCGAGGGACTGTTGCGCTGTCTCCGTGTTGCCGTCACCGAGGCGTTCAATGCTTCGAAGAGCCTCTGCTTTACGGCCACGGCGAATGAGCCACCAGGGGGACTCGGGGGCGAAGAAGAGGAGGATCATCAGGGGGGTCTGCAGTAGTAGGAGATGGTTAGTATAACGACCGGGATATCGGAGATGATCATGCCCAAATAGAACGGAATAAACTCATCAAAAACGGGAAATAGACACTTACAGGGAAGATCCATTGCAGAGCAAGTGGTACACGCCAGGCCCATTCATCGTTACGCTTGTTGTAGCTGTAAGTCGCCGCCGCAACGATAATTGAACCAATTGACCACGACATCTGCAGCGTAGCAGTACAAGCACCTCTCAGTGACAGAGGGACAATTTCACTGGCGTAAGCTGGACTGTTGGCAATGAAGAACCCCCAGGGAACACCTTCTAATGCTTGACCAACGACCAGAAGAGTGAGGGAATCAGCCTAAGCAAGATGGTTAGCCACGTAGTCCACTCAGTTGAATCCAACACATCAAGAACAGTCACAAGTTGACCGAATGAGCCAAATTCAATTCCAGATGCAAAAACTTACAAAGAAAGAAATGAAAATCGTAGCATTCATCATGACCAAAGCCAAGATGGTGGTCCAGCGGTAACCGAGTCTGTTGGTGACAGGGCCAGCGGCGAAGACACCAACGAAAGCACCACATTGACCAGCTTGGAACAGAGCACTCTGCCAGCGGGTGGGAATGACATAGCCATCACCCAGGGGGACACCATATCGTTTTTGGAAAGCCGCTAGGGCGACGAAGTTGCCGTTGAGGAACATGTCGAAGGATTCCATGACCTGTGGATAATATTGTTAGTTCTGATATGCAGGAGAATGGAATGAAAGTTGGGAAGAGAAATTAGAGAAATAAAGATAGTTCTCGCATCAAAATGGGAAAGCAAGACATATCTGGGGTAAAACTGGAGATGTAGATCTGGGGATACGGATCAAGTTTGGGAAGCCCCAGGAAGCATCCAAACAGCAACAAGTACAGAATATAACTCACAATAGTAAAACACATGGTAAATGCCCACAGACAAGCCCAAGGATGTTTCTTCGCCGCCTCCCAAGCACCCATCTCATGTTCCTTATTCTCACCCGCAAAGGCATCATTCAAAAGATCTTTATCATCAAGGATCTCTTCCCTTTGCTGGATCTCGACCTTTTCGACCTCACGGTCAGAGGCCGAGCCCAGCGGCGTTGACTTGGTATCGCCTGAAACAGACATAATGGTAATGCTTTCTCTCTTTTTCTGTTCACAGGTAATAGTGAAGGGAAAGAAAAGGGAAAGAGGAGAGAGCGAAAAGAAGAACAGAAAGGGAAAAGACCGGATGGAGAACAAGTGTGGGCTAGAGATTCTTATATATTCTTTTTTTATAATTCATTTACGGAATAGTTCAGTTGCAGGTAGAACTTGGGCAAGATCCACGCATGCGGGCGGATCTGGGGGAAGTAAATTTGGGGAAACGAGTTGAAATCGTGGTACTATCGCGGGGTGTGCGTGTGATACGTGGATTAACCATTAAAGGGAGATTTGATAGAATATATTATATTAAATTACTTAACGGAATTAAAAGAGGTACGACTTTTAGACTGGTTCATAGATCAGCAGTCTCAGTCTGTAGTTTTACGAGTCCCAAGTAGTCGACTTCAAGTCGTACAGACCCAACGGATGGCAAGCAAGGATACGACGCTACACTCGCCTCACCGTTCTAATTAACCACTAAATTACCCGAAGTGAAAAGTAAAACGAAACTTGTACTCCATAATCCGAACAAGTTATGGGGTTGTTCGCAATGAGAAGGGCCAACAGTATCGCAAGAAACTCCAGAAAAGACTCAACCAAAAACCCTGGTTAAACACAGCAAGTCGCCAACACCCAAGGCTGCATACCGAGAACGGGCGGGCTGAGATAAAACTACCCTATTGGACTGATCCAGGGCTAAGCGGGCCAAGCTACTTCCCGACTAACGCTTCTAAGGCTTAGCTGTGTCCGCATTGGGGTTAGTCTCGGAACGCCACCCTGCAACAGGGATGCCCTCGGCCACGGCCGCGGCCTCATCGTTGAATAATTAGAATCCGGCCTGCGTGGACCGGACCGGACAGGGATGGTGGCGTTCGGGTTGGCCGCTAAAAGCAAAGGGCCAAGGGCGCAATGAGTCCGAGAGTCGGACTCGGGAGGGAGATGGATGCCGGAAAGCGAGAGAATTCAGGGACCGAGAGAATGAGCGAGGGCGATTAAGTTCAAACTCCACAACATTATTAATGTATGTGAACCGTTGTTAAAGAGTTCGTAAAAGGGGTCTTACCTGGGAAGAGACACCAGTTTGGAAATATGGGCCACCTCCTCCACTGGAGAGTCGTGGAGACTGGAGACTCCATGTTTGGGGGGTAAAATGATGGGGAGACGTGGAGCCCCAGGAAAGTTGAGAAAAAAAATGGATAACGGGAAACGTGGGAAACCAGCGAGACTGCTTCTAATGTTTCACTATGTAAGCGTTTATTAGTTAGTGGATGTTCTCCATCCGAAGGAGGAATTGTCTTGACATACGGAGTACTCAGAGCTCATTCACGACATGAATACCAAACCCGAATCCTCGACGCCGAATCAACACAAAGAACCCGAACCGAGAAAACGCCATGGTTATACGGCATCCTCCTCTCCCCTCAACCGGAGGACTCCGTAGAATCCCTATTGTAATGGTCAATCCAATCCCGAACTCCCCCGCTAAAACTCACACTTGAGCCGATTTAGCTCAAACAAGGTCGGCCATCCGAACTCGAACCACCAACCAACCACCTTCTCGGTGTGGACCCGAGTCACCCGAACGGTCAAAGCGAACCCCGACCGAGACAAAAAGGTCTTTTCTTGATCGGGATTGTGACGCCGTGGTTGGTGGGAAATATATAGGTACGTACCTAATGCGCGGGGACACACGGCAGGAGTATGGAGTATGGCATCACCCCATGGGCCGGTATGATCGGCTAGGTGACTGTTTGTGTGTTAGTGTCTTATTTTTGGGAAGGAGAGAAGTTGTTTAAGCATGCATGGCAATTGAAAACACCGTTCTGAGATGAGAATTACTTGATCCTGACTGATGGCTTACTACGGATTGATAGTTTTATGCTAGAAATATGAGCTTTTTTAGACACATGGATTAAATATTACCTAGTATCTAATGTTGTCAACTGCTATATGGGGACTGTAGTGGGTTGTGGCCCGATTATTATATTTGTGTGGGGGTGTGAATGTCCGTTCTACTACATATGTACCTCAATGCATCCGTAGACATGGGAACAGCAATGGCAAGTAGGCAGGATAAGTATATGGTGTATACTCAAACTAAAACTTTCGTCTTCTTCCTCGAACAGCAATGAAAATATTGCCTAAAGGTTCTAACCATAGTAGTAGGTTCGTAATGAGCTAGTTTGTTACAACTACTGGAATCGAGTAGGTGGCGGCCAGATCCCATCTCTTTCCAGATCCGGGCATATATATCTTGCATTGGCGGCCGCATGCAATCTGCTCAGCTCTGAGGTATACCGATAGGGTTTCCGTCTCGCCTCGCCTTGGAGATCGCGCTGGACCAACCGCGCAAACAATACCGGGGCGATATGTTTGATGTCGACTTTTAGGGGATGCAAAGCCTCGGGCTGAACTCCAGTCCCAGTCCCAGTCCCAGTCCCAGACCTAGGCACTGTCTCTGTCTCTGTCTTTGACTCTGGATGAGGTTCAGGTTCAGGCTCAGCTAACCAGAGATACGGCCTTGTCGTTTCACGCGAGCGGAACGCCTCCTCATCCACATAGAGAAAGGCATCGCGTCGAAAGCCAACAGGAATCTCATTATTTGAGAGCATTTTGTCAAAGCTGCCCCGTAGTGCACTCAGGTCCAAGTTGTTATTGTTATTAATAATACCTGGAACAGCCACCCAGTGCAGGGTGAATCGGTCCCTCGTCTCGTCCTTGATCAGCCTCGATGAATAGTGTAGTCCATGGTAAAGAGCCGTTCCGATCTGAGATTTGTACTCCAGAAGACGACCTTCTTCCTCTTCTTCTTTCTGGAAAAATATCACGAGACCAAAGCGACCTCCCGCTGAATTCAGCCTGGAGTGCAGTACGTGCTCCTGCCATGGAACTTTCATCGCAAACCGAATATTCCTAATATCATCATCGTTCAGTGTTTCGGCCGCCGCTAGCTCCACCGCTAGCCATCGCTGACCAACCCTCTGCGCGACCTCCCTCGCAGCCCGGATATCGTCTGTCCTCGCCGCCTCCATAGCTTGAGCCTTAAGGTCCCGATCTTCGGGACTAAGGCGCGCTACCTCAGATAGGATTTGGCCTGATTGTCCCTTGACTACGCCGGCCGGTAGGAGGCTGGCTTCTTTATAACTCAGGCCAAGGCTGCTAAGGGAGAAGCCATCATCATCATTGCTGCTGTTGTTGATGGCTTTAGTAATTAGCTCATCCATCGACAGACCGCAGGCATTTCGACAGAGGGTGTTTTCCTCGTCTGGTGCGGGGCGGTGGGTGATGAGTCGACGTTCTTGATCCGTCAGTGAGGAGGGATCGGATATGGCGCGGTTGTAGAGGGTGCGGGTTGACTCGTCCAGGGTTAGAGGGGTGGTGTCTGCGTTTATGCTGAAAGGGTTGGTCCCTCCAGCGTCGATAGGGAAAAAACATTGCCCACGTGGGATGTAAGTTTTACTCATGAGTTTCGAGTTTCGTTGATCTCATCAAGGAGAATTAGCTCTTACCTGAGACAAAGAAGAGAAGGCTGAATGCCTCGAGAGAATATCCTTGTAGGGTATCACGTGATTAATATATTATTCATGACTGGAACAATTGAGGATTCTGGATGAGACTAGAGCAGAGTATTGCATACTTCTCAATTATAGAAAACGAAGATAAGATCATAGGGTGTGGAGAACAGGGTTTCCCGTCCGCCATCCGCGCGCACATCCTCACATCCATCGAGGAGGAGTTGCACAAGCCCCTGTCGTGGATGCGCATCTCCGCCGTGGACCACCAGCGCATCCTCAAGGACCCCTCCCTGCTTCCAGCGGTGGACCCGGCGCCAGTCGACGCGGTCAAGGCGGGGCTGGAGCTGATCGTCCACGACGACGCCGCGCGCTACGACAGGCTCTCCGTGGAAGATGTGCGCGAGGCCTTCCACGCCCTATGTACGGACGGTGACCCTGCCGCGCCGTCAGTCGCGGAGCTCTTTCGCGAACCCCCATATTCTGTCTGTACGGATACACGCCGGACTGCCGGTGTCGGCGGTCGTGTGCTTGATGGTGGACGGGGAGGTGCTGCGCACGGTGAGCCAGGACCTGCGCAATGAGTACGGCGAGGGCCCATTTGTCAAGGCTGTTGAGCGGTTGCCCTGTCTGGGACCCGACTACGAGGGCTGGTTCAAGGTCGCGCTGACCTATCTATGGCAGCTGGTCATGCGGGCGGCCAACAGCGGTGGTATGGATCAGTTCTTGCCGCCGAAACGGCGCGCCACCGGTGAGCGGCCTATCTATAATGGCTCATGGCCAATGGATGTGGATATGGAGTCCTTCGGCATTGACCCTGATGAGTTAGCTGAGATTGAGGCGGACTATGCAAGGAGGGAGTAGACTGATCTAGTGAATAACCGTCCCTGATGTACTTATTGTGCCAGAAGTGATATAATACTCGTGATGCCATACATCTAAGGGGGCCGTGATGTATGAAAACCAGCCCAGAATGGCCTTATGTCAGGTCTGCATAAGGGGACTTTGCAGACCTTACAAGGTCGGACTGCACTACAAGCAGCTGCTGGAGGTGCCATCTGGATATTGTTGAGAGGCTCCTCGCTGCAAGAGCGGATGTGAATGCTGCTGCTGCTGCTAAATATGGAGGTCGGAATGCACTACAGGCAGCTGCTGAAGGTAGCCATCTGGATGTTGTTGAGAGACTAGAACAAGCGGGCACATCTAATAACGGACTTATATAATCCAGTTCGAGTGTGTTTTAATTGTTTGGATAGTGTCCGACAGGATGTATTAGAGGTTCGTGCTCCTCATCTAGCACGGATCTGGCTGCGGTCTGTTCTTATGTAAGAGCGCAAACCCACCCGATGGTATAGGCATCGTGTCGGAGTCGCTTCGGCATGGGGATGTTTCGGGACCAGCATTGCTTTGCGCTGGTGCTGAATGCTTTGGCTGGGGTAGGGGATTTTCAGCCATACTGTATGAGAAGTACTCGACCAGGCAGAATGTTTAGACGCGCCAGATAGTACTCAATGTGTCAACTAAGCACTCTTTCTTCTCGCAGAACCAAAGGTCTTGGACGATCTAACCCAGAAGAGAGAGGTCAAAGTGAATACTTGATGAATGGATGGATGCTAAGGAGTAGCTGTTTTCAAAAATTCCGATATGGTGGATTATGACAAGAATCTCAGTTGGACGTGGCTAACATATGTAACAAGATTTGGATTTTGCGGTGTGACCGAAGAGTTTTGTGGCACTAAGAAGGTTAAACGCCCGTCCTGCGCGGGTACGAATCCGCAGCCCCGGCGAGTCGTTGGGTACTATGAAGGCCGGTCTCCCAGCTGAGTGTGTAATGGTTTCTGGCCCGAACAGATTCCCGTCGGCCGCTATTCTGTAAGTTTGGTTTCAGATCCCAAGGCATGACCTAGCCAGCGATGAGCCAGTCCTCTCGTGCCCTGTCGATTATTGCAATGACCTCGGACACGGCTGCACCGAAGAAGGGGCAGATCCCGCAACATCGTGTGAAGGCCTCACAGAGCGTGCTAACAGCGGGAATCAGCGATGGCCCTGCCTGCAAAGAGCAGACGGGGCCGGTTACAACCTCCACAGCTCCCAGTATCCATCGGCGGGTGACTGGGATCCGGACGATGAGACTCGCACGCCCGGAGTGAAACTATACAATAGGCCCCGACTGTACTAGCGCAGACGTCCGTCGAGTCTTCGTGCCAGCGGACGGGCTGATTGTCAATGGGCGAGCGATGTCATTACACAGTGAGTAGAGCCCGACCCAGACGGAACACGATGACCACTGTACTGATTGGGCCCAACCTTTCAGCTGAGCATCCAGTGGAGATCAACACTTAGTTAACGTAATCCACGGCCGAGCTGCGCACACGGTCGAGTTGCGCACCCCAATACATATAGTAATGGCGATAAATTACTCATTCATTTCTCAATAACAATATCTTTTTGTGATAATATATGAGACGTATATGATAAAGATAGAATCTGTAATTCTATTAGGAAGGTACTGCATATTTTGTTGAAGTATTAATAGAGGTATATATACTTAAGTTCTTTTTGTCGAAATTACGCCGTATTTTATTGTAAAGCAACGAATTAATCATCCAAATTGCTTAAAACTGAGATGTTTTATTCCACATGCTAAGGGATGCCTGTATAATAATACTCATATAAAAAAAAACTATGGTTGTTGAGATAATGCATGAGTAATTTATCGCCTTTACTATGTGTTTTGGGGTGCGCAACTCGACCGTGTGCGCAGCTCGGCCGTGGATTACGTTAAGTTAACGTAGACCGCATGTATTAGTCATTATTATGCCCGCACAAATTGCCAGCGCATTATAGCAATTCAGACTTGTTGATCTCCAATTGGTGCGCGGTATGATTTACTAAGCAGTATTCCGACTGAGTTAACGAGCGGAAGTAAAAGATCGTGAGACAACGGGGAATAAAAGACTGGCTTGTCCGTGCTCTCGCAACCTACCGTGGTGGAAGAGCCGGAACGAAGGCGAGTGCGGAGTACATAGTAAGGAATCATTGGACCGGGGGGCAAAGATATGTGCGACTAAGCAACGCTAAGCCTCGAAAATTGACAGATGTGGGTCTCCGGCACCGAGAATATCAGGCTACATCGGGCTTAGGGTCTGGGCCGTCTGTTCGTATACTAATAATATCCACACTCAGGTACAAGGTACAACACAAGCGCTTTACTAGCCTCATACAAGTTCAGCGATGGCGCCGAAATGCTCCTCGGATATCAATTAATTTCTGACAGGGTGAGTCCACAAGCGAAGCAACATTCAGCGACGCATGCGCACGATGTAACCTCTCTAGGCTGGAGTGTTTTTGAGAGCTCAGGAGCAACATTACAGTTTGTGCCAACGCTCTACCTTATAGCCTCTTCGTTTTCTGCAAGACTTAACAAGAGATTTGACGTGCTGTACAAGTCCATCTTGATGAGTTCGTTATCATGAGGCTCTCTATTACATATCTTGCTTTGTCTTTATTGGCCACGGAAGTGCTCGCTTCATTGAGCGCAGGCCCATTTGAGGTAGGAGTTTTTCCTCGCGTCATTTTAAATCAGCCTTGAGTCAAGTTCATGGTCATATCGGCAGCTGATCTTTCATAATCAGTCCGTCTTTTTCTACTATGCCTATCGCATAGACACTCTGGCCGGTTCGGCTTCACTTGGCATCGCTGAGGGATGCCCTGTTAGTGGTCCAAAAGGCGTTTGCTACTTTGATGAGTTTGTGAAGTGGATCCAGCAGAGAAGATACCCTTGGACGGGTCAAACTTCTGTCGGGCAGAACTTGGATCCTGATGTCGACACTGCGGCTCAAGATTTGAGAACGTCAGGCACAGAGGGGACTTCCTCACGTTGCTCCAATAAATACGATTTCAGCAAGGTCTTTCCAGAGATCTACCCAGAAGGTACAAGTCCATCTTATCAGGAAGTCATGAGGACCCTGGTCAGATCAATTCAAGCCCAACGCTCAGCATTTGGCGATGACAAGCTTACTTCTCAGCTTGAGAAAGCTCGTCGGGCATTTGGCCTCACTTATGAAGCAAGAATTGGGGATATGACCAATGGTCTTATTAGGGATGTGAACAACATGCTCGGAAAAAATGGTATCACTTGGGTAAATCTTTTATAATGAACCAAATTTGATCATCATGCACTAACCACACCGGGACAGACTTGCGTCACATTTGAGCAAGAGCTCCTCAACGGGTACACCATCCAAATGATTGACACGAAGGCCACAATTGATGCCCACCCTGAACTAAAAGGCTCAGATTTCGAGACTGCGATTTTGGACACGATTGAGGATTATGACCATGCAAGAAGCGCTGGCAGAACCCATTACAATATCGTTGCGGCGGCACTCCAAGCCTATCAAAACCTACTTCGAGGTCCCTGTACTAGTGCTTAACCCAAGCTACTTCAGATAAACTTTGGAAATTACCTAGCCGTGGGAGGGTCTAGGTAGTTTTGAATTTCCTTCTTTGCGTGACTAGCAGCCCCGGGTAGAGCTTTGAGTTGGAAAGGTCACCGGGATATCTGAAAAGTCTTTCACTGTACGAGACTCTATTTTTTGATTACTGTGAACTTGATGGACTGAGAATAGTTATAATTCCTTGACAGTTTGGCAAACATATGATCCAAAAAGCTCCGAGACTTGAGAGGGCGGCAATATGTATACCTTTATTAGAGGTGCTCATGTAGATTAGGTCTGAGTTGAAACACTCGAACACTAGTTTTACCGCGGGTGCAAAGATTCCATAAAAGCTCTGAAACTTTGCCGACCCCCGGGTCCCCTGTTCATTCCGTTGCCGTTACGTTCATTGGCGACATCTTCAGCTCTTCGCAGATCTCCGATAGAATGGTTGCACCAGTACGGGCAGAATCTGAACATAATAGCCGGACGGAGAAGCAACGTCCGAGCAGCTTGGGCATTAAATGTATATGTGAGGCGGTCGTTGAGGAGTTTCTTGACTGACTCTGGAGTCTCTCTGTGGAAGTCTTGCCTCCTAGTAATATATCCGTTAGGTTCAGATTCGCATTTCTCTGCAAAGTCGAAAAAGGCATTTAGTCTCGTCTCGTCGGATATATCGACAAGCTGAATGCAGGCATCACCGAGAAGTCCAAACAATCCTGTCTTCACCGCATTCTCGAAGGTAGTATGCACAACAATAATACGCATCACAATAACTCCGTTTTGTAGTTTCCTGAGAGCCCCAATCCTTTCTCCTATATCGACATCGCCATCGAAGTAATTATCAAGATAATCAAACATAAAAGAGCCCCCGCGAGCCTTAGCTGCAGTCCAAGCTAAATAGTCGAGAGCGCTTCCGTCACCGTAGTATCCCGCACTGTAGGCGGGTGTCCAATTCAAGTGTATTATATCACGAGAGGGGTCGATCCATGTTTTGTTAACGCAGATATTAGATATCCACGGCACCTCTTCTAGTGTCGAATCCTTCTTGCGAAAATGCCCAACTTCAAAGGCGACAAGGCGCGACTCATGGCATACTCGGCTAATCGTTGGTGCGCGTCGGTTAAGATTAGTCGTTTGCTGTAGCTTGCATGACGGCGGATCAGGACCGAAGACACCGCCTTCGTCCCAGGGATAGTCTATTTCAACAACGCGGTTGGGGAGGCATATCCGCCAGATGGCAAGTCTCAACTCCGTGGGCAGCTGGGAGAAGAAATGAAATTCTTGGCTGTTGTTGTTGCTGGTTTCCATTGAGTTCGAGATGGGCGTGGGAATATTTTGGAGGGTTGGGAAAACGTACCTAGGGTGCGGCACCCTTTAATATTTAGCGTGGAAGTGTTGCCACATTACCGCCAGAGTCGCCAAATGGATGTAACACGCTAGTGGGCGGGTCCCCCATGTGCAGAGAAAAGGATTGTCTATGTGGAGAATTTCATCCTTTTTTCCTAGATAAGTACATACAAAAGTGGATTCGCCACGACCCAGGAAATTGTACGGAGTAGTGGTAAGTTACTGCTTCATTTTCCACGACAATAATCAATGACTGAAACCATTGTGGATCCCTGGTCTTTAGGCTCGACAATAATACTCAACCTCGTCCTTATTCCTTCCCCTTCGCCAGACAAATATCCACAATTTTCATGAATTCATCAATCACATCGATAATGGATCCCTTTGCAGAATTCCCAACCGAGATTCTCTGTCAAATTCTCGAATCTTGCTGCGACTTTACCAGCTTGAACGGTCTTCAACAAATCTCTCCTCGAATGAAGGAAGCTTTCGGCGGCTCGTTCAAGAACATCACCGAACAGGTCCTGAGGAACTGCTCTCTCACTTCACACGGGCTTCATCACTATTTCGCGCTCGTAACCTCCGTCCGATCCACATCATTCACCCCACAGGCGCTGCTAGAAGAGCTCGTCAACTCACGAGGGGATGTTGTGCGACCCATCTCCCTTTCCACCACCCATTCACTAGCTGCCGTGCAGCAGACTGTAACTTCAGCAGCGAACATACACCTCACTGCCTGTGCTGGTCTTCAGCATTTCATCAATCGCCTCGAGTCCGCAGAGCCCCGCCGTCCCATACCCTCCGACGCCAATGTTGGGGAATGGGTGATGAATAGAAGTCTTCGACCACCTAAAGGTGGCGAGGTCATCCATTTCGATGTTGATCTACCATCTTGGATCGAGACCTACCGAACGCATCGGGGCCTCTGGAAACTTGAGCTCTTCCACCAGATCCATCATACTGCAAAAAACCACTGGTTATGGTCCACCCATGATCTGAGCTGCTTCATCGAAGAATATCTGGAATGGTGTCCGTATCCGGGGGGAATAGAGGAGCTTCAGACGATTTCGGAATGCGTGATCGATCTATGGTCCTCCAAACCAGAAATTCTCAGCCATCGGGCTCCATATCTAGTTGCAATTCCGTCACTAATTGACCTGACGGTACAGACATGTTGGCCTCTTCCAGATGTCCAAGATACACAAGTTGATTCGAAATGGGGTCGGACTCCAAGTTCTGTACAGTCTAAAAGCTCTGTGCTTGGCTCATTCAATGCCCTTCGGGGGGGTGAAAAAGGCCGTGGTTATCACGCTCTCTGGAAAGTCGATTTTAAAGCATTTCGACGACTTGGTATTCCTCTTTGGGACATGTGGCGATGTTATCAAATGAGACTGATGCCCCAGTCCCGTAGCGTGCTTTCGCCACGGGGTAATATGGTTGGCGGAGAGTCAGAACGAACAGACTGGCCTCCTTGGATCGAGGCCTACGTGTGGTTTAGTCTAGCAGAAGAGGGTGATCTGATTGTATAGTTTAGAACGTCCTCAGGTCTGATTAATGTATTAATTAAATGTATTGGATTGACCGACACCACATGGACATTGTACCTATGAATCGAGTCTGTGACGGAATGCATAATGGTTTAAGCACTGAGACTCACCTTAATGATCAAAATCATCCACGGGTTGATCAATGCGGAGACAGCTTCCTAGAGAGATCCATCCCTACATATACACACACTGCCCGACAAACGCACCTACGCAACCTCAGCAAGAGAGAGAAAGGGAGAAAGAAAGAGAAAGAGAAACTCAGGAAATATTCTTTCTGAGACCGAATCTCGAGATTTTCAGCAATCGGCCCCTCTGGACTACCTACATACCTAAGTATAAGGTTGCTGTTTCGGGGGTCGTCGTCAAGCCGAGGCTCAATCTCCTCTGCTTTTCAAACTCCTCAGAATCTTCGCCAACTGGATCACAAGCGCCGTAGCCTACATGGAAACCTTCAAAAAAGAAAGCTATCTAGCAATCCAGTATCTCATATTCAACATCTTGAAAACGTCGCGCAGATGGCAATGAATACAAAACTCCTTCTTCAACAGGAAATCAAGGGTCTACGGGCTGAAAATGAGCGGAAAATGAGAAAAAGGGCAAGGAGGCGGGGTATACTTGGTGATGATATTGTTTTGTTTGTACAGGAAGGTCAAAATCGAGTTCAGCAACTCAACACGGAGCCAAATAAGCGGGTTGATGAACCCACACCCAGGCCCCGCCAGCGAGCTCCAGCACGCTGTAGAGGCTGCGCGACTGTTGGACATACTATAAGAAGTTGTCCCAATAAATATATATTTATTTATCCTCTAGATAGTTTGTGATGGCGATCTATCGCCACTACGCAAGGAAGCAGGAGAGGAACAATCTAGTTCTAGGATGTGAGTTTTACTTTTAAGTTTCGAGCTTCGTTGATCTCACCATAGAGAATTAGAGCTTAAATAAGACTAGAAGAGGGGGGCGTCGATAGAATATCATCGTGCCTATGGTATCACGTGATGGATTAATTATCCACAAACAGGGGAGGCTTCTGGATGAGACTAGAGTATTGCATACTCCTCAAATATAGAAAATAAAGATAGGACTATATAGCCTTGCAAATACGCAGGGGAACCTGATTTCGAATATGGCAGTACCACTCATCAAGAGGCATAGACTAATCTAAAGGGCTTCTAATCAAGAACCCGAATTCACATACGCGACCACTCGTCCCCGATCCTGGCGAACAATCGGATCCTCACCCCACTTAGCACGCTTTGCTGCTTCCCTCTGCTTCTGTCCTTCTCGCTCTTCTAATACACAGTCCAATACCTGTTTTGGTGTTTGGCCAGCTATATTTGTCTGATCCATAGATGCTCCAGCGTTCAGCAAGGCAAGGATCAACTCATCTCGCGTCCGTCGAAGAAGATTCGGTGCTAGAGGCTCAACCTCTCTATTTGCATACACCTTTCTAAGCATTTTCCCCTTCATCACCTCGTGCAAAGGTGTATTTCCCTTCCGGTCAACGGCACTGACATCCGCGCCCCGACTGAGAAGATGCAGAATAGCATCACTTTGATCTAGATTCTTCACCAAGTAATGCAGAGCCGTGCAGCCGTCGGCATCAGCCTGGTTGACATCAACGGTTTCGAGAAGGAAGTCCAGCAAGGCAGGGGGAATATCTTGTGCCCAGGAATAATTGCTTAATACATGGAGGAAACTGCGTCCCTTGTCGGCGCATAAGCGTGCATCGGCCCCATTCGTGATGAGTGTCTTGACCAAGTCTGCTAGTTGGTTTAGGTTACCACCAAATAAGGTAAAAGGCCTGGCTGCCTCTCCGAGAGCCGTTGAACCTCGGCCATTGCGGGTGTTCAGTATTTCAGGAGAGGGCTTGGCGGACAGAAGCGGTTCAATGGCTTGAGAAACGGCCACGAATCCTAAACTAGTATCCACCGCGTAATGAAAGGTCGTAGCACCCTGTCGGTCTCTAGCGTTGATAGTGTCGGGCCTTATGTTGAGAAGAGTTTCAACGGTCTCTGCCATTCGTGAGACAATCTCTGAGTTGTCCTTTTCTTCGCGCCTGTCCGCGGTACCGTGCAACGCCCAGTGAAGCGGGAGCCGTCCTTCATCGTCGGCAACAGACACCATCTCCGAAATCTCAGCATTGCTACGAAGATTAATAAGCGCTTGCATAGCTTCCAGATTCCAGTAGGAAGCTGCGATATGTAGCGGGGTCACTCCTCCGCCGGAAGTCATCCCGGTGTGAACACCATACCACACCTGCCGAGCATGGACGTCAGCTCCAATGGCAATGAGATGCAAAACCATCGCCTGGGTCGCATAGGGAATGGCTGCACCGAGAACAGTACCCGTTAGCGTCAGCGCTTTCTCTGGGTCCTTGTCGTGTTTGTAATCTTGCTCGAAGGCATCGGACTCGGATACTGAGCAGCCACTCCTCAAGAGCCAGTAAATAAAATCCTCGATACGGTCTCGATGCTCACGTGCCTTCTGCCTAGCAACAGGAAGACTCTCCCCAGCTTTAGCATCCACCATAAGTCCTCCCACTTCCCCCAGCGCCTCGGCCGCGCATAACAAAGGTGTCCTATCCCTGAAACTTCGATCACGTAAAGTCCCTAGCGGTGGGTTGTGGTTTATTAACAACAAAACTAGATCTTGGTCCGCAGCAGAGCAAGCCTCATGGACGAGAGAGACATAAAAGCGCTTGAGATATTTCTCCAGAGGCTCGGTGAGCGATGTATCTGAAAGATAAATCTGGATCAGTGTACTTAGTACATCATAGCTGTGGCACCCTAAAGTGGTACTGAAAGGATTGTAATAAGCGGCGTCGTAAGCCTGCAAGAAGATAGAAGAGTGTGGGCAATCATTGTACAGACGAAGAGCCGACGTGTCGTTGCGGTTGATGATTGAACAAAGCAGCCCCTGATAGGGACTTTCATACACAGGAGACCCGTCTGTGTCGTGGAAGACAGGTTGTCCCCCTTTGAGCTCAGGGTGATGCCGATGAAACTCGGGATAAGCCATCGCGCAAATGAGAGGGACAGGAGGGGTTAAAAACTTGCAAGGGTGAAGCGGGATACTGTGGCAGCGGGACGAACAAGAAAATGTGGAAGGGGACCCGTCATTAAGACGGCTGTTATGTATGATGACGGAGGCCGTTGTACAGGTATTATTGTCAGAATTTCTCTAGCGTCAAGTTCGAGCTGAATAAGATAGGACCATCCAGAGGCCCTTCACACCCATAATATTACTGTGCATGCTGAGTTCCTTTTAGAAGTAAGTAATGGAGCAAGGAACGCTAAATACCATAGGAGAATCCTTTTCAGTCCATTTTGGTCTCCTGTGCGACGCACTTCCTGTAGTATCTGAGTTTCCAACGCTAAACTATGTTTGGTACTTAAAAGATCCATTCATACTGCCCCTTATAAGTCTGTCTCGAATATACGCGCTATAGGTTGGTTTAATGATATATACAACATTAGTGGATGTTGATTTATGGGAAGGGCTAGAGCTATGTCAGTTTGCTCGGGGGCACGCAGTGCGTATGACCCCGCAGATTATTGTGTGCACGGTTCGCGGATCTTACCGTCGACTCAGCGACCCCCACTGAGAACAATTTAAGTTTCCGATATTGACCATGTTATGCAGAAACCAACTTCAATAGATACTTGTTTCTTTGAACACGCTGAAGCCTCGGTAATTACATATCCGTCATAGCTCACAGGCACGAGCGGCAGGTCAGACAAGCAAATCTTGTAATATCTTGCACTGCTGTGGCCAACACCCAAGATCTAATTTTCTAGGCATGGTTGACTAGATTTTGAAGGCGATTCTGATGTGGGGAATCCAAATCCACGTATCTAGACCCAGAACATCTAAGCAGCCAGACGGACTCGCTCAGTTAAAAATCCATGTGGTAAATGCACTTGGCCCTTCTTTGACTAGAAAATTTCCTAAGCGGATTTCAACTTTTGCTAGTCTAGCAGTGTTCACTGTGAAGAAAATCCCCATGTTGTTCCACATTTCCGCATTGATGGACGTAAAATTCTCGCGCCAAGATGCTGCTAGATGGATCTGTGTTTATGGATTCAGAAACGAAAACATGGATAATAGTAGAGGCTGCACGAGAATAGACGACTGCATTAATGGGCGCAGTCAATCTGGTTACGTATGACACTCGCAGACACTCGCAACATTAGCAGACGGCGATTTTTTAGCAGGGCATGCGCCAACTCGTTGCCAAGCATCTATGCCTAAATCCCGGGTTGACAGGCTCTTCAGGTTGCACAAAGAGTCGGATACAGAATGGTTTACGATCAGACCCTGCCCGCTACCGCCCGAGGGCTCCTGTCGCCAGGCGTTCCCCGTCGACGATGACGTGCCGCTCGCGCATCCCGGCCACGTATCTCCACTCGCCGTTCACACAGTTAATGAAGCCAGGCACTTTCGAGCGCCTTCAGCGAAATTTGAAACCCTCCCCCCTCCTTCTCCGGCTCCAGCAGTTATTGAGCTAGCTCGCTTTTTCTTTCGCGCTTCATAACTTGCCAAAGATTGTGTTTGGGCCGCTTGCCTGTTGGCCGACGATTTGGATTACGCGATGACATGGTGCCGAGAGCGTCCTCAAAAAAAGAAGGCATTACCAAGTTCCAGAGAATACACTGTCCCAATTTCACGCAAAAGGCACAAGAGTTGAGATAAGATCCAATAAAAAGTCAAGTGTCGAACCTAGGGAAATGATATGGCCTTCTTAATGCGGTCGAATACTTTTATATAACTACACTTGACTTGGACCCGCGCTTGAGGAATACGTGAAAGAGGTTTTTGGTTTTCAAAATCTCTTGTGTGACCGCATAGCAACAAGAATGAAAGTATCAGCATGTGGTATCAATACCTTGAGTGGCGCGTGATTCTGCTCATGGACCCTACTTGGGACAGCTCAAGCATTGAAAACCTGCTTAACCACCTCGGATAAAACTTCACAACCATCACATCTGTTATCAAAATCAAACCAAAGTCTTCGGTCGGTCTACACGGTCTACCATACACCTGAAGTGTAAGAAGTTGGAGGGTTGCAATCAGACGTGAAATCTAATCCGTTATCCGGAGATATAATCCAGGATCAATAAGATGTTTCCGCGTGGTACGGACGCAGCTAGATGTCAGGAATATAGTCTAGCAGGCTGCAAGTAAAACTTTATCTCGAAGGCCTGGTGCCACCTACCGCTAGTCAAGGTAATGATGTACGTAGAACAATCAAGGTATGACTTCGAGTCGTCGTAACATCTTGCTCGAACAACATGCAAGAATCTTGTTTGGGTAAAGAATGATGAATTCACTTCTAAGGACAGGCGAGAATCCAGGGTCTTGTCATGGTAAAGGTTGATAATTACACTTCTACCTAAGGACAGGGCAAATGAGGAACATCGGCCGCTGATGGTCGTAAGTTGTTGGCGAGGTATAAAAAGAGAACATCTCTTAGAGAATAAGTATGGCTTAACCTATTCTAAACAGTTGTTCTTGTCAGTCCTGCTGATACAATATCCACGCTTCTTCTCGCTTCGCTGCCTTGTATTTTGTCGAATCTGGATATTATGGAGAGTCTACTCGTCAAGCAAGCCAACTCGTCACCCAATGCCATAGCTGTGATTGATAATGGCAGTGCCACTAGCTACCGAGAAATCATTGCAAGGGCAGACGTCCTGACTCACTTTCTCGAGGAAAAATCTCTCGAGCCGGAGCAGCCTGTTGGTATCTTGGTCGAACCAGGACTCAGCCAGGTGATCGCGCAAATTGCTGTTATACGCGCAGGAGGTACCTGTGTCCTCATTGATACTTCTGCACCTGACGAACGACTAAAAGGGATGCTCGAAGATCTGGCCATAAGGCATTTCATCGCGAATGACGCCTCATTTAAGCGTATCTCAGGGGAACATATTATCTATATCACTGAAGCGCTTGTTGCGGAGATAGAAAAAACCGAAGGACACGATATCGATCTTCGTGCAGGTCTATCGGAAAACTACAGAAGCCATATAGTGTTCACGTCGGGATCGACAGGTCGACCGAAGCCCATCCAGATATCAAGTAACAGTATCTTGCATGCAATGGAACACATCCCATGCGGCAAGCTGCACCCTTCAGACCGCGTGTCCTGTCTTCTCAATCCCGGATTTGATTTGGCTCTTCTCGAAATTTGGAAACCTTTGCTTGAAGGGGCAACTCTGGTCAAAGTGCCGGATCTTACGCGCACTGACCCTTTTGCGCTGGAAGCATTTGTGAGGGAACAAGGTATCACTTTCATGATTGTTCCCACTGCCTTGTTTGAGGTAGTCGCACTAAACTGCCCCGAAGCCTTCCGTGGAACACGTCATATCATGGTCGGAGGTGATGTGGTGAGCCCTAATGCGATGCAGAGGGTTTTGGATCATGCAGGTCCAGAACATCTGTGGAATGGATATGGTCCTGCCGAGGCAACTATTCTGGTTACTCTCCAGCGAATAGATCACCAAGAGGTACAACTGCCGCGAATTAGCATTGGCCGCACCTTTGGTGAAACCACTATCTATCTCCTCGACCAGAACTTGGATCTTATCTCGGCCCCAGAAACGACCGGAGAGATCTGCATTTCCGGGCCCCAGATCTCCCCAGGTTACCTGAATCGATCTGACGAGAATGAAAAAAGCTTCATTGTGCTTGATGCGGAAAGGTTGGGTGCTGCATGTACGAACCCCATACGCCTATACCGCACTGGTGATCTTGCTCAGTGGCGTGACCATGCGGGTGGTATTCTGGATTATATCGGCCGCGTTGACAACCAAGTGAAGATTTCGGGATATCGAGTTGAGCTCGGGGACGTGGCGTGCGCACTCGAAACCCACCCAGACGTCTACTCATGTGAAATCATGTATCATCAGCAAGATGGGAATCAAGTCCTCGAAGCGTATATTATCCCAGTCGACTGGGAAAATCAGATCGATTCTACCACCTTAATCAATTGGGCCAAGCAAAAACTTCCTCCATATATGCTTCCAACTACCGTGTACAAGAAGCGAAAATTTCCGCGTTCTCAAAATGGGAAAATCGACCGTGAAGCCCTTCGACCTGATGATGATGACAGTCAGCAGATGAATGAAAAGGAAGTCACTGATCAGGACGGTCATTACAATGACGAGCCAAACCACAGACATGAGAGTAAGCAGGATGATTTAATTGAGTGGCTCAGCACTGTCATAGAGGGGCTGCTTTCCAGCTCGAAGTTCAACCTTTCAGAGAGCTTCTTCGATCAGGGATTGAGCTCCCTGCAGGCTGCAAGGCTCATCGGGCGAATCCGAGCAGAACTTGGAAAGAAGGTCACATTACTGGAAGTTCACAAGAACAACACCGTCAAAAAGCTGGCAGCCTTCTTGAACGGGTCTATCGACAACAGCATCTCCGAAATCTCTCACCTGGAGAAATGGGCAGCGGATGCTAAGGATCTTGACAATCCACCATTGTCACATTGGCTGGATCCACCCGAGGGCCGTGTCTTTTTGACCGGTGCTACGGGTTTCCTTGGTGCCCACATCCTGCAGCGCCTCTTGATGATGCCAACGGTCAAGCAGGTCGCCTGTTTGTCACGTAGTCAGGGTGGGCTAAGTGCCAGTGCCCGTATTCAGCAGACTCTGGAAAAGTACTGCTTGTGGGATAGCCGGCTCGATATTACGCACAAAATCATGGTCCTCGAAGGTGACCTATGCGATTTCAACCTCGGTTTGGGGGAAGCTGGACATGCATGGCTCACAGATTGGGCCAGCGTCATCTTTCATGTGGGCGCAAAGGTCAACTGGTGTGATCCCTATGAGGCACATTATGAGCCTAACGTGGTAGGGACACGGAACATTATCCGCGCTGCAACTGAGGGGCGCCGTAAAGCATTACACTACATCTCTTCGATCGACGTGTGGAGCGTCAGTGGATTCATCAACAATATTGATCGTGTGTATGAGGACGAGCCACTCATGCCCCATCTAAATGCACTACCTTACGATACCGGCTACTCTGCGAGTCAATTTGTCGCAGAAGAACTTGTCCAACGAGCGCGCGCTCGTGGATTGCCCGCGGCTATCTACAGACCTGGCTTTATTGTGGGTCATAGTCAGATTGCGATTGCCAACGCCAACGACTATTTTTCAAGGTTGATTATGGGATGCATTCAGAGTCGTCATTTCCCCAACCTCGAGACACAGTACCTCGAATACGTCACAGTCGACTATGTTGCTTCGGCGATCTTGCTCATTGCTTCCAGCATGGATCATCTGGGTCGATCGTATCATATCGTTCCTCCGGATCGATCCCTCTCGGTCAACTATGGTCAGATCCATCAGATGCTCGTTGACCTCGGCTACCCAGTTGAAAAGACCGAATATTGGGCGTGGGTGGAAAAAATTCGACAGTCACCTGGCAATGCACTAGAAGCTATGATGCCATTGCTGGAAGAGCCTGTGTATGAGGGCATGACACGGTTGCAAACCAGCAAGAACACGCCAATTTACGATCCAACTAATACCACAGCAGTCTTGAAAGACCATCCAGATATTGCATATACGGCGCTGAACTCGGAATTGCTCCAGAAATTCATCCGTAATTGGGTCGATCGTGGCCAGTTCACTCTGCACGACAATTCCAAATGACCCCTCTGTCATGAATTAGCTGATACAGTGCAGCAATTTGGAAATGAAACTTTCTCTCGTTGATACTGGCTCTTTGGCCACAGAGTTGTAGCTCTTCAATAGGCAGAATTCACCAACCATTTATCCTACATAACCTAGTACGCAAGGGAGATAATTTCGAGAATGTGTACATATTACTAGCCTCGACTTATTGACTAACCTAGCTCCAACCCTAGCCGACCTCGACGCCAACCTCGCGGCTACCTTTAGCAACTATATAAAAGGCTACCAAGGCTTAAAGGCCCACAGTTCAAGTAGAATCCCTTAAGTCTTAGCTTATAGGACTTTCAAGAGATTTAACAAGTCAGGGCTGAAAGCCTATTAATCAAGTAAGGTGATGAGTTAGATTGTTCAGTTTTCTTGGGGGGCTCGAAACCTCTCCCTCATGGCTCAATTTATGTACAGTCTTCGTCCAGAACAGGAATAGGGGTTTGACACAGGAAGGATAGAATACGACATAGTGTAACCTTAATACTGGGTCCTTCCCTGCAGCGGGTGGCTGTCATGTGGAAGACGGATGGTTAGTGGCTTACCGACGAGAGGCTGGCGATCTGCCAGTAACTCCAGGCCCCGTAAGCCTACGGCATCAAAATGTGAAATAACCTCAAGACAGAATATATCATAACAGGTAGGTAGGGCTTAATTAATTCGAGCTTATACTAAACCTTTGCCTGATCATTAAAGTATCTAAAAAGCTCGGCTTCTTTTAATGAAACGCCGTTTTACTATATTTTTAGGAGTAAACATTACTGCGTATTATTTCCTATACTACCGTAATAGATTAAGAGATAAAGGCTATTCAGAGTTTTGAATACAGAAGACTGACTCTTCTAATAGCCTACAAAATCGGAAATTTGTTTTTGAAAGGAAAAAATTATAACTTCGCCTCTAGGTCTATCTTAAGGAGAACACTGTTGTAATATATTCTGTCATGAGTGTCGGATTTACACGCTGCGCACAAATCCTGGGGTGTGTACGAAGCGTCCATGCACGGTCGGGTTCTACGATCTCATCGTAGATCACAAGGCCGTGCGATCTAATATCTTATATCCGTGGTTGGGGAAGAGAGACTATCCAGAAGGCATTGAGAGTCGGCAGTATTAGACAGGTTGAACAGTGGAAGGTTAACAAGTATGGTCAGGTCGGCCCAGAAACTCTACTCATGAATTTAAAAGACGTCAAACTTTTGATTAAATTATAGAATTAACACGCTAGACTATCTTGCGTAATTCACCGTGACCTAAGACTACGGAGTACATATCGAATTCGACCTCTGTTTTGCAGTGCAGATCTTAACCGTATGTAGTACCTTGTTATAAAAGCTACAAGCTACAGTCTCCAGCTGGCCTATCATCATCACCCCGCTATCTCCAGCCACCCAGCGGAGAGTTTATACAGGCGTCTTGGCTGTGGCTTTATCCGCGGAGAAGGGGAAGGTTTCGTTCCTGGATTGACTTCTTTGTTGATTCATCTGTATCATTCTTACTTGGAAAATCTCTTTGGTGTTCCAGGATGTTAAGTGCACGGAAGTCAGCGGGGCCGAGGTCCTTTTTGGTTATACCCCGCTATAGATCTGGACCCATCTATACTATACTCCCCCACCAGCTATCTCCTGATTATTGTATATGCTTCTATTCCAATCCTATCCGGTTCCAACTCTTGCTGATTCGAGCGGAACTGCCAAGATCACACAACTAGCTGCCTAGCCCATGCGGTAATAAACCAGCTGCAACCAACACCAGTCGAGGAGTCAACTCCTCTCGCCAAGCCCACCCCGCGCCGTCATGGAACTCCGCACCTGCGCCACAACCTGATTCAACATGTCGAGTGTCTCTTAATTGCTCGTTAGTTGATACACCGTGCACGCGAGTACAGTAGTATGATAGGTATGACTCGGAAGTAAAATTTCCCCAAGGCTCAAGCTAACCAGGGGTAATCACCATCACGCAAGAGAGAGCTGAAGTCCTGAGAGCATGTAGCCCCTCTTTTTACTCTTCTTACTATCTTGCCCACTCTTCTTTCTTTCTGTTCTCTTTCACCTCACTCACCCCCTCCCCTTCATACTCCCTCCTCCCATAGACCAAATTACCTTCCATCCTGTAAATCCCTATTCAAATGCACATATCACCACCACCACTCCCACTCCCCTCATAACACACTCAAAAAATGCCAACTCCCCTCCAACCCCCAGACCACCCCCTCGCCCTCCGCCGCACTCACCTCCTCGCCCCAGCCCCCGATCGTCTCACCAACACCCCCACAACCCTAACAATAACCCGCAACAACACCCTCTCCGGCCGCGCCTTCAGCGTCCACCACCTGCGGACCCACGAACCCTACGACAGTCCCACCCGCCGCTCCCTGCTATACACCGTCTCCGGCCGATTCTGGAGCGGTACCCAAGCACGCGAGATCCGCGATGCAGCAGGCAGACCCCTCCTCGAGCTCCGCCGGATGTGGTGGCAGCGCGCATGGAGCGTGAAACGCGCCGGCGGAGGCGGCGACGAGCTCATGGGCGCGGAAATGCGGTGGGGCGCGGGCGTGAAGATGAAAATGGCTGTGCGAGTGCGCAATGCGTTGCTCGTTGGTGCGGGGAGGAGAAGTGAAGCCGATGATGAGTTTTTGCGGAGCGAGTACTATCCCATGCACAGTGGACGTGGAGGTCGACGCCAGCAACATCAAAACCACCACCAACAGTATCGACGATGGGCATCCCCTCCACCACCATACACCGCCATCGCCAGTTCCAGTACCAACCCCGGCCCAGGTCCCGGCCCTGGATCTATACGTCGCCGCCGCTCAACAGACACTGTCAGTTCAAAGTCCACCCACCTCCCCTCCTACGCCTCCGCCCACCGCCGCTCAACACATTCCCTCCGCGAACTCCTCGACGCAGTCGAGCCACCGGCCGAACCAGCCCCGGCATCAAGTTATGCGTATGCATTCCCGCCGCCGAGGCGGTATTCGGAGGCTGTGGTGGAAGAGCGGGCGGAGCTGCGGGTAGTGCAGATGAGTAATACGGTTGCGGCGGTGATGATGGGGGAGAAGAAGATTGTTTCGATTCGGAGGGAGAAGGTGATGATGAATTCGCAGTTGAGTGGGCCGATGGATCGGTGGGAGGTTGGTGTTGCGGAGGGGGTGGATTTGTTGCTTGTAAGTTGTCCATGAAGTTGTGATTTGACGTGTGTGGTTTGATATACGTGTGCATTAGCTTTTTGGTGTGTTGGACAAGTTTACTGACTATTTCATTTTTTTTTGGACAGGCTGTTAGTATCGTGTTGATCATGGCAGAGTTTGTGAGACATGAGTACCGGGTACGAATCAGTTGATGAAGATGGGAATTGATTTGAGAGAATTACGATCCTTGGGGAGAGTTGGGTCCGAGCTGGAGTGTATGAATGGAGGATCTCATGCATACCTTGCATATCTGGCATTTTTCCTTGCAATTTTGCTATTTTTCATGTCCCTTGAGCCTGCATCGCATTTGCCTGCGTCTGGGTCATTTTCACTTTATATCTTACATTCACGTTACTTGACTGTTTATGACAATTATGACTCTATGGAAGGAATATCCATTTTCAAACTCGGTTTCAAGTTCATTGCAAGTTCCTTCCTTTCTTACTTCTATTGCGGATTGTCCGGGCACAAATACTCGATCCGCTTAACCTCGGGATGTACGATCTGATACACCATTGACAGGAGTCTATCCTTGATTATGATTATCAGATGATATAAGGTTATCTTTATATATCTAACCTGACAGCAACTACTGTACAAACACCGGATTCTCCTCATCATAAACCATAAAATCCATATTCCACAGATCCTCAAAGTCAAACCCACTAAACAACTCCGCACCCTGATCACCCACATTCGAAGAAACCACTCCCTGTCCATCCACCGAGTTCAGTACCTGCTCACTAGATCCTCCCACTTGCCCACCCTCAACAATCTCATACCCTGGCTCAACCTCACCCACCACACTAACCACACCCTTCCCCCCACGCTGAAAAACAGAAACAACCCTCTCCCTCAAATGCATACAAGTCTGCGTAAATGCTTTGCCGAACCCCCGTTCCAAAAACCAAGCCTCCACATACTCCGTCGCCGAAGCGAGCAGTTCAATATCTGAGCGTACGAGTCGACTGGTCGGTTGGCGGAGGACGCCTAGGGCGAGGATGACTGCTGCGAGGTATGTTGGTGATACCGAGAGGAGGGTGGATTTCAGGCCGCTATCTTCTAGTTGTAGGGATTGGGTGACGATTGTTCGGGCGGCGTTGGCGCATATTAGGGCTCCGTCGAGCAGGCGGGTGTGGTGTGGGAGAGCGGTGATGTTTTTGGTGACTTCGGCTTTTATGCTACGTTGGGAGTAGATTACTGCGACGCGGAGGACGCTTAGTTGGGCCTGTAGTTCATGTGAGTGATTGCGCATGGATAATAGAATTGGGGTAGTATGGGGTAGTATGGGGTAGGGGACAACTCACATGGTAGTACTGCTGCGACAGAAACGTAGCGAGAATCTGATGATCATGACCAGCATGATCCGTCAATGCCCGCTGAGGCTTCAAAGTATCTGGCAATAAATTCTCCCACTCGAGTAGTTCCCGATCTAAACTTGCCACTTCACCCAACATCTCGGCAGATCCACCCATAAACTTGTGCGAGTATAGACGATTCGATATCTTGCCCATGATACTACTCAACGCAACCCAAGCCCGGAAGTACGGGCATGTATGCTCGGAGCTTGTAGTGACCGGGTAATACACGGTAAGTGAATCGTAGCTCCTATCAATGATGGACGGTCTGCCGCACTCGAGTTGCATGAGTTTTTCCAACCCGAATAATGACCACCATAGTCGTTCTCGCAGTGTTTCGGACTGGTGGCCGAGAGTGAATCCGTCTTCGGATGGGTGTTTTGTTGCTGATTTGTGTAGGCCGATGGACTGGGCCATACGGATGGCGTGGCCGATTATGTGCCATGCCTGACCATCTTTGGCGATGGCTCGAAGGGCGAGAGATAGTAGAGATAAGGCTTGGACGCTCGGCATGTATGGTATTGCTGTAAGATGGCCATGGAGACTGTGACTTGCTGTGAGAAAATCAAAGCTTGAGTCGGAGTTTCCTGATATTTCGTTCATGCTGAGAGATATCACTGCGTAGACGGAGACTATGGCAGGGATGTGAGATAGTGTGACTTTTTCTTGCCAGGCTGTAGGTCCGGCTGTTTGTAAGTTGAGGATGGTTTCTATATCTGCTTCGAATGCAGTGCGGTCGATGACGGGATAGATTGACCATATCCGTGAGAAAAAGCCATCGATGTAGGTTGATAGATCCTGGCGATTAGGTAGAATGGGTAGTTTCGGTACGAGAGGCATTGGAAACTCCTCAGTATGTAGCATGCCATGCTTGAATAGAGGAGTGGCATGACTGAAGCCATGCCGTGCAAGATGTAAATCGACAAAATTGAAGAGACATTGCACACTGCTCGCACCCAGATGCTGCAGGAAATCCAAATTAGATTCAAGTCTCTGACAAGACGGGGTACACCAACCTTGGTTCTATTGTTCGTGGTATCATCCGTATGGACAGCCTCCTCACTTGGCGTCACAGCTGTAACCTGTTCAACAGAGTCATGCTCCTGAACAACATCTTGTCCCTGAGCCTCTGCACAAACTTGATACGCCCTAGACTGCCAAGAAAAATGGTCTTCACCCAATCTCTCACTCTGAGTCGTCCGCCACGACGAAGTCGCCGGGCTCACCGACGGAACTGCGGGAACAGCATCGCTCCTCGAACTCCTCCCAATACTAGCCGGAGTATGATCGACCAGGGTATCCGTATCCGGCGAAGGACCAGTCGGATTCAACACAGAATTGATGGAGCTGACAGCACCTGCAACCACAGGTGCCGCCACAACACTCAACGACCTCCTCGCCGGTGACAGCGCCGTCTTCTCAACCTCCCCACCTCCTCTCGCCTTACCCTGACAACACCTCGTACTCGTAGCCCTTCGCCGAATAGCGGGGAAATTGCCCGGTTTCCTAGGATCCGACGTCTCACAGACATCACCTCTAACTATGCAATTCCGGCAACTGGGATACTGCGCATCACAGCGGACTTTACGCTTGCGGCATTGGTTACAGGCCAGGGCTAATCGAATTGGTTTGGTTTGTATAGTGGAAGTGGAAGCACCACCGACCCCGGGGGTTGGGATTGGGGGCTCGTGTTCGGAATGGGTGCTTCCTGTCTCGTGTGAGAGGGGATGCGAGCCGGGATGGCTTTCGAATGACATCAACGGGGAATTGGGACGGATTGTTCGAAATCGGATTGTATGCAGACGAACCGAGCAGGGGAGGTTCGGGGGAGGTAAACTACTGTAGTCTCCTCCACTCGGCTGGTGGCAAACCGAAGTGCCGAGGTGCTGATACCGGGATATACCAATGTTACTGTATTTTGGGGTTATCCATACCGACAATCCACAAGTTCACGGGTATTACCAATACGAGGTTAAGGTTTCCCCATTCCTTATCTGGCAGGAAGGTGAACGAATCCAGCTCTATTTGCTATCAACAGAAAGAAATCTACTGTACAAACACTTTTTGGAGGTCTCGGTGTCTCTGCGAGCTTCTTGAATTTACTTTTCTGTACATTTGATTGTTTGAGTGAGTGGCCCACCTCCGCATTTTCCGAGGACTCAACTGTCAATCGAACCGAACCGAACCTTATTGTATCCACCGTCATGTTATTGGAGCCCACTCGGAGTATCTACGCTAGCTTCATAGCTGTACAGTACCCCTCACGGAGAATGTCCGAGAACCATGTCGCATAACTGCCGAGAGTTCAAGGCAGGCTGTCAAAACTGGGGAAGAGGCATGTGTACTAGTTTGTTTACTTTGTGAACAACTACTCTTGAAAGGAATTGCCTATCACAGCAGCTATTAGCCAAGAATCTATCACTGTAGTCATAACTGAACATGAAATAATGAAATCTATGCTATATAGAAGAAAAACAACCACAATCCCCATCTGCGGGGTAAATCTAAAGTGGCACAAAAGGCAGAATAACCCGACTAGGGAACTCGCCACCAAAATGAATAACATGCTCGCCCTTATTCTTCTCATGCTCAGGTCTGGGCTTTGAGAAAGCAGCAACCTCAGTGAAACCCGGGTACTGACCCAGAATATCCACCTGAATACTCTCACCCTCCTCATAATCAACTCCCATCGCCCAAATACCAATCTCCAACTTGACGATCTCTCCCTTGGGCACCTTTTGCACTTCATCATGCGGGTGGAAGGGGAATTGAGGATGAATTGACCGGCTGGAGTCGATCTTGCGCTGGGAAGCGCGAAGGATACCCATGGAACCGTTGTGCAGGGTGAGACTTTGGCGGTCTTTGTCGGCGATTTCGTCGATTGAGTTGACCGGGGCGCGGGCGAAGGGGAATTGGAGCTGGGAGAGTTCCTTGCCGTCTTTGTCGAGCTTGCGGAGCTGAATGAAGACGATCATGTCGTCTAGGGCGTCGCAGCTCATGTAGAGCTCTGCTTTGGGAATACCAATGAGGCGGCTTTGTTGAGTAAAGGTATACTTAAACTTGGAAATGGACCACCGGTCTTCCGAGTTATACACAGAGGTGGCAGTTTCCCGAGGGAGCTCAGACGCGAGGGATCCATTCGGCGCGAGGTATAGCGTGCGATAGTCAGTATCTGGGACGGGGAAGTCGGGAAGAACAATGTCGTGTGTCACGTCTTTGTCGCCGAATGGAAGTGTTGCCCAGCGAACTTTGGGTGTTTCTTCCCAGTCGTTATCGATTTCCTTGAGGTATTTGTCGAAGAATTTCTACTTCCAGTTAGTGATGTTATCATTGCAGCGTGAGGATAGTTTTGCTTACCTTCAACTCGAGATAACTCTCAGGAACCGCGTAAAGCTCGTACCACTCTTGGTAACCGCTCCACTTGATCCACTTCTTGTCCGTGTTTGCCTCCATCCATCCTCGAATAGCACCCATGGTATGAATCTGACTGAAATCAGATCCAGTGATGAAGCATGGAATATTGATCTTCGTCATATCCACACGCTTATCATTCCAGTAGACATTGGCCTGCGGGCTGCGACGGTACATCTCCGCAAAGTCCTCAACACCCGAGTTACCCTTAATCACAAGAGTCGTGATAAGATCGTAATTACTCATGTTGAACCATCCACCGCGACAGAATTGCTCTCGGAAAATATCTCCGGAGCCCTCCCAAGGCGCAATAGCCTTCAACGAAGGTGGGTTCTGCGCAGCTGCGTGCCACTGCATGATGGCGAGGTAGGAGTTGCCTGCCATACCGACATTGCCATTGCAATAAGCCAGCTTGGCAAGGGCCTCAATCACATCGTGTGCATCCTCGGCTTCTTGCAGTCCCATACAAGGGGTATCACCGTCGCTGTTACCAGCTCCGCGGACATCAACACTGGCAATCGCGTAGCCGTGCTGGACCCACCAAGCCGGATCCAGGCCCTCGAATTTCTCCAGACCACTGACATCTCCGCGCTCAAGACAGCAAGCCCAAGCGCAGACATTGAAGATCATCTCCAGTGCGGAGTATTTCTTGCCATAAGGTGACCAGGAGATGATAATTGGGACCTTTTCGTCATTGTTGGGGCGATATATATCGGCGTAGAGTCGGCAGCCGTCGCGGACGGTGATTTCGACATCGTGGTCAATGCGGACGTCCGAGTCCAATGTTCTGGCACCGAATGGTGCTGAGCCTTTGGGGATGACTTCTGTCTTGCCGGGTGTGGGCTCGACATAGCCATTGACGCCTACTTCAGGCTTGGTCAATGGCTTGTACGCGACTTGGTAGGGAATAGGCATGATGGAAGGAGAGGTAAAGAGAATGGAAGGGTTGAAGGTAGTTGGAGTCTTACAAAAAAACTGAAGGACTTGAATGAAATTAAGTCGAGAGAATATAAGTTAATCTTGGCAGATAGCTGTGAGCTATGCTTAGCTTGTGGACTCGGCTCGTGGAGGTCACGAAGCCGAGATTTCTAGCGAGATCATAGTGGGCGACACTACGACAGCTGACCAAGACGCCTCAAGACGCCATCAAGATTCGGTCGGTAGACCAACCGAGGAGGTTCCGAATGACATGAAATCCAGGGTCTAGATCATAATTTAGTGGGGACGCATGACTCGAAGCAGCTGCCCGCCCGGAATTGCGGGGGATCAACGGCCATCAAACGAACCGAACGAACCGAACCGAATGTGGAGGGCCGAACCGAGTTTACCATTCATCTCTTACAATTTGCTAGCTGACAATCTTCATATACAAATAAACTCAAGCACACGGATCTCGAAGGTTCAGAAGACAGGACAAGAATCACCATTCCAATTATATCTCATTCTCAACCCCAAAATGATCAGCACAACCGAGACCAAGCAGCGCACTGTCGGCGCTCGTTTCGAGACCAAGGACTTGGTCACTTTCGACAAGAGCATTGTTTACGGTGACTGGCGGGATGAGTTCCACAAGTATGGCTGTGTCTTGATCAAGAATGTCATTTCTCCCGAGCGCGCTCAGTACTACTCCGACAAGCAGATCCAGTGGCTGAAGAACTTCGAGCTCGGCTTTGACGAGAAGGACCCCAACACTTGGACTGCTGAGCACCTCCCAGTCAGCTTCAAGGGTGGCATGTACTTTGCTTACTCTGCGCCCCATGAGAGAATGGCTTGGGAGGCTCGCACTGAGCCCAAGGTTGTTGAGATCTTCGAGAAGCTCTGGGGTACCAACGAGCTGCTCTGCTCTTTTGACGGGTTTAACATTTCTATGCCCAACCGCAAGGACTTGAACTGGAGCCCCTGGCCTCACTGTGATCAGAACCCGGAGCGCAAGGGGTAAGTAATCCAACAAGATTATGGGGGGAAACTCCGCTAATAAATATTTGCTGTATAGTATGCAAGCCGTCCAGGGTCTCCTCAACTTCGCCCCGAACGGCCCCAAGGATGGCGGTCTTATGCTCATGAAGGGCTCCGCCAACCTCTTCAACGAATTCTTCGAGCACAAGCGCGAATCCGCAGACCACGAGGATGCCCCCCCTCCTGAGATTCAGTACATGGACCTGTTCCTCTTCAGCGAGAAGGACATTAAGTGGTTCGAGGCGCGTGGTTGTGAGATGGTTAAGATCAACATGGAACCCGGTGACTTTGTTCTCTGGGATTCCCGCACTATGCACTATGCTTGCCTGCCCGAGGGTGAGCAGATCCGCCACGTTCAGTATATCTGCATGACGCCGCGAAAGTTTGCCAATGAGGAGGCTTTGGAGGCGAAGGCGAAGTGCTTCGAGAACTTTATGGGTACTACCCACTGGCCTCACTGGTAAGTTTGTGTCTGTTTGGAGTGAGCCGAATTAGGACCATAACTAATGGTGTTTTAGCAATATTCGCCCTGCTGAGGAGAAGCCCATGCGGAATGGGGAAGTCTGCCCTAAATACCGGACTGAGCCTTTTGAGAAGCCCATCATCACTGATCAGGTACTTCAGTTGGCTGGAGTCAAGCCTTACTAGATTGTATGCTTTTTACTTGGGTTTTATTATTTTGTTTGTCAATTAGAGGAAGAGTGGTGCACATAGCGATGTATCTAGAATGAAGAATGCAAAATTTACACATACACTTCTAAACTACCGATTTTCTCTTTGGTATATTGTTGAAACATATCGGTTGGGAACTCTAGAAGATGAAGCCTTTTGACAACTTGAATTGTCTTTGCGAAAAGTCTCGCTTAGTTTGGCAATATTCGTATAAAGTGTCCAACCGAGCGTCCAGATCGTGCCAACAAAAGTCTATGACGATTGATTCGACACTCGATTCTCGGCCTAGCTCCGACATGAAATCTACAATAGTGTCTGGGCAGCTAATTTTCGGTAGATAGAGTAAATTGAACAGCCGCTTATTCTAGCCAAATTCCCTTACTTGTTGGTTGATTCTCGGGGCTTGAACTTTAAATCCGAATTTGACAGCTCGGTTCGGTTGGGAACAGCAACCGAGTGACATCCTTTTTTCCTCCCCTTCTCATGCTTGGCCTCCCCATCTTTCCCCACAGAATCCGAACGCATAAAAGTGCGGGGGGATTCACTTTCCATGTGGGCGGGCTTATTGCCCAGGGTGGACAACGACTCGGTATACTCAATTGAGAGTTGGGCGTCATTTGCCCATGGGGAAACAGCCCAGGCCCACCTGTAGAGAGTCCCCGAGCAACGGTGCTGAACCTATCTCGGTTTAGGTTCGCAAGCTCTATAAACACCGAGTCGTTCGCTCGTTATCGACTTTCATTATTCATTGGGATCGACCGCGCAACACTCTGACACCGATTACTTTCCAAGGGATACTACCCGGCCAGCGAGCATTATGGGGAAAGAACCACCATCCAAGCATGTGGAGAACGTCAATGTTGAGGACCAGGGAGACGAGCTCCACGTTTCCCAGTCTAAGGTGAACATTAGTGGAACTGTCAAGCTCTCTGCGGGCAAAATTGTCTATATCCCGACGCCTACTAGTGATCCTCGAGGTTTGTGCTGCATATAAGGGCTTACTGAGTTATTTGACTAACGATTACAGACCCACTGAACATGCAGAAATGGCAGAAGGCCATGATTCTGATTGCCATCTCCCTATGTAAGTCCTCCCTTCGCTGGCTCTCACCCGAGAAATACTGACTAGTCCAGTCTCAACTATTGGACTGTCGCTCGTCTCCGGTTTTGGCGGCCTCTTGGGCTTCTATATTCCCGGTTATGCGGCTGCCGGCAAAACCTACGCTGATATTACCTCTCTTATGACTTATCCAACCTTGACCATGTAGGTGATCCGATGTCTTTGGCTTTGCTACGTACTTTGGCTCATTTTAATTCAGGGGTATTGGCAACTTGATCGGCATGCCATTAGCCATCGCAGTTGGCCGGCGCATTGTTCTTCTCACTGCGACCGCCATCATGGTCGTTGGTGCCATTCTCTGCGCATTTGCATCAAACTTTGAGTGGCACCTGGGAGCGCGTATGCTCATCGGTATTGCCGCGGGTCAGAGTGAGGCTCTCGTCCCTATGATCACCCAGGTAAGTAATGACCACCAGCTTCAGAGTGCTCACCAGCCTTCAGTAACTAATTCCATTCTATTACTCTAGGAAATCTTCTTCCTCCACGAAAGGAGTACATTCCTCATGCTCCAGCAGTCCATCCAAACCATTGCCACAGCTGTCTTCGTCCTGTTCGCCAGTCCCATCGCCGAAGCTATCACCCCCGGGTGGTGGTATGGCCTTGGTGCCTGTCTCTCCGGAGCTTCCCTGGTCATTGCATTTTTCTTCGTCCCAGAGACAAAGTACCACCGCTCTCGATCCTCCTATCAAGAGAACTCATCCACAGAAGATGTAGCATCAGGAAAGGAAGATCTGACAATCGCTACCGAGAAACCTGAGCTCGACTTTGTCAACTACGAGGCTCGCACTTGGCGTTCTGATCTTCGTCTTTGGGTCGGTTCTCCTGAATGGAGAAAGGGAATGGAGACTTTCATCGTGAGTTCATCACATCACACCATTAGCATTGAAACTGGTATCTAACGGGTATTTTATTGCAGCAATCCTTCCAATTCCTCCTCTTCCCCAACGTCCTCTGGGCCATGGCCCTCAACGGTCTAACCCTAGGCGTCAACATCGCCATCGGCACAACATACGGCAACATCGTAACAGGAATGTACAACTGGCCCCAAAAGTCCGCCAGCTACGTGAACTGCGGCCAAATCGTGACATCCCTCCTCGCCCTCCCAATCTTCGGCTTCGGCTCCGACAGACTCATCGCCTGGTTCGCCAAGCGAAGAAACGGCATCCACGAGCCCGAGATCCGTCTTCTCCCGCTCATTTTCCCCATCATCGTCGGCGTGTTCACCGCAATCTTGTACGGGTATGGCGCTACCTATCCAGGCACTTATCACTGGTTTGTCTTTGTCTGGGCTGTCGCTGCTTATTATTTCACCTTCGTCGGTGCGAATATCGTGGCTATTACCTATCTGCTTGATAGTTATCCGCAGCGCGCGAGTCCGTTGTTGATTATTATTTGTGCGTTCCGGGGTATTATCTCGTTTGGTGTTAGTTATGGTATTCAGCCGTTTATTGAGCGCAATGGGTATGATGGTGCGTTTAATACATTTGGTGGGTTGACTGCTGCTTTGGGGTTGTTGGGGATTCCGGTGTTTATTTGGGGAAAGAAGATTCGTCAACGTACTGGAAGGTATACCGTTGACAAGGAGTAATTATGTGAGATTGATTGCTCTGATTTCTCTTCTCTGGTTTACTTATGAGGAGAGATAAACTGTCAATGATGGATGGATATTGCAATCTGCCTTTTATACACTCATTCACGCAGGAGGATGAGTTTCTCGCTGTTTTTCATGTCAAATATAGCAGTTCAGTTCAAGGGGAGGTTGTTTGGCACACTTTAATCCGGGGTTTTTTTAAACCCCAAATCTAAATTATTATCTGTTTGGATGCGCTGCATCGGTCGTCCAGGCAACATTTCTGTGATTTTTTTACCGCTTCTCTCTCCTAAATAGCGGTGACCTCGCTCGCTCAGGTCGTCGCACTAGGAGGCCGCCCTTAAATTAAGGCCTCAACCACCTATAGGCATATTAAGCGCTGAGCCTTCAAGAGGCACCTTAAGCCCTCGGCTACCACATACCAAGCTAGAATTCGCGTTTCAAAGAAGATAGGCAGGGAACTAAAAATTTAAAAGCTAGTCTTCAGCCCTTGAAAACTCAACTCCCACATACTCTGATCATCCAACCGCAGCGGTGGTAGCGCAACTCCCCCAGGAGTATCTGATAGCCATCTGGACCTAGTATAAAACCAGCCACCTTCTACATCAAGTCCCCAGTTACTCAAATCACGTTACCGACCCTCAAACCCACCCAGAATAATAACAGGCTCGTGAAAGCCCGTTTGTTTAAAACAACGTTATCTACAACCCTTATCAAGAACAAAGAAAGAAGAAAAGAATCTTATTCAAAGACTCGAAGAAGCCCTCACACAAACATTCATTTCCAAAAAATCAAAAAGAAACAAGAAATTCCAAGCCGAGGCCCTCCTTCCTTCCTTCCTTCCTTCCTTCATAAAGGATCAGGATCCGGGACTCGTAACTTTTTCTAAGCCATACATTCATCACGTGGGTAGTTATTAAAGGTATAAGGGAGACATCATCAAGATTTCCTCATTTCCCGGGGGTGTTGGGATGAGGGATGTTTCAACGTGGGAAGGGGATCCAGGGTCCAAATCCAGGTATAAAACACTGACGAACAAGACAAGACAGGACATAAACAGGACAGAAACTGTGTGAAAAAAAGATGCAGAGCCTCTAATATTGGTGGATCTACGAGGACTGGATCTGGGAGATGCGCTTGGTCATGCTGTTGTATTCGTTAGTAAGTGGATTCTCGTACAAAAGAGAGAAAACAATGGAGGGAACATACAAATCAAAGAAGGAGAACTGGCTTGGTTGGTTACCGTACTGGTACACGAACCGGGAGGCCAAGTGGCTGCCGAAGATGGCACGGAGATAGTTCTCGGGGACCTGAACACACAAACAAGGTTAGCAACGACACTCATCAAAAGACAAAAAAAAAAGTTCAAACATACCCGCTCCAGAATAGTCTCCAGGCCAATCTTGTTCAACAACAGACGAGGCAGAGCATCACCAAGCACAGATCTCCGCAGGGCAACGTTATCCCACAGCTCAGTCTGCTGCAACTCCTCATCCAACTTAGTAATCGCCACACTGAGACGATCACTCAGAACACTGCGCAGGACACCGGTCTGCTCGTGCTCGCGCCAGATAGCCTCAAACTCGAGAGTGGCGTTCTCCTTGATAATCTCCTGGACCTGCTTGACGTAGGCCTGGTAGAATTCAGGGACGGTGCCGTCCTCGTGAACACACATGTTCTGAACGAACTCCTCGTCGTTGAACGAGAGCGAGGCGAGAACCTCCAGCGAGGACGAGGTCACACCGCCCTTGTTGGCAGAGGCATCCTTGAATAGAATGCAGCCGGCCTTCTCCAGGCGCAGCTTGCTGTCCTGGGTGATGAAGAGGTTGGCACCCTCGACAATGTAAGGCACGATGCACTTGTTGTCCTGGATGAGCTTGCCAACGGTCGACAAGTCGATAGACTCGGGACGACCACCGCAGGGAACGAAGACATCGAACTTCTCGCCCTCCACGTGACGCAAGTGGAAAGTGTTACGGAAGACCATGCCGTTGTGGACAACCTCACCAGAAGGCAGCTTGACATTCTTCTCATCCACGAGAACGCGGTAACCAGCGGGGGAAAGCTTGGTCAGGTCGAACTCGGAGATCATGACACGCTTCTTGGCGAGGCGGATCAACTCCTCGTGGTTGAGGCCGTTGGGGTCAACAATGACACCAGAACCGTCCACGATGGCACCGTACTTCTCGTTGGCCAGAAGGATCTCGTTCGAGCCGAGATCACCGTCGGGACCGCCAGTCTGCAGCTTGAGCATAGTGGAGGGGTCGATGTTGAGCTTGCGGTAGATACCCAGAACATACTGACGAACAGACAGAGTGGTCATACCGTATGTGTCGTGGGGGATACCGCCGAGCTTGGGGCTCTTACCGGTGAAGAAGGACTTCCACCAGGGGGCGCCACGGGCGCGAGCGTGCTCGGTAGCCCAGTCGACCAACTCGGCAGTGTTCTCATCGGGACCCATGAAGAGGATCTCATCCTTGCCGTGCAGATCGACGATGGGGTCCTTGATACCGGGGCTGACCGGGGGCAGGAGCAAGTCCATGATCGAATCAATATACTTTTCAAAGGCGACCCGCGCCTTGTCCTGGTGGTTGACATCGAGCAGGATGACACCTTTGGCACCACCCTCGGGGATATCCTTGTTCTTGCGCTGTTGGGTGTTGGCCAGGTTGTAGTTCTCATCGAAGAGGGAGCGCGCGTTGATGCTGTATGCCTCCTTGTTGCGAGACTTGACGATACGAATACCACCACGGGCAATGTCACGGAAGCGCAGGTGGAAGCCACGGAACTCGGAGCTGATCACGAGGAACATACCATACAATGGCTGGGGGTACTCGTGTTCAGGCAGGAAGTCGGGCTTCAGGCGGAAGCTCAGGGCGACCTTGGTAGGGGTGAAGAAGTTGGTCTTCAGGACGGAGTTGTTGAAGACACGGAAAGAGGTCATGACCATCTCGTCGTGCTCGTTAGCAGCGGTGTTGCGGATCAGCTGCTTCAGCTTCTTGTCATCCAGCACCTCATCCACTTGCAGACGAAGATAACTGAGAGTAGGCAGGAAGTCATCGCCAGACTCCAGAGTCTGGACGTAGTGAGTGTTGGCAAAGTCGAGGTAGAGCTTGTGGATCAGCTCGGGGTAGTTGTTGATAATCTCGAAAATGTAGTCCGCAGTGAAAGTCTCCGTACGCAGACGCTTCTTGATCTTGGACAGCAACTCAGCGTGGACGCTGTTGTTAGAATCAAGGAGAGCTGACAGCGAAGTGTACTCGGATCCCAGACGGTTCAAGAACTGCTGCACAAAGACCCAGGCGCAGTGCGCGTAGATGGTCTCCTGCAGACTCAAACGGCCAGTGGCAAAGTGACCTTGGAAGCGGTTCTGAGGGATACAGTACAGAAGGGAGGCCTCCTTCATGATCTGGTGAATAGCAGCCTCGATAGGAGGGTACTTGGCCGAGATCTCGGGCGAAGCCGAGGGACGCAGGTACAACGAGATGACGGTAATTCCGTTGGAGAAGTTCTCGAGGTACTTGCGGGAGCTGGTGAGGCGGTAGTAGTGGTAGAGATCGGAGAGAGCGCTGAACAAGCCCATGGCAGAGCCCTGACGGTAGGCAATGACCAGACGCTTCTCGCGGCTGCCCTCGATCTCGAACATCTCAATGACGGGACCGTGGCGGCTAACCGCCGTGGTGATGATCTCTTGGTAGATGGCCTTGGTGTTGGGGGTGGCCTTTTGCAGGAAACGCTTCTCACCGATGATCTCAATGTTGGTCTCGTTGGGGTCAGGGTTGGGGTTGGCGAACTGGCACTTGTACACGAAGTAGCAGCGCAGCTGCTGGCCATCATCACCGGGGAGGGTGGTAGGGGAGCGGAAAGTCTCGACACGGTAGCTGTTGGCACCCTTGGAAGTGTTGATATACTTCTCATCGATGCGCTGCTCGTAGCGGGGGCCATCCACAGAGGAGACACCAGGCCGGCTAGTATCAATGTAGACAGCGTGGTCCTCGGCCTCCTTGTCGAGGCGGATCTCCAGCTGCCTGTCATCACGAGCGTAGGCGGCGACCTTGGCGGCGTAGAGGGAGAGGATCTGGGTGACAATGTTTTCGACGGACTCGGTTTGGAAGTAGGTGTCGTCAATGCCCAGCATGTTATAGAACCAGGTAGTTTCGGAGACGACGAAGTCACTGGGGAAGAAGCCCCTTTCCTCCAATTGATCCATCACTAAAAGAGTGCAGTGTTAGCATTGTAATTCCACCCAATTGATCGCTTTGGCGATTGTCTTACCTTGCTCCATCTGCTTCTGCTTGCCCTCAAAGGTGGCGGCAATGTAGCCCGGATCCTCCACGGACAGAACGCGGTGCGGGGAACCGGGGGTTCCAGGAATGCCCAAGTGAGTAGGCTGCGGGGAGGGTTGCCGCAAAGCAGCACCGACGACATGATCGAGATGCTTATTGTGAGGGAATCGCTGGAATCCAATGGGGGTACCAGTGCCAGAGCCACCTTCACGGCCATTGAAGAGGCCCTGTGCGGGGCGGGAAGGCAGCGCAGCGCCATTGGTCTCCGAGGCCGGAGTTGAGGGTGTAGGAGACGACATGATTGAGTGAGGAAGGGGGGAGGAAGGTGGCGAGAAAGAGGAATAGTCGAAAGAGACTCTAGATACGAGGAGAGAAGAAAAGACGCTGTTTTTGAGGAACCACCAAAGTCAGCCAGCTGAACGGGAGTTGGGGAAAAGAGGAGAGATAAGAGGTGTGAAGCAGAGGTGAGCTTATCAGTTGCGGGCAGTCGCAGTCGTCACCGCGAATTTGAGTCTTCGGCGGGCTGCCGCTGCTGCTGGCTGCTGCTGGCTGCTGCTGTCCGCCATTCCTGAATGAAATTGCTTTCCTCGAGGAATTGCGGTCGCAGATAACAATGCAAGGGGAATCAAGATAAGGTAGAGATAGAGATGGAGATAGGGAGATAGGAAGCAAAATACTGTACTGGCATACAACTATACTATTATACTATAG